TTTTTCTTTATTATTTGGGTCCGGTGGCCCCGACCTACATGTCGCTCTATGTACTGTTCTAAGATGTGTTTTTAGCGTTGTAGACAATGTAGGAACGAAAATTTATGTAATGACCCTCCCAATTAAGATATGCTCTGCCCCTGTTTGGGTTTGATTTGTTGAACCTGCTTAGATCATGTGACAAGAGTTAGAGACGAACACATATGGTTATTTTGCTATTGGTTTTAGGGAATAACTACTTAATAGGGCATCCATGTAGATAGAATCCAAAAAGTTTCAAAATTTGTTAGGATTATTAATAGGGCAATTAATTTGTTATATTCTTAAAAATAGGAGTATAAATCGTATGAGATATTATCCTAAAATTCCATGCTTGTTTGGGATTCAATTGGATGGACCTTATTTCTGTAAATTCATAAGGTGGTTGTGTGTCTTTGTTGATATAATTTGTAATAAAGAAAATAATGGAAAATATCAATAAGCCCACATCTTTAGTTATATCGTGTGACCGAAAGTGGGAAATGATGTAACAAAAGGAAATGCAATAAAGTGATTTCCAGTTGTCTTCGGTTGGTCTTTAGCAAGAATTTGTTCCTTCATTTACATTCAAAAATAATAATAATCTCATTTTCCAAACATCTTTCAAAAGGAAAAGGACAATCGTCACATAAATGTGTTGATTGAAAGTAGAATCATACAAGCGGCAGAAATTATCTTCATATTTCAGGCCCAAAAAGAAAAATAGCAACAAAAACAAAGAGTTTATGTTGATAGAGAACTTACCTTTACTGTGAATCTTAATGACCTTGTTCATCCAAGTTTGGTCCCCTCTCCGATTATATTAATTTAGAGTAAATTATCGCTTGTATTATAGAAAATTGCAAATATAGCAATTAGATAAGATATTGACAGTGAAGATACATATTGTGCACTGAAACAATTGCTTCTCTGAGTTATTTAGTTGCTAATAATACAGCAGAGTATTTATGCATTGTTTTAGCATCACCCTGCTGCTTTCAAGATATTTGGACTACAAATACTGTGTTTGCTTCCTTTTCGGTCCTTTGGGTAAAACCTTTTCTTTTTCCAACATCATTCTATCTCCTGCATGGCTGTAAGATTTTCTGTACCTTGTAAAGCTCACAAGAGGATTGTATTGCTTCCTCTTTTTTTCTCTCACTACGTTAATTCTCTACCGTTCAGATTTTGGAGATTGTCATGTCTCTCCCTTCCATCTTTCTTTCTAAACCATTGACTGGGGTTCAGTTGACAGCCGTCTCCAAACACTGACATATTTGACTAAAACTCGAAAGGAGGTGAGGTCCTTGTTTCTTTAAAGACTTGGTTTTTCTAGTATGATTGAAGAAGTAAGTTTTCTATTTGTCTTTGGTTTATGCTGTTTCTGAACTTTCTGAAGATGATTAAGTAGACTAACAGAAATAAGTATATGGTATTGCTTTCTTAGTTCAGAAAACTGAAAGTTTCTGTACGGTTGTATTTTCCGTATTTGTTGTTTCATCTGAGTGATGCTCAAATTTTTGGCTGAATGAACCTGCCAGAGTTGGAATGCCGAACACCCGCTGAGAACTCTGTCACCAGCTGTGCTGTGGATTTTCTTTTCTGTCATTTCCTGTCTACCTACTTTCATTTTTAGTCTTTTCCTTTTATGCTTTTTAACTTTTTCCATGTTGATTTTAAGAATGTGAGGTTTCAACTTTCTAGTTTTATAGACCAAGAGATAGTGCTAGACCCCATTTTCTTGCTATCCTGTTCTTTGCATCCCTATCACTTGACCTGCTTGTCATTTCTTGTGATGTTTATGCTCTAGATGCTTATCCTCTTAATTTCAGTGACAATAGTAATATGTACTGCTGTGCAATGTTATTATCATATTCAGACCCGTGTGTGTTACGATTTTTTGCTCTTAGCACCCAAATGTGAGCTTTTGTTTGGTCAATGATGCTGATTGATGACTTAGTTTGCGTAATCGAAATGTAGGACACAGTTGCCCCAGGACCCTAGTGCTAATATTAGTAGAACCGAAGGTTCATTACTAGAGAGAGCATATGCCTGGGGATAAGTACAACAGTAATTCATCCCACATCCCAAATCGAGTTGAACGGCTCTTGAGAGAAAGGGAGCTAAGGAAGAATATCAGGGCCTCCCACTTGACTGAAGCACATGATAACAATAGGGTGACTCAACCATTTGAGCCTGACTTACAGTTAAGAGAAGATGAAAACTCAAAAGTTGCCTATGTTGAACAATTCTTGGAAGGGGCTGCAGCTGCAAGGGCGCTTACTGATGGATGTGAAAAGCAAGAAGGGCAGCCTCTCAGACAACGACAACGACTGTTGGTTGTGGCCAACAGGTTACCTGTCTCTGCAGTTAGGAGAGGTGAAGATTCATGGTCTCTGGACATAAGTGCTGGGGGTCTGGTCAGTGCCCTTTTAGGTATGTGATGTCTTAAGTCTTCATTAAATATTGTTGTTCAGTTTAAAGTCTTCAACCCTTTATTGAAGTTTATGTATCCCTGTTTATCATTTTCTTAAGGGGATAGGATTTCCATTAGTGTTAATATATTTTTTCATTTAAATGTGGTATTTCTTTACCTGCAAAAAGACAAACCTAATTTGTACTGGATGGTTCTGCCAAAGGTGTAAAGGAGTTTGAAGCAAGGTGGATTGGTTGGGCAGGGGTAAATGTGCCAGATGAAATTGGGCAGAAGGCACTTACTAAAGCTCTAGCTGAAAAGGTTCAAATTTCTATATCTGAATTTGTTTAAACTGAAAGATCCAGCTCATTTCACTGATTGCTTATGTATATGGTTTTGTCTCTGAGGTAAATGTGCATAAACTTTGTAACTTCACTGTCCAACTGATGGTTGTTGTGTTCCTTGCAGAGGTGTATCCCTGTTTTTCTTGATGAGGAGATTGTTCATCAATATTACAATGGATATTGCAACAACATTTTGTGGCCCCTTTTCCATTACCTTGGACTTCCACAAGAAGATCGACTTGCTACCACCCGGAGTTTCCAGTCTCAGTTTGCTGCATATAAGAAGGCAAATCAAATGTTTGCTGATGTGGTCAATGAGCACTATTTGGAGGGTGATGTAGTTTGGTGCCATGATTACCATCTTATGTTTCTTCCAAAATGCCTGAAGGATTACAACAGCAAAATGAAAGTTGGTTGGTTTCTCCACACCCCATTTCCTTCTTCTGAAATCCATAGGACACTGCCATCACGATCAGAACTTCTCCGTTCAGTTCTTGCAGCTGATTTAGTCGGGTAATTATTGGTTACATTCTGTATCAATAACGAACATGTTATACGATTTACTTTGTTGAAGATAGTTGGTAAAATGTTGTCGTGATAGATTGTTTAATTCTGTTTACATCATAAAAACCTAATATGCAAACGATTATAAAGTTGTTTTTTTTTTCTTTTCAGTTTTCACACTTATGACTATGCACGGCACTTTGTTAGTGCTTGCACTCGCATTCTTGGACTTGAGGGTACACCTGAAGGAGTTGAGGATCAAGGGAGGCTTACTCGAGTGGCTGCGGTCTGTATCTATCTAATTACTACCTGCTCCTTTTTTGGTTTTTGGTATTTTATCCTTTGAGGTTTCGTGTAATTTTTATCATTGCACAAAGTTTAGTGTTAAACATTTTATATGATATATATACACTATCTAATTATTAGCTGTACTTACTATGTTTTGTGTGCTTGAAATTTCAGTTTCCTATTGGAATAGATTCAGAGCGCTTCATACGTGCACTGGAGGTTCCTCAAGTCCAAGAACACATTAGAGAATTGAAAGAAAGATTTGCCGGGCGAAAGGTAAATGTTCATTTGTTGTTGCAGTGATCCTAGACACGTACACAAATACACCTGTTATTTCTGTCAATGAAATCTGCCAAAAATATGTGTCACTTTAGAGAACAGTAACATGATCAATCTGAAACATAGAACTTTAATTCTGTTAACATTCTTCATTACAGGTAATGTTAGGTGTCGATCGCCTTGATATGATTAAAGGAATTCCACAAAAGATACTGGCATTTGAAAAGTTTCTTGAGGAAAACCCAAGTTGGCGTGACAAAGTGGTTTTACTGCAAATTGCGGTGCCAACAAGAACGGATGTTCCAGAGTGTATGCCCCTTCATGTGGTTTCTTGTCCCTTCGTCTTATCTTAAGTATGATGTATAAACTACTTATTTTGCATTTCCACAGATCAAAAACTTACAAGCCAGGTTCATGAAATTGTTGGGCGAATTAATGGCAGATTTGGAACTTTGACTGCTGTCCCAATACATCACCTGGTATGCGCTTGACTTCTTAAGTAACTGTTCCATGATATGATATATTATTCAATGGTCATATTTGGCGTTCAGTGGAATTTACTATGAAGGATGTTGATGTAATATGTGTGGGAAAATGGCAGAGCAGCAATAGGGTTTCGAGAATGTGGTGGAATAGTAGTTTAGTAGTGCCTGTTCCATAATCATAACAGTATTTTTATCGTTCATCTATATCAAGTTTCAAGACCTACCACATGAAATTTAATGTAATGTTTCCCATAACAATTCTTTCTACATCTACAGGATCGTTCCCTTGACTTTCATGCATTATGTGCACTATATGCTGTTACAGGTACTATTATTATACATACTCTGGATTTCCCTCTTTCTTTTGATCCAGAATTTTTCAGGCAAACCAAATTTTCAACATAAGCCATAAGCCTTTATGGCAGAAAATCCTTTTGTGCTCTTCCTGATTTCTGTAGTTTTGTTTTATTCAGAACTTAAACAATTTTAGCTGTAAGAGGTGCAATTTCATGGTTTATTTCTAATAGACAAATATCTAAGAAAATGTATATGTAACTCTTGAGCTAATAAATTTTTCTCCCTCTTCTTTTTTTTTTTTTTTTTTTTTTTTTTTTTTTTTTTTTTCGCATTTGATGTAGCACTGTGTCACGTCCCTGAGAGATGGAGATGGAATCTTGTCAGTTATGAGTTTGTGGCATGCCAAGATGCAAAGAAAGGGGTCCTCATTCTTAGTGAGGTAATAACTAGAAACACGCATGTTTGGTTATGTAATATCTTCGTCTCTTTGTGGAAAATTTGCGTTGGTATTGAATTATAATTTTCAATGTTGAGAATAGTACATAACGTAAAAAGATAGAGATCATGAATCAAATAAGCTTGAGCTGCTGAACCTCTGTTTAGTTGGTTCTCGTAAAACCTCTCTTAATTGTTTTTAGCATTTATTTCGTTAAGGTTGTATCAGATGCAATGCTAGTTGTGCAATTGACATTCAAGGAACAGACAAGTCGACTAATTTTTATTACTTGTTTTTCTCCTAGCTTTTCACACTTCCAATTCATTTTGCAGTTTGCTGGTGCCGCACAGTCTCTAGGTGCTGGAGCAATTCTAGTGAACCCATGGAACATCACAGAAGTTGCCAATTCAATTGCCCAAGCATTAAATATGGACTCTGAAGAAAGAGAGAAGCGGCATAAGCATAACTTTATACATGTGACAACCCACACTGCCCAGGAATGGGCCGAAACGTTTGTAAGGTATGCATACTTGAGTTTCAACATGTCATAATTCTTAGAACTTGACATTATTTTTGTGCTGTGTGCTAACAACTTAAGCTTTTGGAACTATGGTAAACCAACATAATTGACATGGCAGACTAATTACTTACTGGGATTTGATATTCGCATTAATATTTTCCAGTGAACTTAACGACACTGTCGTAGAGGCACAAATAAGGACTAGACAGGTGCCACCACCACTTCCAAACAAGGAGGCGATTGAAAGATATTCGAAAGCAAGTAATCGATTGATCATACTGGTATGTTATGGGAATGTCCCAGTTAAGAAGTGTTCTTACCCCTAATAAATTCTACATTAAATATCATACATATCTGCATGGTTTTCATCTTTGAAGAGATCTGCATGGTATACTTTGTCAAATCTAGGAAGCCTGATGCACGTAATGGGCAGGTGCCATAGAAATGTCTTAACCAAGATCTCACTCCCCAACTGAAAGGTTTTTATATGCCTTTACTTTGCCCAGTATACCAGCAGTACATAAAAGTTGCTTCCATATAATTCAGGTCAATGACTAATACAGGCTGCTGATATGCTTGACATATTTAGTAGCTAATAATACATCAAGTTGGTCTCACCAATTTGCATTTAGTTGATACCAGTTTCTCCCTGTTATTTTTAAGACTTATAATTGAAGAGCATTAGGCTCCCTCTTACCTTCTGTCAATAATATTTCTTTCGTGGATTCAACGTTGATAGACTTCTTTTTTTCTTCTTTCTTCTGATCTTTGTGGTGATTCGAACTCAGGGATTCAACGCAACATTAACTGAACCAGTGGACACACCTGAGAGACGAGGTGATCAAATAAAAGAAATGGAACTTAAACTGCACCCAGAGTTGAAAGAACCCTTGTCAGCACTCTGCAATGATCCACAAACAACTATTGTTGTCCTCAGCGGGAGTGCCACAGAAGTTTTAGATGATGTATTTCATCCATCTCCACATCTTAATTTCTTTACCACCTTTACTTTATCCCCTTTTTAATTAGACTGTTTTTACAGAACTTCGGGGAGCTTGACATGTGGTTGGCAGCTGAAAATGGGATGTTTTTGCGCCTAACAAAGGGAAAATGGATGACAACAATGCCCGAACATTTGAATATGGAATGGGTTGAGAGTGTGAAGGTGATCTTGAGTCTTGAATTAAAGTTTTATTCTGTTTGGTTGAATCATGACACCTCCAACTTACAATGCTGATGTTATTTTTTCAGCATGTTTTTGAGTATTTCACGGAGAGAACACCCCGGTCACATTTGGATGACCGTGCAACTTCGCTTGTGTGGAATTATAAATATGCAGGTACGAAAAAAATTTGAACCCTCAACTCAGAAAAAGAATGGTTCTGTTTTATCCCGTTTCCATTGTAAGATGGTCTTTTGAACAAGTGCACTTTTGTTTATTATAATACTCTATCTGTTTCTTGTCATATTATCACAATTGTAGATGTTGATTTTGGAAGACTTCAAGCAAGAGATATGCTGCAGCATCTCTGGACTGGTCCAATTTCTAATGCATCTGTTGATGTTGTTCAAGGTAGCCGGTCTGTCGAGGTGCGACCAGTTGGTGTCACAAAGGTGAATCCATGAATGCTTAACAAAAAATATTACATTAATGAACTTTATATTTTTCATACTACAGTTTTTTACTTGTTTTCTTTCCTGACAATTTTCTTTATCAACTCAGGGTGCAGCAATTGACCGTATATTGGGAGAGATAGTTCACAGTAAATCTATGACTACACCCATTGATTATGTGCTGTGTATTGGACATTTTCTTGGAAAGGTAACCTTCCCATCCCACAAGTCATCCCTTCCCTCATCTCTGATCCCCACTTATCTGAGTTATAAGTTTCCTTTCTGATCTGAGGAATTATACCATCACATTTTGCTTTAAATAAGGTTCTTCAGAAACTCAGAATCTGCTATTAATCTTTCATTACATGCTATACTATCATGGTCAAAACTCAAAACTCTCGGCAACTTTAAGTTACTTTCCAGTATTTTCTTGAAGGTTCTTCACAGGCTCATCAAAATGCTCCACTTTTGCATCGTCTGATCCTTAATACCAACCGACAAGCATGGGATTGTAGTTCATTTTATGTGCCTTAACTCCCAATTGTGGAAAATGGAGAACATTTTGATTCAGGTGTTTGTTCATCTTCATTTCAGGATGAAGATGTATACACCTTTTTTGAGCCAGATCTTCCGCCTGAGCCAATGGGTCTTCCAAGAAAGATGACTGATGGACAGAAGTTACCTAGTGAGAGAAGATCTTCATTGAAGGTTCCATCAAATAAAAATGCCTCAAAATCAGCTCAGAGCAAGACACAACGACCTTTACCAAATGGTGAGAAGAAGAATGCCAATCACAGCAATGGGAATCCACGATGGCCGTCTCCTGAGAAGACTTCATGGAATGTACTTGACCTGAAGAGGGAGAACTACTACTCTTGTACTGTCGGGCGGACGCGTACAAATGCTCGATATCTGCTTCAGTCTTCAGATGATGTTGTCTCATTTCTGAAGGAGCTGGCTGGTGCCTCTTCGGCAAGTTCTTAATCTCAAGATTGAGAGATATAATGCTCTCAAGTTTTCGGAAAGTGTACCTTCGCTTCACTTAGTAGCCGTAGTTTCGTTTTTGAACACTATTGCATTGTAGATATTTTACTGCTTCAATTGAAATATTAGATTTACTCTTAGAATAGGTACTGAAAAGGCATCTAAACCGCAGTGATGGTCAAAGATTTAGGAAGAACAAAATGAGAAACTCAGAGCATCCTTGAATATTCAGTAATTATTAATCTAAACCACAGAGATGGTCAAAGTTTTACATAATTTCCACCATCGAAGTAATTATTCATCGAATTCTCGAGATGAACACTTTTGAGAAACTTGAAAGCATTATATCTCTCAATCTAGAGATGAACCAGCCAACTCCTTCAGAAATGAGACAACAACATCTGAAGACTGAAGCATCTATCCAGCATTTGTGCATGTCACAGAACAGTCGAAATTGTTTCGGATCCGACGACATTGCATCTAGTTGAAGGCTTTGCTGAAGCCTTAGGAAGTTTGGCTGCTGCTAGTGTTTGGGATAAATGGCAGGCATTATACTATCTAGCATCTACAAGTGTATCCACATTACTATTGTGTTTTCTGAGAGAGTTTCCTCGACCCTTATTTTCTTTTTTCATTTGTCCATTTCAAAAAACCTTTCATCTCATCTTCTTGGCAAATTTATTCACACATCTGGCAGGAAGTAGTATTGCTCTGACTGAAAGGCCATTGGCAAATTTTTCCTACCAACAAATTTACTTGGAAATTTTAGTATCATAAAAAGTACATTGATCGGAGCAGTGTTAAGTTGTTAACAGAAAAATGGTATACTCCTAAAGTTTGAGTATTAAGATGAAAAAGCAAACAAAAATAGTATTTCGATTATAATAAACTCCAAAATTAATCTCATCTATTTCTACCAAATGCTACAAATAAAAGAAGAAAAAAACCAACGAACATTTTCAGCTATTTCAGATCATCTTTGGTTAACACTGTCAAAAGCTCTTCTGAACGCGTAGATTTTGAAATTACAATCCATGCATGAATAATTATACTACGAAGCTTTAGACGATTTCTCCCTGGATTTTCTTTTGGCTCTTGAGCTTGAGGGGACAGAATGCAACACCACATGTTCATTGAACTGAATGCAAAATTACAGAATCATCTATAGGGAACCTGTTCAAAGTTTCTTATAAAATGGAACACAGAGGAAACTAAGATATACCCAAGAAAACAGAAAAGAAAGAAGCACACTTAGTAAAATCATACCCAACAACTCTAGCACAGAAGAAATAATGAGATAAGGCTAAGAATGAATAATGACTGATACTGATTAAACTAAATTGAGGTAATCTATAGCATATCACCTAATGCGGAAGGCAGAGATTAATCCTGAGGTCTATAACTGCGATTTGCTTATTGTGTGGAGTTTGTCTTGTTTGGTTCAAAAACATACTTAATCAGCGACTCCTTGACTGGTAGCAACTCAGGGAACTCTTTCTTCAACTTGGATGCATCCATTTCATTGTTGCTTCGAGCTGCAACTATAACCTTGGCTTGCTCTTCAATTGTGAAATTTGCCCATGTAAACTTTGGGTCAATGTATTGCTTGTACATCTCCAGAATCTCATTATGGCTAACGACGCCAGGGTTTGTAAAGTTCCATATACCTCTCAAGTTCCGCTTCGCCATCTCAATAGAGATGGGTAGTAATTCATCCAAGATGGTCAAGCTGTTAGGGATATTAACCACTTTGTTATAACGAGAAATCTTAGTGATGAAGTTACGAGGGTTGTTCAGGTCAGATGAGATGGGCATTCGCACTCTGAGCGTGCAAACATTGTCAAATTCTTTCAACAGCTCCTCAACCTGATTACCAAATAAAATAAAAAAATGTAAGACTTGAAAAGAAGAAGAATAACAAATCAAACCAGGAAGTCTGAGTGAATTTACCATGGCCTTGGTTTTGGAATAGAACGAACCAAAAAAATTGGGTTTGTCCTCTTCAGTGAACCCAACTCCAGAACCCTCCGGATGTTTAGCATCATACTCAAATATGCAGCCAGTGGCAAAATTCATCATCAAGAGTCCATGCTCTCTGCAAACATCTGCTAGGGTTAAGGTTCCAGCAACATTGGCTCGAATAGTTTCTGCTTTATGGGATTCACACCAATCAACATTAGGTCTACCAGTCACACCAGCAGCATTGAACACATGGGTTGGCCTGACATTCTGAATATCTGCCAAGAGTGATGATCGATCCTGTAGACGCCCTTTGCCATATTCAAAAGGAATCCCTTGTTTTTCACATAGCTTTCCAAGTACACCCCCAATCCAGCCAGTCTTACCATAGATCAAGAACTTATAGGGAGGTTTACGAGGAGAGCTACAGCTTTTGGAAGGTGGAACCAACATTCGGGTATTACTTGGGACAAAAGATTCAGATTTTTCCTCTTCAGACCCTTCCGGATGTCTCTCAATCCCACCAGGCATCATCAGCATTCGTGGATGAGGCAGCAGTGCCCCAGATACATCACCCCACCAATTAGGATTCTTAGTGTACCATTCTATAGTCTTCTTCAACCCCTCTTGCCATATAGTTCGCTCTGACCACCCCAAAATCTTTAGCTTCTGATCATCTAGGAAATACCTCTGATCATTGAAAGGTCTGTTTTCAACAAACTTGATGTTTGTCTCTGGGTCCACTGAAAAAAGTCTGCATATATCTTTGGCCACGTCAATAACTCTCCTTTCCTTCTTTGTTCCAATATTGTAAACATGGCCAACTTCCCCCTTGTGAAGAATGAGTTCAAAAGCTTCAGCAACATCCTCACAATATAGATAGCTTCTCACATTAGAGCCATCCCCATGAATTGGAAGAGGCTTCCCTTGCATGGCCAACAGAATGAACTTTGGAATCAATTTTTCAGGAAATTGATTTGGTCCATAAACATTGTTTCCACGGGTCGTTATAACAGGCAATCCATATGATCTCCCATACGCCATAACAAGCATTTCTGCTCCCGCTTTTGTTGCAGAGTATGGATTTGTTGGGAGTAGTTGAGATGCTTCATGGTTTCCTACAACAGCATCTTCATCAGTCTCACCATAGACCTCATCTGTGCTGACATGGATGAACCTCCTGATTTGGCCAGTCACTTTGCATGCTTCTAGCAGAACATGGGTGCCATAGATGTTGTTCTTTGTGAACTCAAAGCTGTTACCAAAGGAATTGTCGACATGGGTCTGGGCTGCAAAATGCATTATGGTGTCAATCGACTCAGTGATGAGGAGATAGTTGACAAGATCAGCACTGCCAATGTCCCCCTTAACAAACTTGAAATTGGGTGATGATTTAGAGGGAAGGAGGTTTTTCAGATTTGAACAATAGTCAAGCTTGTCAAGCACAACAATGTTGTAGTCAGGGTAACTGCGGATGAGCCGGTTGGCAACATGAGATGCAATGAAGCCAGCAGCCCCAGTTATGAGGATGTTCTTGGGGGTATATGAACCCATGTCAAGGAACCTTCTACAGAAGCAATATGAGAAGACTAAAATGAGAATACAAAGTTACATAAAGATATGCACCAAAACAAATAAACAGGTGAAAATTGACCACAGAGTTTGACAAACATGTAAACAACTTTTAAAAAATCCCATAACCCTAACTGCACTTAAAATGGCACTAGTAGGACATTGTCAAACCACAGGTAACAGATCAGTTCAATGACAGATCCCCTTGGTTTCTCACAAAACAGAGCAAAAGAAAAGTGAAATCAAGCATTACATTTACTTTAAGTTGGTCGTTAAAAGCTCAAAAGCATCAAATCAAGCACATCCTGTACAATTAATTTCTTAGAAATGACTCATCAGTATCCTAAGATGTTACCAACGTGATATTCTAGCATTAACTTTTCTTTTTATGTTTTTTCCTTCATTTACAAGCAAGTTAACAGACCCAAATCGATATCAAACACCAGACAACAAGCAAGACCAAAATTCAGGACAACATTCACTAAATCTAACAGACCCAATATATCAAATATCAGATCATGCATATTCAGGCATAAATGACAACACGAAATCACTCAACCCATTTGGATTAAACACATGAAGATCTGATCCCCATTCATGAGAACCCATTTCTTGTTGCACAGATCCCAGATAAAAAATCAGCAATGTCATGATAGTAGATCAAAGCTAATTAGTATACATAACACTGAAATTCCACATATCTATCACAGATCTACCAATTCACAAGTACCTAAATCATAAACACAAAAACTAATGCAGAAATCCAATTCTTAGGCTACATAAAATGAAACAAGCAATTTGCAGAAAACAGAGTAGTAAGCTGACTCACAGATTTTGGCCTGGATCAAAATCGACCAACCCCCGGACAGAGAAATTTGGATGAAGAAGCCTCAAGAGGCTAGCGAAGAAAGAGAGTGAGAGAAATTCAGACAGAGAAATGAGGGAGAAATGAGAGAGCCACGGATTGATTTGTGAAAGACCGGAGGTGCAGAGTCTCTACGTATATATATACGACTCTGGGAATCTCAGAATCAGTTGAGGAGAGCCGTAGAAGAGACTGAATTACCGAAATACCCTTTACCGATTCATCGAATTACAGCGGCACACGTTTTGTGGGCCCGCCTCTTTTGTAGGGGTAGGTTGGGCGCAAAAATTTGGTTTTCAAGTCTTTACTAAAATAAGAAAAAGAAAAAAAAAGAAAAATAATTTGCAAGTCAAATTTGTGATCTTATGAGGTCAAGTGGACTTCTTAACAACACCCAATAAAATCTGGACACGTATCTTGAAGCCTAACAACACCCAATAATATCTTTACATTATGAGCTCTTTTTGTCTTTTGAGTGACCTTACTTGTTGAATGTCCTCTTTTTTTTCTTTTTCTTTTTCTTTTTTTCTACTTTACATTTTTCCAAATTTTAAAACATTCTAGAATTGTAACTTCCAAAATAAGTAATGCTACCGACTGTTGTTCACAAGTTAAACAGTTTTCCAAAATCGAAGTTATTTTAAACAATTTTCCAAAACTGAAGTTATTTCAATTATTAACGTACATGATTTGGCTTGCGTAACGCGGGAAAAATAATCAGGAAATATCAATTTATTTTCTTTTCAATATTTGGCTTGCGTATGAATGAAAAATAAAGTTTCTTTAATTTTTTCAATTATATCCATATTAGATAAAATTTAAATAAATAAAAAAAGCGTTTAATGTTATAATGTAATTCTAAATTGTTAAAAGGGATAAAATGATCATGAAAAATTTGCATTTAATATTGTCTTAGCTTCCCATGGGAAAGGGAAAATGAAACCCACGGTCCCCCTACCTCCTCTATTTTCTTACATGCCAGACAATCATTTCCAATGTTTGAACTTACCAAATATGGAAAATTATTTCATTTTCCAATCCCGAGCCCCATTTACCATGAACCAAACGGCCCTGGTTGTTTTCCCTTTATTTATTTTATTTTATTTATTCCAAATTTAAATAATTGACATCATCGTGGCCTTAATAATAATTATGATTACCATTAAATTGTTCGATATGATTCCGAAATGAATCGCAAATAAAGTGGAGATTTTATTTGCAAAAAGGTCCATTTGGGGAGCCTAAACATAATAGCTGGTCACATCAAGAGCATATTCTGCAGATCACACAAGTCATGCGTTAGCACTTAGCTGGAAATTGGTCATACATACTATTCAAAATTATAAAGTTGGAACAGTATTTCGAAATTTTGAGGTGGATCAATTGTCTGCTGCTCCTTGTGGACCAGCCAGTTGTTGGGCCACCGAAAGCCTGCAATGGTTGATTTAGAGTCCCAAATGACCCTTTTGGTCTCTCCGGTTACTTAACGATTATCGTTTCACTAAATGAGGTGGGATTCGAGCTTAAAACAACTTTCAATATTAAGAAAAAAATATCATTAAATTAAAAACTAGTTAATTATGAGATTTAAATTCATAATCGCTTTTAAATTGCTACGTTTTTGTATATAGTAGACCAAATTATCATTTTCTTATTGTTTTATTGAAGTTGATCAGAGCGGTCACTTTATGATGACATTTCTTTAGTACTGCAATGAGACATGGTCATGCCTAGGTGAAGAAAAAATCTTGTTAAGCAGTCATTGTTCCTTATAAGTTGGCGTGGCATGTAAATTATCAAGTTACTTGTCAATTTCTAAGGAGCTCACATCGTTGGCGTGGCATATAATTTATTTTTATTGTAGAAAAAAGTCATCTTTTTTTTGTGTAAGATCAAATATCAAATATCAAATTACGTCGATCTCACATAAATTTATAAGAAGAATTGGCTATTTACATAAAAACGTAATTTAGAAACAATGGATATTCATCAAAAACACATGCCAATCACAAAATCACCCTCATCATCATCATCCAGATCTAGCGTAATTGAAGATGAAAGCATGCAGTTGCAGTATGAGTATGGGTGGCAACGTGCTGAAGTGAAAGGCGGAAAGTGATGCAATATTGAAATGAATTTGCAGGTCCACCACGGCATCTTATATTAGATAGATCAGCTGTAAACAGACTATATACTTTGCTCACGTAATCATTGACCCAAAACTCAGTACGCGTCGATTATCCACCAAAAGAAAATTGCAGAAGCCTGGAATTATTCCTGGTTTCCAGCATAAATTACGGGCAACAGAAGAGCACATGTTTTTCTTTCTTTTTTTGTTTAAACTATAAGCTAAATAGCTGCGGGGAAGTTGTGGAGGGGGAGTGGAGTGGAGGAATTTCTTGTTTTATTTATCAATATCACAAAGAAAATAATTAACAACAGTTTGACCATATTTATTTTAAAATAAATTACTCTGATGATCTCATCTCTACATACTGCTCGTAAAATATATATGACCGCCCGGCCAATAGGTATAAGTATAGCAAATGAGGAGAATATTAATAAAGATTTCAAAGGATAATTCCATGTACGTGCTGAGAATATTAATAAAATATATCTGTACATACTACTCTTGGAAATAGAATAGTTTGTATTGACTATGCAAGTGGCCCAATTGAGTGGCTTGTGGATATAACCTTCGGTTAAATGCCTAATTAGTAGGCCTAATGGTTAATTAATATATTTAATTAATCAAGAGATGGGCCTTGGGCCTCTTGGGCTCGGTGATTTAAATTAAAACCGATTAGTTAAATAATTAATTATTTAATTTAAAAATAGTATAGCCGGGAGGTTTTACAGTTTTTTTTTCTTTTAAAATTGTCTTTAATAAATAGTATAGACGAGTAGCTATGGTCTTTTACATATACACATATATATATGTACGTAAGTACGTATCTTTCAATAATACATTAGTGTTCTATACACGCGTCTCACGGTTTTATAAAAAGCAAACATACAATAGTCGTATTATACTTGTATGTACATTTTTGTAATGTTTTATACATGTATTGTTTTCAAAAAATTTAGTAAGACGCACAAAATTAGCGTATTATACAAATAATTCTCACATATTATTGAATAAGAATAACATATGTTAAGGGTTTTTGGTAGATGGCCGCTTCGATTTAACCTTAGAGGCAGCTACATTGCATGTTCGAGCGCTAAGTTGATGACCTGACATATGCCGAAGCTGGAGGGGAACTTCAGTAGAAGCATGCGGTGGTAGAAATGACTTCATTTTGGTCAATGTGGTTCTACCGACAGAAGACCCCGTGTCCTTGGTGCTTTGCTGAGTAGGTCTTCGGTTAGTTGTCTTAGAGGATCTCCAAGGATATAGGCAAACGGAGTTGGCAAAAGTGTACTATATAGACTGATGTGACATGTTACTTATTAAAAAAACTGCTCGCTCCAATGGACTAGGCAAATGAAATAGGCAATACAATATTATATTATTTTCATCTTTTACACTTACCTCATTTCACCCACCACAAAAATACATAGGAAAATTGTATTCTATAATAATAAAAATATGTGGAGCCCAATATGCTTCCTCACTTTTTTTTTCTTTTTTCTTTTTTCTTTTTTGTGAACTAATATACCTCTTCACTTTGAAGTAGATAATATTGCATTGTTGGGGAGAGTAGGTATATTTTGCGGGAGCAGATCCGCTGTCCCCAAATTGGTGTCCCATCCATGTCTCCTCTCTAATTTGCTGACACGTGTCAACTAACATAACAGAGAGTTAACTCCGTTAACTTTTTTATTTGACAATTGTAAAAATTAAAAAAAAAAATTAAAAACTGCCCAAATAACCCAACAGCCATCGAGCGTCGTCTTCCCTTGCAAAATCCAGCGAACGTCGTCTTCCTTGCAAAACCCAGTGAGCATCGTCTTCTTTACTAAACCTAGCGAGCGTCGTCTTCTCCGCGAGAGTCTTCTCCTCTTCTCTAATTGCAGCTAGCGAGCGTCGTCTTCCTTGCAAAACCCAACCATACCCACTCTCCCTCCTCATAATCTCTGCATCTTCTCCACCATCAACTCTCAAACGCTTGCAAAACCCAATTCTCCTCCCTCCTAATAAAGAAAGAGATGGTTAATGATTGCACAAATAACATAAACCTCTTCCATGATGGCTTCAAAAAGAAAAGTATCCTTGCTTGTTTTTGATTCCACGGAGTACTTTAACAGTGTGTGATGACTTCCTAGCTACTCAAAAACTCATTTACCTCTAAATGAGTCAAAGTCCCCTTCAACCTGTTCAAAACTTATCTCATGTTCAAGCTGTTCACACAAGTCTGGGACAACGCGCGCATGACGCACCATATAAAGTAAGCCTTTGCATCCTTCCTGCACATTACAGGAAAAGTAAGTTAACTTGTGTATGACTTTTAAGATGATTGGCACTCTCACATCACTTAAGTTAAGAATATTACAATGACATATCAGAGAGTGCCTATTTATATAGCTAGAGCTATAGATTGTCCTCTTTATTAACTAATAAGATCCACAAAATGTATATTTAGAGACCAGACACATTATCTAATCCCAAAATTAAAAAAGACTCTTTAGAAAAAGTATGGTCTTAGATTATAATTAATGGAAGACTGCTAGTAGCTAGAAAGAATGATTATAGTAGTAAGAGAGGTGGTAGTATTCTTCATGTAAAGTGTTGTTTCAAAAGTGAAGCAATTACCGAGAACACTCCAACTCAGCATGCAATTCTCTACAACAAATAATGTGTGCGGAAACATAATAGTTTTGTTGGTTTTTCAAGGTATTGCAAACATGTTTGAGCTCCCACATTGGAACACTAGAGTTCCTTGGAGGTCTTTATAAGACTTACTCTTGGAAATAGAATAGTTTGTATTGGCTATGCAAGTGGCCCAATTGAGTGGCTTGTGGATATAACCTTCGGTTAAATGCCTAACTGGTTGGCCTAATGGTTAATTAATATATTTAATTAATCAAGAGATGGGCCTTGGGCCTCTTGGGCTCGGTGATTTAAATTAAAACCGATTAGTTAAATAATTAATTATTTAATTTAAAAATAGTATAGCCGGGAGGTTTTACAGTTTTTTTTTCTTTTAAAATTGTGTTTAATAAATAGTATAGACGAGTGGCTATGGTCTTTTACATATACACATATATATATATATGTACGTAAGTATGTATCTTTCAATAATACATTAGTGTTCTATACACGCGTCTCACGGTTTTATAAAAAGCAAACATACAATAGTCGTATTGTACTTGTACGTACATTTTGTAATGTTTTATACATGTATTGTTTTCAAAAAATTTAGTAATACGCACAAAATTAGCGTATTATACAAATAATTCTCACATATTATTGAATAAGAATAACATATGTTATAAAAATTACATGAAAATATCATATAGTGGAAGATTAATATCTACTTTGGATATGTTGAAACTAGCAAATTAATATTTATATGGGACAAACTAATGCAACTAGGAGGGTCCTTTTTAATTTTTTAATTTTTGTATTAAAGGGAATAGCCCCTTTTAAACACAATGTATTTAAAGAGTATAGCCGGGCGGGTATACTGCAATTTTTTTATATTAAAAACAGTTTAGCCGGTCGGCTATACTTATTTTTTTTTACATGTGGCGCATTAGCTAAAGAGGGTCATCCTTTTATTCTTCAGTAAACAGTATAGCCGGGCGGCTATACGCGATTTTTGTCTAATTTCTTTTTAGTATTTTTTTTTTTTTTTGTTGTATAGTATAGACGAGCGGCTATGGTCTTTTACATATACACACACAAATATATATATTTACGTATGTACGTATTTTTCAATAATACATTTGTGTTCTATACACACGTCTCACGTTTTTTAAAAGACAAACATACTATAGTCGTATTATACACGCACAAAATTCACGTATTATAAAAATAATTCTCACATATTATTGAATAAGAATAACATGTGTTATAAAAATTACATGAAAATATCATATAGTGGAAGATTAATATCTACTTTGGATATGTTGAAACTAGCAAATTAATATTTATAAGGGACAAACTAATGTAACTAGGAGGAGGGTCCTTTTTTATTTTTATTTATTTTTGTATTAAAGGGAATAGCCCCTTTTAAACACAATGCATTTAAAGCGTATAGTCGGGTGGCTATACTATAGATTTTTTTTATATTTTTGTTTGACACGTGGCGCATTAGGGAAAGAGGGTCATCCTTTTTTTAGAAAAAAATTGGACAGCCGCACGGCTATACTCCGTGTTTTTAATTTATTTAAAAAAAAAACTGTGTTGACACGTGCCGACAAATAGCTGGGGTTTCCTCTTTTTTTATATTAAAAATAGTATAGCCGCACGGCGATGCTCATTTTTAAAAAATTCTTTTTAACTGCTCTTTTTTTATTCTTTACTAAATAGTATAGCCGGCTATACTTGATTTTTGTCTAATTTCTTTTAAAAATAGTATAGCCGGGAGGTTTTACTATTTTTAAAAATTTTTAAAAATCGTCTTTAATAAATAGTATAGCAAGGAAGACGACGTTCGCTGGGTTTTGCAAGGAAGACGATGCTCACTAGCTGCTGGGTTATTTGGGCAGTTTTTAATTTTTAAAATTTTTAAAATTGTCAAACAAAAAAGGTAACAGAGTTAACTCCCTGTTATATTAGTTGACACGTGTCAGCAAATTAGAGAGAGGACATGGAGGGGACAACAATTTGTTGACAGCGGATCCGCTCCCATATTTTGCCTTCCCATTTGCCTCTTTCCTTGGAGCATGAAAATGCTGATGTGACAAAGTAAATGAGATTTGCCTACTCTTTTGCCTCTTCTCTTGGAGATGCTCTTAGGAACCATGTGTGTTTCATTCATTAGTAAGACTTCATAAGTGGTGTTCAACGGAGTGAACGCTTTGGCTTGGCGCTTGGGCGCCTTCGGCAGTGGTCCTTCGTGGTGGCTTTTATTGTACCTGCCCCTTTCCCGTTTGTGGCCTTCATGCCAAGGCTGGTGTGTGCGTGTCCTTTCGCTTTCCTCATGGGGAATGAGTATCAGTTTCAGCAGGAGCTGAATGGGGTGGTGGGCATAATTCGTGGACTGATGCAGGCCGATTCGAAGGCTTAGACCCACACTGCCCAATGTCAGGTCCACATTTAGAATGAGTACGCAATTGGGCAAGTCCATCTAAAGTTGTATCTCTTCTCAATCCTCAAGTTAGTCCTAAAATATTATTGGAGCAGAGAAGCCCATTTGCCACAGGGGCTGGTTACTCTTTTGAAATTAGAGTCAAACTCAAATCATTGGAAAGAGAATGTGCCTTCTGGTTTGCTGTATATTCCTCGTTTTGCTCACCGATCCAATTCATCTTCCAAATACGCTAGTTAAACACATGGTATGTATCTAATTGAAGGCTGAAAGTGATCGTGTGGAAAAGTAGAATCACATCTCTCCACGGCATATCGACGTGGACTTACCCAGATAAGTCCTTTTTTTATTAATACTTCCCCACTTAACTCATGCTAATACGTATTAATTAAGTAAACACACTACAAATATGCTTATTAAAATATTAAACAACCAAAATAAAACTGCAGAGAAAACTGGGCACATGATTCTTGCCTCTGCCCCTTTCGTTGCTCCTGGCTTTTAGCCTATAATTTTGTAACTTTCTTTTTGTCCAAGCAAAAAGAAGTATAAAAGTAAATTATTTATAGGACTATAAGGTACAAAATGGAAAAAATAAAACACGAGGATTTGGGGATTGGCTTTTATTATTTATCAGTATTACCCAATTATTGCAGCCAAGTTGAAGTAGTTGGTACTTTCGTTTGCTGGCAAATAATTAGATTTTACACAAAGGTCTTGGAATTAAACTAACAATAATACTATTTGTATCACATTTACGGACTATTTTGCTAATCATCTCTCTAGTAGAGATGGAATCCACCTATGTATGTGGAGCCTACTTATATTAAAGAGATGGTCAGTAAATGTGGTATAAATAGCGAGAGAGACTTTCACGCAATGAGTATAACACTTTTTGCTATTCCCAACCAATAGTGCAATGACACGCGAAATAACTTTTTCACATATCATTGCATTATTCATCAGACATAACAAAACAATATTATTTCTATTGTAAGAAAGTTTTTCTAACAAATAGCACCCTTAAACTAATCGCTGATTATGATGTGATGTGAGTCATGCAAACTGTCTTTTCCTTTTAACTTTTATTCGTATTTTTAGAATTTTGCTTCCGGTTATTCACGTCCTATAATTATAAGAGACAAGAGCTTCCGACCAAAAATTAAAAAAAATAAGATAATGGCTGATATAAGCAGCCAAATAAAATATAGAAAAAAAAAAAAAAAAAAAAAAAAAAAAAAAAAAAAAAAAACCAGTCTGTTCTTTTGAATAATTGGGTATTTTACTATTAGATATGCAGTCTCTGCGGCTGAGGATGTTTTGGAGGACACGAAAGGTCATCCCAAAGACTGCAAGACAATACCAATGGTCACGCAATCTAGATATAAAAAATACTGGTTTTGCCCTGAAGTATAAATTTGATCTGAGAACGCATTATAAATAGATATTATAAGTATGTTGCAACGAAAAAAAAAAATCTAAAAAATGTTTCGGCAAGGAATAAGATTCTAACAAATGTATCACAATTTTCTTGGAATTTTTATGTTTTTTTCGCCAACGCTCGAGAAATTTCTCATCCATCCCATCATTTTGATGTCCTTTTCTATATGTGCTGGAAAATATATTATTTAATGATTTTTCTTTCTGTAAATAATGATCATTCATAATCGTTATTATTATTATTATTATTATTATATGGCCCTTTTGATAATCCTTTCCTTATTCTACTATCTATGTGATTCACAGGATTTGATTTGGCCCACCAACCTAATTCTTGTGCTAGCTGGACGTCCATAATTGCTTCTAAATAACTCGCATATGACAAACAAATAGATTGAAAGCACGATTCTAATTTTTTTATTTTTTATTTTATTTTTATAACGAAATATAAACTTTGAAACTTGGAGGGTATTTTCAGAATTATGGAATTTTATGGATCAAATGTTGAAGGAAATTTTGATTTCCACAGATTTTGATTTTTATTCAATCTCATTCCCATAAAAAATAAAAAATAAATAAAAAAACTCTCACGTGCCCCATCTATCTTCTTGCCAGAGTATCAATTAACAACATCACCTTTGAGTAAAAGAAAATAAAAAACAGCATCACCTCTTAATGATTTAAAAGCAAAATTCAAGACTAAAAAAGTGATTAAAAGCAAGTGGTTTGAATTTGGAGCAATTGTTTGGATTCGAGTCCTAGTATGGTATCCGTGTAATTTGTGTGAATTTATTATGCTATCGCCACTCTCAATAGAAAAAATCTTTAAAAAAAATTTATTAAAAAGATAAAAATGAAAAACCAATGTTTATTATTATTATTTTTTGGGTCAAAGAAACCCGTGTTTATTAGACCCTAAATTATAACGTGGAGATGATTAAAGTTAATTAATTGGGAGTTGGTTTTGTCTTTGGGTTGTACAGGCAGGGAGACAAATCTTTGAGCGGACCCTAATCTGCATATTCTTGTTGGTAAACGACATCACAAACATGTGATACACGGGCTAAAAATAGTGTCGTCCTACCATGTGATGAGGGGCCCACATCAGCATCCCTTCTCCAAATAAACATCCTCCATTCAAGTTTTCACGCATGGGAAAAATAAACTTGGAAATGCCCACAAGCTTCTTTTTAATTTTTTGGAGCACAAGAGAACTCCTCTCTCTCCGACCGAAAAAAAAAGAGACAACTCCTCTCTCTCTCTCTCTCTCTCTCTCTCTCTACATCTGTGAATTTTCTAAATATAAATAAATAATAAGAGGCTGATAATAAATAAGGACCTGCAGGCTGTAGTTATGCAAAAGCTGTTTTCTACATTTCTCAAGCACTTGAGCTGCCAAGTTTAGACCTTTTTTGTTGTTGTTGCTTACCGTGGCGCAGAGGGGTTTAACTATAAGCCTCCTGGGTTTTATTTGAAAGGCGGATTTGGGTTTGTTGTTTGGCTGGTTAGTGTGGGTTTTGTGCAGAGTTGGAATTGAAGGCATTGATGGTTTTTTCTGCTTCACATTCCGTGTTCATTATCTGCAGAGATGCGGCTGGAATCGCAGGTATTATTCTCAAGATCCCTTTTTGAATCATGGGTTTTGTTTGTGAACATTGTCTGGATTGTTCCTGTTTTGGCATTTAAATTCTTAAACAAAGAAAACCCATGTTAGCATCCCATGAGACTATTATGGTTGACTTGAGGAACTTGTTGGTTTTTGTTCTACATGCTTCAATTCCTTATTGTTCTTGCATTTCTTGCAAAAGCAAAGAAACCCCTCTTCTTTTGGTGTATGATATTCCAGTAGGCCAATTTTGGTGGAAAACTGTTGGCTCTGTTGAATGAGGAGATTGCTGATTTTAGTCAAGTGGGCAAAAGTCTTCATATTGGTTCAACAGCCCACATTGTGATTTTATTTCAGGATTGTTAGGTCAAAGTCGTTATCACTAAGATTTATAGAGAGAACGATCTTTGAAACCAATTGTTTGTGCATGCGTTTTTCCTGACTGGTGTTTGTTTGAAATGTCTTTCTTTTCCCCTATTTAGTAAAGTCCTGACTGGTGCCTGTTTAAAATGTCTTTCTTCCCCACTATTTAGTAAAGAAATTTCAACCATAGGAATGAGGTATTACAGGAAAGCAAATATTGAGGTGGCGTTCTACTGTCTTAAAAGGATTTTGGTTTCCAGAAAACAAGATGCACTTTTGCTGCTTACTCTAAACTAAGCTGTTGAATTCAGAAATGTGGGATTAGTCCATCTAAGTAGCTACTGGATGCACCTTCTATGAAATTGATTGCTTGTTATAATATTTGAGTTCTTGAATGACGCAAACTGTGCACAATGAGAAATTTAGACGTCACTAATTGGTATCGGGATAAAACAGAATTTTGGCCCTAGACTACAGCTTTTTAGTATTAATGCATGGACATTTGAACAAGTCGTGTCTTAGAACTTTTAAAAAAGAAACACCCAGATACTTTGGCAATTCTAAATATCAAATATTAGTGAGAACTCTTTCCCACTATTCGTATTCTGATGAAGTGTTGAATAGTATTGGGATACACACACATACACATATAAACTCTATTGTATTATATTACTGATGTGTGATGCTCCTCAACGCTATTACAAGGTGTTTCGCCTATGCAATGCCTCTCAATGCTGTTAAACATGTTGAGTTGACCCTGTGGTCAATGCGATAAAAAAAACCTGTGGTGCTCTGTGATGTCTCGCAATTGAAAATTTGCGATTATATATAGTATATGTAGATGCACATATAAGGATTCCACACTTATGCTTGTTTTTAATATTTGTTACAGGGAACATATTTGCTTTTGGGCTGTTTCTTTCACCAATGTAAGTTTCATTGAGTTTGGTAATAATTGAATGTCAGAAAACAGGAACGTGCAGTAGGATTTGTGTTCATTTACTCACCAGTTTGTGTTTTTAATTAACTTTATTTATGTTTACTTTCAGACACACATATAGAAGAATCATAAGAAACCGTTCAACTGAAGAGTTCTCAGGGCTACCATACATATATGCCCTTTTGAACTGCTTGATCTGCACATGGTATGGATCGCCTCTTGTATCTTCTGATAATTTACTGATCATGACGGTGAATTCAGCTGGTGCAGTGTTTCAATTAGTCTACATAGCCCTCTTCATAATATATGCTGAGAAATCGAAAAAGGTCACACATCCCTTCAAGATCACTCACACTTGTTACTTTGATGAAGTTTCTGAAACCCTTTTTATGTTCTAAACTGTCATGAGTTCCCCCTTAATGTTGCTGCCAGGTGAGGATGCTGGGATTTCTGTTGGCAGATTTTGGTCTATTTGCAATCATAGTTTTTGGGAGCTTGCAAATGACTGACCTTTTTATGCGCCAGCTGATTGTTGGACTGCTTAGTTGTGTTTCTCTCATATCAATGTTTGCTTCTCCCATGTTTATAATTGTAAGTTAATCCAAGGCATTGATGATCTGTGTCATTAATTTGGTATTAGTGTGTCTTACTCTACTTACTTTGTTATATTTTTGCAGAACTTGGTGATCCGGACAAAGAGTGTCGAATTTATGCCATTTTATCTCTCCCTTTCTACCTTCCTAATGAGCACGTCATTCTTTCTTTATGGAATTTTTAATTACGATCTCTTCATTTATGTAAGATTCCGTGAGCTCATTTTCTCTCTCTCTCTCTCTTCTTAATTTTTTGCAAAGCTATTGGAGCTGTGAATTCAGAATACGTATTCCTAGTTTCCCTTGTCTAACAGTATCTTTCTTTATGAATTTCAGCTTCCAAATGGCATAGGAACCATTTTGGGGATTGTACAATTAGCTTTGTACTTTTACTATAAGGATTCATCTAAAGAAGACTCCAGAGAACCGTTGATAGATCCATATCCATAAGTTTTGCCAACAATAAATGTGCACATGTTTTGTCTTTGAAGTAAGTGTTATCTTCTATCTATTTTATTCTGTGAGGCGATTCTCTTTATTGTTGTGGTTTTATAGCAATCGGAAACCATCGTCTTCTCATTTCTTGCATGTACAATCCTTCTGAGTGTCAAATTTACACTGATAACTGCCATGTTCTACTTTTTGTATGCAAAGAAAGTGGTGGCCTGGCTTTCTCTGCATGGACGTGTAAAACGTAAAGCTAATTTTATACCAATCTAATTCATCCATGGTTGCCCTTTTTTCTTTTCTTTTTTTCAGCAGGTAAGAGAAGATGTTATCTTGACATAACAAGGCAAGAAGGCCGAAGTGAAGAGTGGTGCTGATTACCAACCCGAAAACTAAAATCATGTTCTTCAGCCTGTCAAGCTCCTCTGTGGAAGTCATCCCCCTCCATCTCCCTCTCCCTCTCCCTCTCCCCTCCATCTTCCGTTGTCTTTATGTGAAAGTGCATCTGCGTGTATCATAGATATTTAGAAAAGTTTGTTAGTCAAAATTTTCCTCAAATCATCTGTAGCATTCATGAATTGGTATGAGTTCAACAAAGTACTTGTTTAAGATCATCAAATCAACTTCTGGTCTTTCGTCAAGTTGAAACCTCTAAAGCCTTTTTATATGGCATAGCAGCTTCACTATGGGTATCGATCAAGGAATAGAACCAAGTGAGGTCAAGGTCCAGATATGTAACCCACCCTGCATGATTCGTGCAATCAATAAAGTGCTGTGGTATCGATTTCACTGTCCTTTCTCAGGTTATTATTATTATTTTTTATGTAAGTTGTGATTGTGCCTACCTCATGCAATATAATCTTCTCGTGTTTCTATTTCATTTTCTTGTAGGGAATGCAAGAAAATTCAATTGTCTTCTGAATTCTAAAATTTCTTGCATGATAGCATAAATGTGTAACGTGTTAAATTGGCAAATTAAGTGAGAACAGATCGTCTAGCCTCCTAGGTGCACATTGAATATGTTTCTGGCTCTCTTCCCTTCCCCTGATATTTCGTCTGTCGTTGCATACAAAACCTTCATGATGTACAGCGCGGGTGATAGATCGCATGGTTGAATTTAAGTTTCATGTATCGTCTTCATTTTTCCTTTCTCAAAATTTTCGGTTGTCCCACTTACGTGCACCTAATTAAAAATTGCCATATTAATTGGACAAAATTGCTCATGAAAATTGAAAGAAAAACATGTTCATAAAAAATGCGACAGCTGTGCACATAAAGGGTTGTTATTGCAGAAGATGACTGGCCCATATTACAACTGAAACCCCAACCACTCTCTTTTGCTAAAACTATTTCTAACATTTCTGCAGAGAAAATTACAGCAAGTCCCTCAAAGTTGTTCTTGTAACAGCAGCTGTTTTTTCCTGCACAAAGTATGTTGATTGAGAAACAAGCAACAAATTATAAACAACAAAAAAAAGCATATACTTTCGGGTCTGAATTTATAGAGAGAGCATGCACAAGTTGATTGAACGGATGGAATTATAAAATGGTAAAAAAATGATCATCTTTTGCTCCAGCAGCAACCAAGAAGTAAAATTGAAAGAAAAAGTAGTGCATTGGTAAATTTGATTTACCTGGTTTCTGGTTTCTTTGTGGGAGTGACAAAGAGGCTGACCTCTTTCATCATAGAGAATAAGGCCACTGAATCTTGGAAGCTCACATTTCTCCCCCATAAGTATAGGCCTTTGCCACACAGGGGAGTCTGAGTTATGGCTTCGCCACCCCACTTCAACTGCAACCCTCTTGTCCAGCAGCGGCCGCGGAGTCTCTCTCCAACTCCCACCCTGCTGTCTCTCCTCCTCCCACTTGCTGGCTCTGCTCCACCGCACCGTGCTCACCAATGCCCCCTTTATTGACCCGCAACTGCAACTTGGCTCAGAGCCTGATAATTTGGGACCTGTCGCTGCGGTCTCTTGTTGGCTGCTGCTCATCACAATCTGCTGCTGTTTTCTCTGAGCCTTCTTCAGTAAAACCGTTGTGGCCATGCAAAGACCAATGACAGCAAAGGCAGCAGATACCAATAGGACGAAAGCTTCTTGGGTTGACAGCCTCCACTTGTCTTCTAAATTCCACAAAGCTTCCATGCCTATTTTCCTTATGCATGTAACAAAAAAGACCAACTCTGGTTGATTTGGAAAGGTAGAATGGAATGATATCTTTTTGGGTAGACATAGAAAGGTGCAAGCAATAACTTTTCTTTATTTTTTTTATTTTTTGCATTGATGGTGTTGTGTTCACGTGAGGTCCACCGCCTAGCTGGGGGCTTGCTTGGTCTCTGCTGCAGGGCTTTGGCTTAGCCTAGCATAGCTTGCTTGCTCAGGGGAGAGGGGGTGCTCGTGCTTGTTTGAGTTTCAATTCAACCAACCGTTGGGAAATAAGAATGGCTCACCGTTATGGCTCTTAAAGGCAGTCACGAGGTCTTCAAGGTTGTTATTAAAACTCTAAATAAAACATGGCTCTGTTTCTTTTTCTCTTTTATCAGGATTTTATTTTTAATTTTATACGATTGATATTAGAGAAGAGGGACTCGAATACAAGACATCAAATCGGGATAATTAACTCTGTTGCTGTTGATGCATAGTTTCAGAAGCTGTTAATTCAGCTGACTGCTTAGACTAAAAAAAAAAGTGTCCGCAAGGAATTAAGAAGTGAATTTAGATAAGTAATGGGATTGATCCTCATGTGCCTACACTTTTATTTTTGACAGTTACTACTATGTGCTTGATCTGGAATTTTCGGTAGTTAGATTTATAACATTGCTGCTTTGCATGTGACAATCAAATCAAGGTTGACTTATGCTTATAGCTGAGATCGGTCATATATAAGAAGAATTCTGACTTATGACCTATTTCAATTTGGGAAGATAAATACTATTATAGAAAGCTCCAAATTTTGTTAGAACCTTTATCCTTTGTTTGGATGAAGGAGTTGAAAATTGCATAGAATTCTAAAATAACGGAATTTAGATTTCCTTGATTTCGATTTCTCCCAAATAAATATTTCAGTATTAAGATTTATGTATGTCGAATTATGTAAATAACAGAATTTTGTAAATGATACTATGAAAATTGTGAAATGACGCATATTTTTATGGAAATTAAATTCGAGAATTTGATGTTCCAATTTCCACGATTTTTTCTCATCTAAATTCCTAACTTTTTGTTAAATTCCGAGTTATTTTTTCTCATACGAACGGAGGGATAGTTCTCATACCTTTGCCCCATAATTTGTGGACCGCAATATTAGAGCTACTTTATTCTTTAATTCTATGAATCTCCATTCTTAGTATATAAAAAAATGTCATTAAATCGAGAATTAATTGATGTTCTGTTAGTGTACCCAAACAATTTTACTAACTTAATGTCCATATTTATTATACAATATCTATTATTTAACATAAAATATTTAGTATTTCATATCTATCTACTAGCCGGTTAAGTTATAAACTCAAATGAAATTTTTTTGTTTATGATTCAGATGAGTTCAAATTCAATCCTAAGAATTTGATTGGGTTAGTAACTTTTTAACCAAGGCTCAATAATCCATCCATGTGGTTATTTCAAGTTAAGTTAGTAAAAATCATCCAACTCTTGGTCTAATAATATTTCTCTTCTAATATTGAAACATGAATTAGCCTTTAGGTTCGAATTTCCCATTGATTAAACAAAAAAAGAAAAAAAATTAAAGTCCCGGCTGGTTTGGGTTAAAAGTTAAACACGTTCAAGCTGGACTGATAACACCATCCGTGAATTTTTTTTTGGGCCCAATATTTTCCGGCTAACCAAAAGAAAGAAAAAAACAGAAAAATAAAAATTGAATTTCTATTTCCATCACTCTCCCTTTTCGTCTCCTTCGCAAACCCACCGAGGAAATCCTCAGCTAGGGTTTTTGAACCGTTCCGAGCTCGTTTCGAGCCAGACTCCATGACCAGGAGCCTATCCTAAAGATTCTTATAGCGCTCAAACTTCAGAAAGGTCCATAATTTCGATAACTCATGCCCTTTTCTACGGTTTCAATTACAGTAATGGAGTTTCACTTACTTTAGAGTAAAAAATTAATTGTTTTTTTCGTTTGCCTGACGAGAAAGAGAAAAGATGATCAATTTGTTTGGAATGTGGTTATCCGAGGTTGGTTCGGTCCTGTTGGGTTGTATAAATTGGGAACTCTGGTTTTATTTCAATTTATTGCGTTTTCTTGGCAACAAAACATAGGGTTTGGTAGATGGCCTTAGATTACGATGAAGGGTTATAATTCTTGCTGCGTGGCCTCGATGAAGGTTGCTGTTATTTATTAATTTTTATAAAGTAAAATGGGTTAGAAGTGAGAGCCTCAGAGATACATTGTGGTGTATTGTATGAGAATTATGCCTTCGAATGTTTAAGAATTGAGACTCTAGCTTAAGGGTTTGATTGTTCAGCTAACGTTTTATTTTTGATGATGGTTATTAGATATACCTTCGGAGATAATTGAGATTAGTTTTGATGTCATTCAGGTTTGATTACTGAAACGTGCTTGGTTGATACTTTGAAAAAATATTTTCATAGCTGAGTCTTTGAGTGAAAGAAAATCATGTCTGGAAGAAATCGTGGACCGCCTCATGCTGGACTTCCCCCCCAGGTCCATGAACCATTTGGAAGAGGACTTGGGCCGATGCCCCATCCAGCATTACTCGAGGAAATGAGAGAATCCCAGCTTGGAATGGGTCCCAGACCACTTCCCCCTCACCCTGCGATAATTGAGGAGCATCTTGCGGCTCAACATCAAGATATCCAAGGTCTTCTAGTTGGTAACCAAAGGCTTGCTGCAACCCATGTTGCACTAAAGCAGGAATTGGAAGCTGCCCAGTATGAGTTGCAGCGGATGGCTTACCATGTTGATTCACTGCGGGCAGACAAGGATGTTCAAATGAGAGATTTGTATGAGAAGTCTGTTCGTTTGGAAGTGGACCTTCGTGGAGTGGAGGCTATGCGGGCTGAGCTTCTTCAGGTTCGTGCTGATATCAAGGAGCTCACTGCAGCGAGGCAGGAGCTCTCGGGCCAGGCACAAGCAATGACACAAGATTTGGCTAGAATCACTGCTGATTTGCAACAGGCACCAGCTTTGAGAGCAGAAATTGAAGCTATGAAACAGGAATTGCAACGTGCTAGGTATCTTTGGCATGATTTATTGTTATGCTTGAATTTAATGTTTATATTTTGATTAATGTCTACGGTTGGTTTGCTTGAATTTGATGAATTTTTGTTGGCATTTAGAGCTGCAATTGAGTATGAAAAGAAAGGATATGCAGAGAATTATGAGCATGGCCAGGTGATGGAAAAGAATTTGATATCGATGGCTAGGGAGCTAGAGAAACTTCGTGCAGAAATTGCGAATACTGAGAAAAGAGCACGAGCTGCAGCTGCTGTTGGAAATCCAGGTATACATTATGTTTTTGGTTTATGTTGTTAATTACTTTGATTTAAGATTTTACCTTTTAAATGTTTAAAGAAATAGAAATAAAAATAAAGAACTGAATCTCATTGAAAACACCATATCAGTAAATAGGAGGAAACATTAACAAAATATAAGTAACATTCTTAAAAACTTGGAAAAAATAAATCACGTCTGGGAAGCTCAATGACAAACTTTTGACGTGTACTGTGTACTGAAAGCTCAACCTTCCTTGAGCAGTGTATCAAAATGTACAAGCAGAAGCTCAATAAAAATCTAATGGTCATTTGTTTCTTGACTATCCTTTTATCATCATCCAAGTTTCATAAATTTGTCATTCACTTAAAATATCTTCTTGTATTGTAAAGTTTTAGTCTCAATGAATGTTCTAGTCTAGAAATGGAATGATTTCTAATTGGATTTATTGAGGCTCAGCCATGTCTCAAAACATGATGCAAAACATAAAAAGGAGGCCATGGACAACTTGCTGAGTCTACTGACTTAAACGTTAATATTGTTTAGTTCGAATACTGACTAATGTCTGTTAAAAAGCCCACATCATCGGAGGGTTCAATTTGCTCCAGTTTCACATCTTGCAAGATTGATTGATGGTTTAGGCCTATGTGATTATCCTGTACTTTCTGAACTTCATTGTCACAATTACGTTGAAGCCAAAATCACAAATAGATGATGATCATCATTTTAAAATTTTATTTTCCTTGCAGCTTGGCATGAAACTTCTGTTGATTTTGTTTTTAAATTTTCTCTACAGGTGTAGGTTATAATTCAAATTATGGAAATCCTGAAGCAGGATATGCAGGAAATCCCTATCCTGCCAGCTATGGCATGAATCCCGTATGTTTTGCTCTCTTTCATGATTTAATAAAAGGCGCGCATGTGTGCATGCCTGATTAAAGTATTGATGTTTCTTTTGTATGTGTCTCTGCATTATTGCATATCTTTGTATGCTGCAACTGCTTGCTATTATGTATGCATCATTTTTTTAAAAAATGCCTGGATATGTTAAAGTTCCTCTCTCGATTTTCAGGTACAGGGCGGTGCTGAAAGTTTTCCTCAATATACACCTATGCCTGGTTCATGGGGTGCATATGAAATGCAGCGAGCTCAGGGACATAGATAAACTTATTCATCTGTGATACCGAGCTGTGTTCTGACCGGTATCTTGGCTGCAGCGTATTAGACACTTAGGTCTGTGATTGAAGTGTTATCTCATAGTAGACATTTTGGAAAACTTTCTTGTTTATTTGGTCATTAGTAACTGTACCTAAACATATCACACATCATATTACCTTAATGGTGCAGTACACTATTCATATGTGGCGTTCTATGATGCAAATATTTGCACTATCTTCCCTAAATGCATTTCATTATGATCTCAATGTTTCTTGTTCTTATTTATATAAAATTTGCTGCCTATCATATATAAATAGTTTATCGCTTTTCCAGAACTTTTATTTCTTTTTCACTCTTCATATTTGAGATATTTAGTTTGTAAGGGTTTATTGTTGAATTCTGTGTCTTCTGAAGCAAGAACTTTGCTAGTTCTATTCACAGCTCTAAGTTTTTCGTCGGATAAATGCCAAAATTTCAGTTGTCCCTTGGTTGTGAATTTGTCTCATTTACTTGGGAACTCCTTTACATAGCTAATACCACAGATTAATATTCTTCATGTAAGGATCGTTATATATTAATTTACTTCCTCTATTATTACTTGTTGTTTAAGGTTCTTACAGAAGAAATTTGTCGTTTAAGGTTAGTTTCTTGTTGCATCTTATCTGCCAATACATTTAAAGGCTCAATTAGGTTTGTGCTAAGTAAGCTTACTTTCCTGTGCAATTTGGAATATTGCATAGTGATCTTACGTATTATCTGACTGCCTTTAAAGAATAGTCCTTTCTCTCTTGTTTTTTAGGATCATACATGTAATAATTTTTTAGCTTCTAAGCATCTATCTTTTGACCTTGGGTTCAGTATGTGCCCTCTAAGACATGTCCGTTACCTTGGTCAAGCAAACTTTTTAGTTCCTATTCCTTCCAGCTTTTCTAATCATATGTCTGGTTTTTAGTGAACTAATACTGATATAGCCTATAGGCATTATAGGGTGTAGGGCTCCAGGACCCATGAGTTAAGAATTTTAAAAATATTTTCAAGGAGGATATATATGTTTGAGTTCTTTAAATTTTGGCTTTCTTACTCCATTTTCCGGTAGCCACCAGGTTTTTGGGACTTTAAGCCAAAATGTTGTTCATCTCATGCCAAATCACATCTGGACAGTGCTTCAGTCATGTGGGTTGGAAACCATGATCCTCACCTCATGTGAGGTGGGCGAGAAACCAATTGTTTAAGAATGTTTCTAAGTTGATATTTGACAATTTTGGTGCAACTTCTTCAATACATATGAGAACTCAAGTCCAGTAACATATTAGGTTGCCTTTTCTTCTTTGTCTTTTACTCTCCTTATCTGAAAGGGAGCTAGAGTTCAATTACAAATATAAGCACTTGGTGCAATTTGTTTTTTCCTAGCCTACCATCAAGATTTTTTTTTCCTTTTCCTATGCCTAGGGTGTCACGAGCTCATTTTGTAATAGGCTCTATACTGTTATTATTCTGTTCGTGTTGACTACCATGTCCATTGTTTTACATTTCGGTTGATCCATTTGCTCATCATAATTGGATTCTGGTATGTGCTAGCCAGCAGAAAACTCAGGAAAGAAAACTTTTCTTAAAATTCCTGTAAAGGAGGCAAATATCACACACATTCTAAAACAAACATTCTGAAACTAACTACATTGTGTTTGTATAGCCAACATTTAGATCACCACGGCAGTGAATCAACTCTTTCTGTTATGCATTTGATGTTGTGGAGATTTTCTGGATTGATACCAGTGGTTAACTTTTGGTTGTCTTTAGTGAGACTGAGAGTCTTACTGCGAAAATTTAGTCAGACATTCTGTTCAAATGCATGTTAATGTATTTAAAAGAGTATGCTTTGTGGTGTAGTCATAACAGTGAAACTGCATGTAGAATTTCCTGATGGTATCACAAAGCATACTCAAGAACAGATCAGTTACGTATTATATTTAGATATCATAGATGTAATAGAGTTCATACAACATTGTTTTATTGTTAATGCTAATCACCAAATTCATGAATAAGCTAAGTTGCGTTAGTGATACAGATTCCTAGATATGGAAGAGTTAGACGTGCAAGTGTTCGCAGTGGCTGCATAAAGTTCTTTGTTTAAATTTGTTAGCCACTAGATTTATTGTAGTTGTATTATTTTGACATTGTTGGGTGGTTTATGTAGCTCCTTCGGGGTAGACCAGACTAACGAAGTGATGTTACTCATGAGTGCGCTTTACTAGTTATCCTCAAAATCACATCCTATAATCAATCACCAGTGCAGCCTCCCTGTGGATTTTGAATGAGCTGTACCCCCTGTATCTGTTTCAAGTCAGCTCACATGACTTATAGTTTGAGTTTTATTTCTTGTATCTATTTTCTATGTAGTGGAACAATTAGTTTTTTGGCATGGCTGCAAAAATCTTAGTATAGTGCTCCCTCTGTCCCTGTCTCTGTCTCTGTCTCTGTCTCTGTCTCTGTCTCTGTCTCTGTATGTCTCTCTCTCCTCCCTATTCTCTCTCATTGTGCATGGCTTGTGTAAGGAGAGGCCTTCATTTTTCCCCTTCCCTTTTGACTGGATCATCCTTGTAGGTTCTATAGTCATTCATTCCATTTATTAGGACTGTGGCAAGACAGAATTTGTGAGGCAGGAGTCGTCTACTGGTTGAGGGCATATAGCTTTTAGTTGTGAAAACATGACCTCTTTTTCTTATGGGTTTTACCATGAGTTTGGTACTCTGTAAGGAAAGGAATTCTTTCCATATCTCGCTTCTTTTAGAAGAACAACAGCAAAAATATAAGGGAAGCAATGTATTCATAGCATGTGGTATGCTGTTCATTGGGAAGACACTCAACAATGGAGCTGCAGAATCAGTTTCTGGTCAAGTAAGTGATTTAAATTTCTGACCTTTCACAGTCGGTTATTTCTTTGTTCTTTGTTTTTAAAAATTAGGTTTTTCATTAGAACCAAACTGATAGGTTTTGCGCCAAAGCCCCTTGTCAATGGAATTTTGTTGGGAAACTCCTTATGATCTGTGATGGAGGTAGTTTGGTGTAATCTCCTCTTTTTTTCCTCTTTGACATCTGTTGGGCCTTAGACTTCAAATACAGGGAATAGTGTTTTTTTAGTTGTCTTGAAAGTTGCACCTTGGCAGCATTGCAGGATATTTTGTTTGCTTCCTTATTGGGATGGGCAAGCTCTGACTGATTGGTATCCCTTGTCTGCTATGTGTGTATTTAGTTTAAAGTTAAGTTGGAGTTTGCTTTCCTTTTTGACTGCAATGTATTTTTCCATAAATTGTTTGAAGCAAGTAATGCTGGATATGAAACTGGATAGCATTTTGGTAGACACAAAAACCATTTTGTGGTCAAGATTGGATATTGAGTTTAGAATGAAAGGCTTTACCTCGAAGCACTGAGTTCTCTTGTTATAAACTTAATTGAATATTGAAGCTTTTGTTCAGGAATGTAAGGTTGTAGTGAAGTAGCTGAGTTGTAGTGCACTATAGAGTTTAATATCATCATTAAATTTATATGAATTTGAAAGTACTGAATATATGAAAATTTTCAGAGTATTCATAACTGAATTAGTCTAGGAGGTGCTGAGCTTTTCAGTGGACATCATTCTTTCTTTTTCTAGGCAACACAAGGGAGATTACCTGGATTTGGATCATGAATGGCCTCCCCTTTGAGGATGGTAGATTGACCACCAACTCTCACCTCAGGAACTTAAGTGGACAGCATTATCAATTGTTTGTTTACTACAGTGGTGCATTCCATCAAGGATCACAACTTTATGCTTGTAAAACTGCACAGAGCTTTTCTTTTGGCATGTACAAGAGCATGGCACTTGTTTGGAAGATTATAATATGGCGGAACTATTTTATTTGGGGTTCATTTTATTCATAGTTATAAGATAAATAACCTGGACCCAGCTTTTTTTTGTTTGAGTTCTCATTACTTGTCTGATCTGATGTTTAAGCCTCAAGTCAGTGCTACCAAGTTTTCCTTCTCTGCCTGATATGTTTCTTGTCATCATCTGGACAGAAGTTCATTGATTTAATTTTATCGTTACCTGATTCTTTTTCTTTTCTTTTTGGGAGGGGGATAGAAGTAGTGTTTTGCTAGTTGTATGTGTGCAAATATATTATACTCATTTTAGGAAGCTTTATATTGCAGCAGGTTTTAGCTGGAATTGTTACCTCAGTGCATACCTTTCTTGAGTATAATGGAATTATGAATCTGGAATTAATATTGTTTCGTACTGAACTTTTGGTTTAGTTATTTCTGTCTTTATGTCCGTTCTTCTCTTGAGTTCTGTTCACGATCACTTGCATGTTTTAGAAAATTGAGGAAATGCGTATTTACCTTCTCCGCCTCTGTATTGTATTGGTACTATTCATATACAATAATGTATTTATTCAGCATGTCTTTATCTGATCTCTAATATTCTTCATGTATGTCTTCATCTCCAGGTTCACAACCTTTTGGCCCTGCAAATATGATGCTGCCTCCATGATTTCTGAATGTTTTGTCGTGAGGTATGATTAGTTGTTCAAAATTTTGTCCTTTTCTGGATATCATTTCGATGTTACTGTTATATTTGGGCTTGTAAATAAACAAAAATAAACATTATAATTGAGCTATAAGTACTTTAAGAAATGTTAAAAAAGAAGATAGATGCATGCTGTAACTGTGGAGAGAGAGAGATGGCCGTTTAATGTGCAGCTATTTGCGTAATCTTGTTTGGAATCTGCAATGATGGAATGGCTTCAGTTCAGGTTTGTTTCATATGTTCCTGTTTGGAAATTTACTTTTCTAGATGGAGATTACTTTTATACTAAATTAAACCATTTTTCTGCATGTGTGGGGTTTAATTGGCCGTTTAATGTGCAGCTATTTGCGTAATCTTGTTTGGAATCGGTAATGGTGGAATGGCTTCAGCTCAGGTTTGTTCCATATTTTCCTGTTTGCAAATTCACTTTTCTAGGTGGAGAAAAGAACATACTTTCAATGCGGCCACTTATTTGGAATGAATGTTACAAAAAATTAAAAGGAGTTGGACAATTTCTGGTAAGCACATGGCTCAATGGTTCATTCAGAAGTCTTTGTGGTCCCGCATCACTTTGATTAGCACATAACTCAATGCTTCTCTGAAGGATAGTGTGGGTAGTGCATTATAAGGGATGCGTATTATGGAGTAAAGTTGAAGAGCTAGTTGGCTTTATGTGTGGATACAAGCCTCATGTTCTTGCTAAAGTGTCTTGGAAAGGTAGAGCCATGATTATATAAATAGTTGTGACATAATAGGTTAATTGGATGAATCTTCTAAAAGAAGCTTATGAGAAAAGTGGTAATAAAACTTTGACTGGAGAACAAGGGCTAAAGGGATTCATGGCGAGATTGTAAATGTTATTGAAGCAAAGGCAAGAAAGAATCAGGTTTAATAAGAGGCTGGCTCTGGTGGCGCAAGTGGCTCATGAGAATAGCTACAAAGTTACTTTTAGGGCAAGTTTAATGAGACTCAGGTCAAGGTTTTGTGGCTTAATTAACGTTTAATTTCACATTATCGCAAAGAATTAGAAAAAAAGAGCCAAAGGAATAACACTTCAATTATTAGGCGTCATGCTTAGAATATGAATTCCATCTCACAATCCTTGAAGAGAGCCCAAGAGTTGATGGCATTGTGTTGACTTGAATAATTCCTGTACAAGTTACAAGTTAGATTAGACAGAGAGGGAGTGATTGGAGGAGAGTAAGAGGAGGGTCTGCTAAAACTAGGGCCCATTTACAAGCATAAGTTGTGAGTCTTCTAGAATGATGAATTTACATACACAAGGCTGAAATTGTTAAAATATATATTATTATTTGAATTTTTAATATATATATATATATATATATATATATATATATTATAAGAATTTGCAATAAGGTTTCTGTTCGTATGCAATTGATCTTGTAAGTTGAATTATATTCTCAGGTGGTGGTTTCTCTGCCGCGGCACAGGCTAAAAAGCCTAAGAACGGTTTCATTCCCTGTGCTTATCTGAATGGAACAAACCACCAGATGGTTCAAACTTATCACTGGTTGACCATAAATCGACTTCTCCATTGTAATACCTCTGCTTTCATCCGAAGCCACCAGACACGATCTGGCTTGATTGGAAACAAACGCATTTTTTTTAATAGACAGATATTTGTTTTCTTCCAGACATAGATTGATTATGTTAATATCCTTTCGCATCTTGAATTATGTACTTCATACCAAAAATATGAAATTTATAGAGTGGTGAAAAAGACAGAATCTTACTTATGCATGTTTGGATTTTTTGTTTTGTTTTTGGTTTCTTGGGAAGTCTTGAACATGTTGTGGCTACTCAAACGCAACTTCATTCAACAGCTGAATAATATCAGCTGTGAGGGAGGGTGGGTTGGTTAAACAGAGTCGCAATTCAATTCTTCTCCTTGCATACTGGCTTGAGGCTACACCTTCCATAATTCAACCATTTAGATGCAGTGAGGGGCATGGTGACCGGACCAGCCCTGTCCCTCACCGTGCGCAGAAGAACTTCTCGAAGTGTGGTGCCCACATGAGAGCAAAGGTGGCGGGCAACCTCGTGACTTGAAAATCCTGTGCTTGGTTTAATGGTATAAAAAGGTACTCTCTACTCTCTAATTGGCCCGCCTGAGAAGGTGGTGGTCCTTCCCCGTTTCTATTTCGAACTCACATTCAGTGACACTTCAACACCTATTATTAAAAAATAAAAAAATGAATGTTTATTGTATTTCTTGGCACCTTGCAAAATGCCAAAATGCATAGTTTGGAAAGCAGTTCACGATACAAAAACACCTGAAAGTCAAAACAAGTAGCGAGAGAGAGAGAGAGAGAGAGAGAGAGAGAGAGAGAGAGAGAGAGAGAATATGCGGTCATCACTCTCACATCCCCATGGAAATACAGGCTTCAAATTCCAATCAAACCCCATTTCTAACCAGTCACCACTAACAGCTACATCATTCCCATTCTCTCACTACACCAAGACATCTCCTTCCCCCTCTGCTTTTATTCAACTCACTCTAAGATCTCAATATGACTTACGACCACAATTTCCCAGTAAACCCACATGGCTTTTACCCTCAGTTTCCTTTCCATTCGCATTAGCAACCAAGACTGGAAGATCATCACTAGCTCCACTTCAGTGTGGCATTTTGTCGAACAGCTGTAGCACCGACGATGGCAAGAGGAGTTTCAGGGATTGGGTTGAGGTGGTTGGTGAGGCTGTATCAACTGCATTTCCCATATGGGTTGCTTTGGGATGCCTGTTGGGGCTCATCAAGCCGAGTTCCTTCCATTGGGTCACACCCAACTTGACCATCTTAGGCATAACACTGACCATGCTTGGCATGGGCATGACCCTCACTTTCGACGACCTTCGTGGGGCGTTGGCTATGCCCAAGGAATTACTTGCTGGCTTTGTTCTTCAGTACTCGGTCAGTAGTTCCATTTCATACAATATAATCCTCATAATGATTTAAATCCCTACATTTTGTTTAATGCATATGGCTCATTTGGAACTTGTTAGCGTTGTTCAGTCTCAAAATTTTGAACCTTTGCTAAACATTGGCAATGCATTGGCATTTGTGTTAATATCACAACAAACCTTTGAACAAATCTCTGAAACTCTGAATGTCTAACTTTCTTTAACCCTGCAGAGTTCAGGCTCTTTTAATCTTAGGCTCCAATGTCAACAACTTGATATTTTGAACATTTCTAACTCCAAGTTGTTTTGTACTGGGGCTGAATATGTATGTCCTTCAATCTGTTTAGGAGCAAATTTCGTAACACTTATGATTTCAATGGCATGTTCTTGCAGGTGATGCCTTTATCAGGATATGCTGTGAGCAAGCTTTTGAATTTGCCGTCCTATTATGCAGCTGGTTTGATATTGGTTGGTTGCTGCCCTGGTGGTACGTATGTTTGCCAGTCTTTTCATACTTATCCCTGTTTACTTCATCCTCACCTCTCTTTCTGAATTTACCTTTTTTTTATCCCTTCTTTGCAGGAACAGCAAGTAACATAGTAACTTATATTGCACGGTACATGAATTATCCAAAATAGTATCATACAATATTACCTTTTTCTTATCTGTGTCCAAAATCTACTTTTATCCTGTGTAATTTGCTGAAAGTTCCACTTTGGTGCTTTAAGTTTCAATCGGTATTATGTTAATCCCATAATTTCCAATTTGTGTCAATTACGCCCCTCTAGTTTCAATGTAACAATGTCAACCTTGCACTTTTCAATTTGTGTCAACCCTGCACTTTTGTTTATCTGATCGGACAAGACAGACCACTGCTTGTCTCCAACATGATCCCAATTTCACATGACAGTATTTTTTTGCCCAAATAATCTACTCCAGAACCATTAGTCTCGATCGTGTGAGCAATATGGTCACTACACTCCCTCTATGTTGCCATTAACATAGTTTGCTGATTTGGATGGGTATGATTATCTTTATAAATATTTCAACATTGAAATTCCTACATTAAGCATGCTCCTTGTTAACCATCTTGAATGCTTATGCTACAGTAGTTCATGGGGTGGGTCAGTCCCCACCTACTGCTCAGCTGAGACTAAAATGACCAAACTACAACTTCTAAAAACTAGGGAGATCGAAGTACTGTACCTTTTGTTTTTCCTCTCTGGCCAGAGGATCTGATGATCGTATTGTTTTGCCAGTGGAAATGTGGCACTTTCAGTTTTAATGACAGCAGCAAGCACTTTATCAGCCGTGGTTGGTATACTGGCACAACTTTATTTTCATGTATTTTTCCTTTTAGGTGATATATGCATGGTCCAAAATTTAGCACATCTTTTGAAAAATGGTTAGAAAGACAGTTTGAAGCCCGTTTTCTGCTCAAACTTACTGAACGCTTACATCCTAACTAAGATTCTATCAATCCTATTTGTTTTCTGGTTAAAAGTTATGAGGCACATCCACTTTTCTCCCTCTGGAAAAGATTAGTTAAACTATTAATTATGAGAACTATTGTCTTCTGTTCGATTCTTAACCTAAAGTGATATACTGAAAGCTCATTTCTTAAATTACCGACTGCAGCCATATTTTTTACACTGATATACCTTACAATAATGATGAGAGTGTTAGAGTTGTCTTATATTTAGGGAGATATAGTTACTAGTGAGTCAACTTATGAGCCTATTTCTTTTTATGATCAAACCTTACTTTTACCAATTCATGTTGTAGATCATGACCCCCTTTCTCACTGCCAAACTTGCTGGTCAATATGTTGCAGTAGATGCAGCTGGGCTATTATTCTCAACATTGCAGGTAAGCTTTCAAACCTATTGCCTACTTCGTATGCTGCTACAAATTATATTAAGATACCATATGCTTTGAACACAGGTTGTGCTTCTCCCTGTATTGGCGGGTGCATTTCTGAATCAATATTTCCAAGGCCTGGTTAAATTTGTGTCCCCCTTGATGCCACCCATTGCTGTGGGAACTGTAGCTGTTCTTTGTGGGAATGCAATTGCCCAGAGTTCTTCTGCAATCCTTATGTCTGGTAAACAAGTGGTGCTAGCTGCCGCTCTTCTTCATGCATCTGGATTTTTCTTTGGTTACGTACTTTCAAGGATACTTGGGATTGATGTGTCATCATCAAGGACTATCTCCATCGAGGTTGGCATGCAGGTTAGCATCATTTTCTCATAGAGATGGATTTTTAAAAGAGAATTGGTTCTCATTTTCATCCAGTGATTGTTCACAGTTTTCCACTGCTAATTATCTTGGAGTGAACAAGGCTTTGCAGCAATTTGCTAATTTCATTCTATAGGCAAAGGCACATGATGTGTGTGTGTATGTACATTATTCATGCAAGAATGTGTCATTTTGTATCATGGTATAATTGGTTGTCTGTGTGTAATTAAACCCTACTATTTCTGTTCTTGTATCGCCGAGTGTTCTTATCAAGTCTTCTATGTTTCAGAATTCGGTGCTTGGAGTTGTTCTAGCAAGCCAGCACTTCGGAAATCCTCTAACTGCGGTACCATGCGCAGTTTCCAGCGTTTGTCATTCAATCTTTGGTAGTGTCTTGGCAGGAATTTGGAGACAGAGTGTGCCAACGCAAAAGCAAGATTGAAATGTCACGTAGAAGCTTTAGACAAGCAGTATAAAACTTTAAAACAATCCTTCTGTAATCATATAAGCTGCTAGTTGTGGGAATTTCATTGCACATTAGCTAGCTATGGAGCACTTGGATTTGCAATTTGTGGTGCTTGTCTTGTCTGTGAACAATTTGAACTTAAACATTTAAATTGCGTTTCAATGTGCTTCCTTTCAATATGATTTTTAACTCAATATTTCACATATAAAATCATTTGTTCATGAAATTACAATTATCAACGTAAAATATATCATGAGAGAGAGAGCTGACAACTAATGATAAATTTGACCATACAAAAACAACAGCAAGCCAAAATTGGAAAAATTCCTCACATAATCTTGGGAAAAAAAAATTTAAAAGTTTTAAATACTCAAAAAAAAACAGGGTTTTGAATTTGTATTATTTTTCTCTCAAATTGTTACCCAAACCAAAGCCCCACCCAAGCCCAAGTCCAAAAACAAAACCAGGCCTCACCCAACTGCTTTTGGTACCAAAAATTCATCACAGGCCAGAATTTGATTTTTGCCCAAAATTCATGTGGGCGCTGGTTTTTAAAACTCAATTGAATCCCAAAACTAAACCAAAAAATTAGAACCCCGCCAAATTCAAATCTAACAACTTCCAATTTCCCACCACCACACCAATTTGTTTGCCTCATAATTCAATTCAAATCCCGAACGTCAAATCAAAACCTCCAAAGCGCTCTCAAACTCTCACAAGCCCCAGCCCCCCTCAAATTGTTTTCCTCAACTTTCTTTCCCCACCAACCCCCACCAAGCCAACCAATGGATCAGAGATTCCATGGCCTGCCTCCTCTCAAGAGATTCAGACTTATGCAACAACAAGAGCAGCAGGAAGATACCCTTTTAGCCTCCTCGCGCCTTCCGGCGAAGAAAAGAAAAGAGGCATGGCACCAGCCCCTTCTCCCGGACCCATTTGCCGCCACCACTGCTGTCTCCACCTATTCATTGCCTGCCAAGAAAAGGGTTTGGGCCTTTCTGCCAGATTTAATCTCCGAGGACCCGCTTTTGACATTGGACCTTAATGTCGAGTACAAGGTGCCTTTTGGTGCAGAGTCAGAAGAAGCAGTGGTGGAGAAAGAAGAAGAGGAAGAAGAAGAGAAGGGTATTATTCATGAAAATGATTGCAGTGAAGCTACTGAAAATACCCAAGAAGAGAAAGGCCAAGAAATTACTGGTGATGAAGATGACAATGAAGAAGAAGATGGGATTGTTTGTGCTATATGTCAGAGTACAGATGGAGATCCATCAGATCCAATTGTGTTCTGTGATGGCTGTGATCTAATGGTTCATGCCACCTGCTATGGCAATCCCCTTGTAAAGGGTATTCCAGAGGGCGATTGGTTCTGCTCCCAATGCTCGCTTTCTTCTGCGTCTTCTCAATCCACTGAGTCCTCTTCTTGCTGCCTGTGTCCTATCAAGGGAGGAGCAATGAAGCACACCAGAGATGGCAGGTGGGCCCACATCGTGTGCGCGCTTTATGTGCCTGAGGTGTTCTTCAAAGATCCCGAAGGCCGAGAGGGGATTGATTGCTCCAAGGTTCCCAAAAGGAGGTGGAAAGAGAGGTGTTATGTTTGTAAGAGTTCAAGGGGATGTGCTATTCAGTGCTCTGAGCTTAAATGTCCTTTGGCTTTTCATGTGACTTGTGGATTGAATGAAGATCTTTGCTTAGAGTACAGGGAAGGAAGGAAGCAGGGTGCTATTGTAGCTGGGTTTTGTAAAACCCACTCAGATCTGTGGAAAAAGGTAAATGTTTGTTTGTTTACAAATCACTTTCCTTTGAATTTTAGTTCTTTGGTTTTAAATATCATGTATTTGATGGGGCTTTGCTAAATGGATTTTGTTTTATTTGCAGCAAGAACAGACTGGGAAGTACAAGATTGTGGCTAGAGAAGACTGAAGAGCAAAAGTAGTTAGATTGTGCAGATTGATATATAGAACTTTGTGGTATGGTGTACAATGGATCTGCTGGTTAGTGTTTGATTATTGGTTTTCTCTTTTGGGGAATTACATGTTTCCGTGAGTTTCAGATATCTATAGGGTTTTAGTGTTGGCTTATTTGATTATTATTGTGACTGGTGATGTATTTTAATTACATTCTAACTTATTGTCGGTGCATCTAGCGCATAAGCTTTGAGCTAACTGGGTTAGATGAAGATAAACATTAGAATGACACTTCAGTTTATGTGATGAAAATTTGCTCTCCATAAATGGGATTTTAAATTGTATTCATGGTGTCGTGAGTCTTTGCCCTCTTGGCATTTGATGTTATAGGATCATTGTCATGTTTCATCTGAATAATATTGTTTACAGTTATCTGGGGGGAGATGTCTGTTGTATGAATTTATCATTCAAGCAGTCAAAGGCATATCATATGCCAAATTGAATGAAACCATTAGTGTTGGATAATTATGACTGTTGTACTTTATGAGAACCAAATGTTGTACATCATTATTACTGCACCTACAACCAATGTCTCTGTCTTTTAAGGATGTCTCTCAAATTTTTAGATATGTGGTCTGCAATTTTGCATCCCAGTTTATGATATAAAATTCTGCATAAGTTAGATGAAGGAAGACTTGGTTGGTTACTAGAAAATGACCAAACTTGGGTTTGAGAGTCTTTCATTTATGCATATGTGCAATGGATTTGTAGCTTTCAGCTCCTGCATATGATTGACTGGTTAACCAAGCGATCTACAAGTCATACCTTTTGATTTGCAGGCCCTCTGTTATGAACAAGGGACATCTCCGGGAAGTTAGGCATTCTCGGTCAAGGCCTTTGCTTTTTTCCTCTGGCTTGGTTCTGAGCATCAGTGTGAGATCCAACACCTAATAAGCCTTTTAACTGCATACCCTTTGCACTTTAAGGATCAAAACCATGTCAATACAGTGGGGGGACTTAGTGGGCCAATTCTGCTATTTCTTTGCTATTAGAAACCACCTCAATGTTTGAATTGAAGACATTTACTAGTCACAGTTTCTAGATGTTAGGACATGTATTTGATGATTATAATAAAGTTAATTGTTCTTCGTCTAAGCAGGATTGCTTAAGATTTACTGGGACATTGAAATAGGCAATTCTGAATGACCAATTGTAATTGTAACAACTTAGAGTTGTATTTTTTAGATTCAAAATCCCCGGCACAACTATGAAAAAAATGTTTAGTCCCTATGGCACTCTTGATGGTCTCTATCTCTACAATTATGTTTTCTAATCATTACAACCATTACAGTTCTATTTGTGATTCTCTGGACCTGAAAATGATGTTAGAGCCTAATCATGGCGCCCCAAATTTCAAGATTCAATGCTTTGACAAATCTAGATAGGCTTTTAGATTGGGTTTCTAATCATCAAGTGTGAAATATTGCTTGTTAAACTTCCTTACAGATGGAGGATACTGGAAATTCCATTTAGCACATCCCGATAATTACGTGCCTCTGATGTGTCTGCCTTGTTTTTTCTAGTTTCTAAGATGCAAAAGTCTCGAGGCCAAACCTAAATGGACTTTGCATCTATCCTCCTGCGGGGAATTTTGCACTTCAAATGTCAATATACAGCTGCAGGGTACGTAGATGTCTGTACTTAGGCCACGGTCATAAACCAGAGCTTAATGAAGGAAGAAAGTCCAAGAGAGCTCTCACCCCTAATTAACAACTTTAAACTCAAACTTAAAGCTAATTATAATGATTCTTGTTTGATCTACATAAAAGCTAGCCTATATGCCACTTTGCTTGCTAAACCAAAATAAATTAGTTAAAAGGTTTGAATGGAAACTTGAGGAAGAAGATTCAAATAAAGTGGCCTACCGCCCATGTGTGAATACCTCGTTTGAAATATTTCCTCCCTGTTCAGTAATTCAACAGCCTTGATCCATTAGCTAGCATTTATTGCATCTTGGGTTGACAAATGGTACAAGTAATATGCTCTATAATGGATAACACAAATTGACTTTTTATTTCTCTGCATCAACTTCTCACCACATTTCTCTATAAATACCTTGCATGGGTTGGCCTAAGAAAATCACAAACACCTTCTACAAAACCCAGCAATTGTTTCTTTGTATTGTGGAGATTATACATCGAAAACATATACTCGAAATTAGAATGATGTCCATGAAGTTGATTGGAAGCCTCAGCTGCTGCATATGGCTAGTCATGGCCATAGTCACCGTAGCTCAAACATCCGATGACTCGAATGCTCCGGTGCTTGACACTTCCGGTCAGGCTCTTCAAGCCGGTGTAGATTACTACATCAAACCCGCCATTACTGACAGTGGCGGTCGTTTCACTTTGATCAACAGAAATGGCTCATGTCCATTGTATGTCGGTCAAGAAAACGTCTCAGGCCCTGAGGGCCTTCCTGTGACGTTTGCTCCTTTTGTAGAGGGAGAAACTGTGGTGAGGGAGTCAAGGGACCAAAAGATCACATTCTCAGCGTCCACAACCTGTGTGCAGTCAACTGCATGGAAGTTGGGTGAGACTGATCAAGTCACCCAAAGGAGATTGATTGTCACCGGAGAAGATCAAAACCAAGGCATCGCTGGTCCGGCTCGAAACTACTTTAGTGTTAACAAGCAGGCAACTCCAGACGGTGTCTACAATCTGCAATGGTGCCCAACTGAACTGTGCCCTACTTGCAGGTTTTTATGTGGGTCTGTTGGAGCTCTTGTGGAGAATGGGAAGAGGTTGCTTGCCTTGGATGGTTCTGTGCTTCCTGTTGTGTTTGAGAGGGCTTAAGTAAATATTTGATCCATATTTATTATGTGATAATGGGATGGGAATAATCATGTCATATAGCTGACTGTATATGATCCTCATTATCAGTCTCTTAATTATAAATAAACTCTTGCAACTAATGTCATGGGGAACTTATAAACTCATCTCTTATAGCTTAATTAGTTCCACCATTATTATAACAATTATACAAATTTATAAATAAATCCAATCCTATACATGTATTTATAAAAAAACCCAAGCACTATTTAAACATATAAACACACCCAAAATCAATCCCAAAATCAACAATTGTATATTTTTTGGGTGTATTTATAAATGGATTTTGAGTGTATGTAATGATGGGTTTTGGGTGTGTTTATAAAGTGTTTTGGGTGTTAGGTTTTTTTATAATTTCAGCCCCCATTTTGGGTGTTTTAGTGAAACTCCCTTAACGTAGCTTTCCAAATTCACGATGTTGATATGTATCATTTTCAATAACCTGATTTGTCTTGTTATATGTTATGTATATTTATATGAGACACAATTAGAGGGGTCAATTTTGACTAGTCAAACAGTCAACTTTTGAATTCATGACCATTGATGTGAGCGTAATCTGTGAAATTATTAAACCGTGTTTAATTTTCTTACATTGTTTACTGTTGTAATCACCATAAATTTTAGCCTCAGGGATGCTAATTAACGTGGTGGGTACTTATATGGGCTAAACTCCACGACAAAATGGAGCTATAGCTTGGTCCAATTTCCAACTACTTTTTTCATACCCCATAAAAAAAACTACAGGGTATGGTACAATAGATTGAACATGAAGTTTTTTTTTAATAATTTTTTTAATTTTTTAATTTTTTATACTTCATTAGATAAATTTTAACGGTAAAATTAAAGACATCTAAATATATCAATACCAAGAGAGCAACAAACTAACATAAGAGCATAGTTTTATTTCTTTCTTGATGTAGGTTCTCTATGTCATGTCCTGGAGGAAGATTAATGGCGGTTGGTTTTCTTTTTGTCGGCGTTGTTTTAGTTTTGTAGTTTTGGTTTAGTTTGTTCAATAAGATTCAGAAACTCTATGAGTTGTTTTTGTTGTTTTACTTTCATAATTCCATAAACTTTGTTGAATTTGCTGGAGTTCGTAGTCTCTTTAAGAGAGTCATGCCGATTAACGGCTAGTTTTGTCCTCGATGTAATTTGACTAGATTTGAGGCAACTAAGAGGATAGATAGGAGTTTTAGAAAATTTATTTTTTGGTAGTGATTCTCTCCATATCATATCATTTCTGCAATTTGACCATATTCACCATACTGCTATTGGAATAGTTAGCTTTATAGTCTTTTTCTTTCGAACTTTTTTTGTATGTTTGATCTAATAAACTTAAATCGCTTTTTATCAAAAAATTCTAGTTTGAGTTTGAATTTGATTTCGATATGTTACTCTCTTTTTCACTCAAGCTTTTTTTTTCTTTTTTTAAATAGAGAAATTTAGTTATATACCAATTCTTAGCACTAATAATATAGATAAACCAGTACTATTTAATTTCTATAAACAAACAAAAAAAAACTCAAAAAATGACAGTTGGCCCTATTGAATTTAATTTTGATTATTAAATTACTTTGATGCTCTACTGAGTGTTTTGAGATTTTTTTTATGAGATTTTGAGGTTGAGTTTGTTTTAAGAAATTAATGGTAGTTTTGTAATTTTAAAAAAGTTAAAAGCCTTTTTGTTATGTTGTAAATGAGTTTTGGGTGTGTTTTTAAAATCTATTTCATATAAGGTTTTTTTATTATAATTTAAGCTCTTATATTGGGTATAATATTGAATCTCCCTTTTTTTAATACGCAAAGATATTAGCATATGCCAACCACCGAAATAAAATCGATCTGCAATTCAGACGTCATTGCAAACATCCTGTCTTTTAGCTCACTATACAATGTACGAAGTCTTCATCTATTAGGCTGTGGGCCTTCCAGACACACCAAAGTGGACATTTCATAATTCAAAGGTTGGACAAAACAAAAACTAGTGTAAACAAGAAAACAAAACTGAGGGAAAGATATATTATTCAACAGAGGAGCCTGATCATCCATATTAGCTAGCTTTGGCAAAGCTATGGAAGAAAAGACATCCGGGAGCTTCTACGGTGGATCTCTTATTGTGCCTAGTGTTCAAGAATTAGCCAAGAAGCCTATAACCGCCATCCCACCCAGATACATACAGCCTCATCATCCTGAACAACAAGACCATGTCATGTTCAATCCTGATCATGATCATGCTGAAATGCCATTCATTGACATGCAGAAGCTGCTTTCTCAAGAATCCACTGATTCTGAATCTGAGTTAGCTCGGCTCCATTTTGCTTGCAAAGAGTGGGGTTTCTTTCAGGTACACAACTTTTTTCACTCGTTTGTCTGTCTTGAGGAATTAATGAGAAAATTAAATCACAATTTAGCATCAATGAGAAGTTATTGGTAGGTAATGTTGAATTGATAGAGTAACTACAAGTATTAGTAGTGTAGAGGAAAAAGTGTGTCCCAATAAATATATGTTAATTTGCTTGTGGATTTTTTTTTTGAAATCTTTACTTTTTTAGAAGTGGCCCTGAGTTTAAATTCCAAAAACGACGGTTGTTAAATAAAAGGAGTTCAAGAATTCGGGTTTAGGAATTATCATGTCACATGTATTCTTACTTGATACTAACTAGGCATTTAGAAAGTAATCATGGCCAACATTAAGACATTATGTATATATGTTACAGTTGGTAAACCATGGTGTGAGCTCTTCCTTGGTGGACAAAGTAAAGACAGAAAGTCAAGACTTCTTCAACCTAGCCATGGAGGATAAGAAAAAGCTTTGGCAAACCCCAGGAGATGTGGAAGGTTTTGGACAAGCCTTTGTAGTTTCAGAAGACCAAAAACTAGATTGGGCTGACATTTTCTTCATGACCACCCTTCCAGTCGAAATGAGGCGGCCTCACCTATTCCCAAACGTCCCTTCTCCTTTTAGGTCCTCTCCTCTCATCATCTCATCATATATTCATATACTTTGTGCATTTTCATGTGCATGTGTTTGTGACTTCGGCAATATCGACAAAATATTGATGCGCATATAGACAGTCACAGTTCTTTAAGCAAAGAACTGCACAGAGAATTTCTGCATACATGATATATGTGAGTATTTTTCTAAAACTGACTTATTGTTTACATGTAGAGAGACCTTAGAAGTTTACTCACTGGAACTGAAGAACCTAGCCATGACTATCCTATCACAAATGGAAACTGCTTTGCAAATGGAAGCCAAGGAAGTGACCAAGTTATTTGAAGATGGAATGCAATCAATGAGGATGAACTATTACCCTCCATGCCCTCTTCCGGCAGAAGTCATCGGTCTTACACCTCATTCTGATTCTGTAGGTCTCACCATCCTCCTACAAGTGAATGAAATGGATGGTCTCCAAGTAAGGAAAGATGGGATTTGGGTTCCTGTTAAGCCACTACCAGATGCCTTTATTGTCAATATTGGAGACATTTTAGAGGTAATCATATAGCTCTCAATTTCATATAACTGATCCTATGGTGAATACTTATGTAAATCTATAGTTCATAGTTCTACAACATAACATATAGAAGAATATCAACAAAAAAATAAATCGAAAACATTACCCCTGTTCAAACATGTCATTTTACAATATAGGGCCATAATGCTTGCCTTCTTCTATTTGTGCCATATTTACTGATGATAGTGTCGGTCAGTTGCATCTCTCATGTAGATGGAACTAGACTTGATTGTTTGAGTTACGAGCTTTGTGAAAGATGTGTTCAACAGTAATTTCAAATCAAGATTCATCCATAATAATTTTATCTATTGCAGCTATATAATTTTATGTGTGTATGTGGGACTCATGGCAGATTCAAACAAATGGAATTTATCGAAGCATTGAGCATCGTGCAACAGTTAACTCTGCAAAAGAAAGGCTGTCAATCGCCACATTTCACAACCCAGCACTTGATGGTGAAATTGGTCCGGCGTCTAGCTTGGTCACTGAGCAAACACCTGCAGTATATAAAAGGGTGGGAGTTCAAGATTATTTGAAAGCCCTTTTTGAACGTAAGCTTCAAGCAAAGTCTTTTCTTGATGAACTTAGGATAAAGTAAGATGGTGGTGAGATTTAGACAATATGTGAGCTTGGAATTGCAACCATGTATTGGTGGTATCTAATTTTCTGAAGAAATAAACCAAGGCCTACCAGTCCAAATGGTGTCCAACTGATGAAGTGTGCCCTGCTTGTAGAGTTTATTTTGGGTATGTTGGTTCCTCTTGAAATGTGAAGAGGTTGCTGCCCTTTAATATCATTTGAAATATATAGCCCCTTATTATGTAATAAATGAGAATAATCATGCCCTAGCTGACTATGATCCTCATCATTAGTACCTCCAGTCTCTTAATTATAAATAAATTGTTGCAACTAATGTGATGTGAAAGTTATAAACTCATCTCTTATAAGTTCATCTTCTTCTTCTTCTTCTTTTTCCTTTTTCTTTTTAATTTTTATACAAACGATATTATACTTTAATCTAATCTCAACTTTGGGAAGGGGGATTCAAACGTGTATAGTAGGGAGCACATTCGCTTTAGCTAACTTAACTAAGCCCATATCTGCTTAGTTCATCTTCTTTTACTTCATCCTTATAGCTTAAATAGGTTCATCACCCTTAGATATAAATAAAGTGGTGCACTTATATAGTTCATCCTTCTTTTAAGCTTTTAGGCTTTTAAATTGACTTGACTTGACAGTTTTACCTGTTTTTGTTTTCTGTGAAGCCAATGGTGTGGCTCACATACTCGTTCTCGTTATGCATTCTCTTTATCTTAAATATCTACATGATATGAGGACTCTCCCGATATCATTTGTGATGCTTTGACTAAAAATGTATTAATTGTAACAAGTTTTGATGAAATAATTATCGATATTTCTCTCTATAAAAAAGAAAAAAGAAAAAAAAAGACGAGACTTGATTGGAGTAGCTTTTCCGATACAACTTGATTTTTGATTTGTCTGGTTGAGTCAAATACTATGCATATTTTATGTGGTACATATAACTTGCACAAATCAATTTCGACTATTGTCAATTTCTGAATTTGTGACCATTGATGTGAGCAAATTAATCAACCGTATTTTCTTAGAATGCTGCTTGTTAGCTACTGTTGTAATCACCATATACCATTAGAATGAGGTGTAAAACCGTTGATGATACCTACAACCTTTAGTATACAATATATAATTAAAAGGTTAACTATAATTAATTTAAAATTAGTAATTATGTCAGTGACATTTCTCTTCCTAATGTTAAAAGAAATTTCAAATTCTAATCCACCTCCCATGTTAATTAAAACAAATCCTAATTAATCTTTATATCTATACACTCACGTGTCGGCGCGTGCAAAATTATTCCAAAATTTCCTCACAATATGGTCACAAATCTCTTAAATCATAGATTATTGCTGCCCTGCCCATTGGTCATCCAACTACTAGTTCAAGTCCAGACAAGAATACAAAACTGACTAACGTATATTTAACGTTTGGGGTGGGGGGGTTTGGGGGCGATGGGTGGTGGGTGGTGGGGCGTCATCATCGTGATTGGTGAGCAAGAGAGAGAGTCTAGCAAATAAAAAAATATCCAGATTAAGCAGCCAAATTAGCTAGCTTTGGCAAAGCTATGGAAGAAAAGGCATCGAGGAGCTTGTACGGTGGCTCTCTTATTGTGCCTAGTGTTCAAGAATTGGCCAAGAAGCCTATAATCACCATCCCACCCAGATACATACAGCCTCATCATCACCATCACCAACAAGATCAAGTGATACTCAACTCTGATGCAGAAATACCATTCATTGACATGCACAAGTTGCTTTCTCAAGACTCAATTGATTCTGAATCTGAGTTAGCTAAGCTCCATTTTGCTTGCAAAGAGTGGGGTTTCTTTCAGGTATACACCGTTTTTCACTCCTTTGGACTGTCTTGAGGAATTAATTAATTAGAAAATTACATCACACTTGTGATAGTATATTATATTGATGGAGCAATATTATACTTCAATGAGAAGTTATATGTAACGTTGGGCCAAAATTGGTAAAGTAAGTACAAGTATTAGTAGCGTAGAAGAAGAAGCGTATCGTCAAGGGGCTAATTTGTTTTAGTGGGAATTTTAACTTAAATTATAAGATGTTTATTATAAGATCTGGGGAGCTCCACTCTAGACCTAGTAGTGGCTCCGCCGCTGCGTATCATGGTTGTGTGTGTGTGTGTGTTTTTTTTCTTAAGGAAGATATATTTTTTATATTGTGAAATCTTCATTTTGTTGGAAGAAGTCCTGAGCGACAGTTGTTACATAAATAAAACAAGTTCACAAATTCAAGTTTAGGCAATTAATCGTGTAATTATACATGTAATAAGCACGTATTTTTACTTATTACTAACTAGGCATTTAAAAAATAATCGTGTACAACATAACATAGTATATGCATGTTACAGTTGGTAAACCATGGAGTGAGCTCTTCCTTGATGGAGAAAATAAAGACAGAAGTTCAAGACTTCTTCAACCTTCCCATGGAAGAGAAGAAAAAGTTTTGGCAATCCCCAGGAGACGTGGAAGGTTTTGGACAAGCCTTTGTAGTTTCAGAAGACCAAAAGCTCGATTGGGCTGACCTTTTCTTCATGACCACCCTTCCAGTTCAAATAAGGAGGCCTCATCTGTTCCCAAACCTCCCTTCTCCTTTCAGGTCCTCTCCTCTCATCATCTCATCAGATTACTTTGTGTGCATATCCATATGTTCGTGATTTTGTGCAATATGATTATATATATGAATGCGCGTGAATCCATGCTGTATATAGGTCCACCTCGATACAAGTTACAACTTAATGATCCAATTAAGTTGTTCATTTTCTTAGGCATTATTTTTAGTATGGATACATACATGATGTCCGGCTTTTAATAATAAACACAAGCTATTAATATGGCCTCGATGATGTGCGTAAATCATTGCTGTCAACAAAATTTACCGACATGTTATCGATACATTTTCACCAACAATATTGATGCACATATACACCAATTCAATCTTTAAGATTAAAGACCGAACATCCTGCACATAGAATTTATGCATAAATATGTAGGTGACTGAATTTCGATAACCAAGTTATTTTTTACATGTAGAGAGACCTTAGATGATTACTCATTGGAGCTGAGGAACCTAGCCATGACTATCCTATCCCAAATGGAAACTGCTTTACAAATGGAAGACAAGGAAGTGACCAAGTCGTATGAAGATGGAATACAACATATGAGGATGAACTATTACCCTCCATGTCCTCATCCGGGGAAAGTCATCGGTCTTACACCTCATTCTGATAGTGTAGGTCTCACCATCCTCCTACAAGTCAATGACATGGATGGTCTCCAAGTGAAGAAAGATGGGACTTGGGTTCCTGTTAAGCCACTACTAGATGCCTTTATTGTCAACATTGGAGACATTTTAGAGGTGATCATCTTTAACAATTATCCAAAAACTAAGCTTCATTCACCATAATAATTTTATCTATTGCAACTATATGATTTTGTTTTTTTGTTTTTTGTGTTCATGGCAGATTCAAACAAATGGTGTTTATCGCAGCATTGAGCATCGGGCAACAGTTAACTCTGTGAAAGAAAGGCTCTCGATCGCTACATTTTACAGCCCGGAATTTGGTGGTGAAATTGGTCCAGCTCCTAGCTTGGTCACTGAGCAAACACCTGCAGCATATACAAGGGTGGGAGTAGAAGATTATTTCAAAGCCTTTTTCAAACGTAAGCTTCAAGGAAAGTCTTATCTTGATGAGCTGAGGATAAAGTACTAGAAAATTACTCAATTCCATTTAATTTTCTGAAGAAATAGAAAGAGGTGTATTCTTGTATAATTAGTATTGTTTTACTACTGTTGTCATAAATTTTCATCAAATGATAAGAATGTTGTATTATCACCTCAAACTCGATTTGAGTGAGTGCCAGTGTGCCACCTGCTCTTATAACTTTATAAGGACAGTTCAGTGTAAAATTTCTCCAAGATTAAAAGAAGAAAACCCTTTTTTTAATTAATAACCAATAGTGCGTACACTTAATTACAAAAGGCACAATTGGAAATAAACCAAAAAAATAGTGGGATTATACAATCACTCCACCCTCCCCTCAAATCTAAACATGGACTCTTACCCCTCTTGAATCCCCACTTAAACCCGCCTAAGACAATCCATACTGCACAGTTCCTGTATTCCTGTGAGCAGCTACAGCAACGGCTGCAGCACCAACAGGACCAAACTGAGATTGCGCCTGCAGCAGTTTTGAATCGATCACATGTAAGTGATCTGCCTTCGTGGGTGGTGGGTAGTATGGATTGGTGTTGACTTCAATGGCCATGCCAGGAGCAGGTTTTGCTGCTAAGTTGCGTTGTTCTGGCTGGGGTTGCAGTTTAGCATGTGATGCATCCCTCCGCATCTCCAAACCGGACTTGTCTTGATTGGCAGTATGAGTTCTGAAGAAACAGTGTGGAGAGACAGACTGAGGGGGAAGAACGGAGTTTCTGTAGAACGTCCTCGGATCATAGGTTTCCTTGATATTTCTGCCATTCTCATATGGAAGAACTGGTCCAACAACTCGTCCAGGTTTTGCTGTGCATGGGAAGGAAAATTAATTAACACTACTAGAGTAACCAAAATAAAAAGGGAACGATGCTCTAATTAAAAGCTAGTGGATCAAACAAAAGGCAAACTTAAAAGTCATTTGTGCTTCTGAAAGTCAGATTCATAACACACAACTTATAAGGCGTAGTCAATGTAAGGGCACCAGGAAGAGGTATTTGGGGCGCAAAGAAAAAAAAAGGCAACGTTGATTATTGGCTAAGCACCAAGACCAACTCTGAGTTGTTGATAAATCATTACTTCATCATGATAAATTCTGCGAGTTCTAATTAAAATCCCATTCCTTAAAATAATCAGAGATGAAAAAAATAACTAGGTATTATTACATTGAAAAACTAAGGCTTCACAAAAAGGCAGTGTAGTACCTGTTGGAACCCTTGGTGGAGGCCGTAAAACCTTTGATGCATTTCCAGAAATTGCATCTGTTACTCTAAAATTGCTAGAAGCCTCTTCTGCCTGTCGATTCTCATACGAGATCAAATTTGGCTGTGCATTAGGGGGAATTGTACTCGAGTGAACGGTGGATCTGCAAACAAAAAATATGGTTGGGTACACATCCATAAGAATATTGAAAAATCAGAGTAAGCCTTCCGAAGTCAACATCTTTTCTTGATGAAAGCAAAGACTACAATATTGAGATACAATGAAATCATCTTGCAAATAGCCTACCGTGGAAGGGAGACATGCTTCCTCGCTAGAGGAATAACCGGTCCACTTTTCCCACTGTTTTCCTCAAGATAAGCAAACTGCTTTCTGAATTGGCCTATAGCACTGCATTCAATAAATATGTTATAAATCATCGATGGGAACAGAAAAATCTACATAACATAAAGATAGGATGAATAAGAAGTAAATTTTGAACCTCGGGTAGAGAAAACTAGTGCCTTCAGTTCCATTCAAGTAGTCCTTAAGTAGCTGCGGATGGTATTCTAGTATTTCCCGGTAAATTAATTCCCTAATGTCTTCCTTTGTGACTCTTCGCCTTTCAAATTCAAATTCCAGCTTTGAAATAGGCTGACAAGAATGTTCTCTCTCAACTTTGGCTAGACCTTTGAAGTACGGATCAGCTAGTGCCTATAAAACAAACAAAGAGATAAGGTTTTAGTCCGACTGTATTAAACAAAGAGAAGAAAGAAGCTCTACAAATCTACTTGATAGTGATTGCTAGTTGCATCATGAGGAAACTTTCATTTGGTAAAAGCACTCAATTTGACATAACACAAACCTCTTCAGCAGTTGGTCGATCCTTCGGGTCAAACGCCAGTAGCCTTTGCAATAGGCGAAGTGCCAGAGGATCTGCCTTTGGAAATTTTTGTGTAAACGGCACAAGAGGTTTTTTCCGCATTTCTGTTAAGTACTTCCTTGCCTTCTCATTTCTAACCTAAATGCATAAATGCCCATAGCGTCAATAACTTATGAAAGAACAGCAAAATGGACCAAAATGCGTGCGTGTGTGTGTGTGTGCGTGTGTGTGTGTGTTAAAGAGAAATTTATAGAGAGAGTGGGAAGAGAGAGGAATAAGTGGCACTTACCCCAGAAACAGTCTCTAGCTTAGGTGTCCCAAGGAGATCAGTGATCAAATCTAATTGATGAATAACACTTTTACCAGGAAACAATGGTTTCCCTGTCAATACCTCAGCAAAGATGCAGCCAATACTCCATATATCAATGGCAGGTGTGTACTGCAAACAAGATGCAAAGAAAAATGAGGGCATTGAACCAGAATCAGAAAGTTCACAAAGCACTTAAACCACTCCAGAGAAACGGGCATAACCTGACACGATTACCTGAATGACAGATACAACTTCCAGGAGAATTCAATAGTCCTCCCTGAACAAGAATTATTATAATCTAGCATTACTGCATACTATAAAGCACACGGAAGACATTCCAGACATAAATAAATACATGATCTCGACTACGACGAGCCAAGTAAAATTCCAATTACTTAGTTGGCTCTAAATTGCCAACAATTTTTTTTTCTATTAGAGTAAACTCATTTTGAATCAAGAGTACAAGATACAACTACTTAGACAATGCTACAACGAGCTGTCCTAAGAAAAATGTCAAATAACAAACCATCAACATCATAACCACATCAATTTTAAACTCCAAAAAAGCAGGGAACATGATCTAATTATTTTTACCATTGCCTCTGAATATAAGCCCTTCATGGTAGAAAAAATTTCATACCTTGGAAAAGAATGACCCACAGAGTTCTGGAGCTCTATACCATCTTGTAGCAACATAGTCCTGTAAGTGTATCAAAAGAAGCAGCAATGACATTATTTGATCAGCAGGTTTGAAAATTATACCAGTAATAAATTATGTTGAAGGAAATTTAAAGCTAGAAAATTACTTACTGTCCAAAATATTGTTGTAGGGGTATCACTAAAGGCAACTCTTGCTAATCCAAAATCACAAACTTTGAGCTTGCAATTTGCATTTGCCAGTATATTTTTTGGCTTAAGATCTCGATGATATACATTTGCTGCAACCAAAAAAACCTATGCTTAGGTCATAGTGCAGAACTAATCCTAAAAATTCCACCCCAACTAGCTTCCCTTTCCTTATATAAGGAAACATAAGAAAAGTATAAATCTATCATTGAGGAATTAACACAACTATGGATAAATTCTGCTGACAAAACATTATTTAAGGAGCTTAAACAATTCATGGGAGAAATAAAATATAAGGACAACGGGCATAAATGAGACTCACCAGTATGCATGTATTTCAAAGCACGTAACATCTGGTAAAGAAAAAATTGATGATGCTCGCGGGTCAAATCATCATTAGCCTTGATAACTTGGTGAAGGTCTGACTCCATAAGCTCGAAAACTACATAAATATCTTTGAACTCCCTCTTTGACGGTGGCAACATGATGCGCTTAATTTCAACAATATCAGGATGTCTTAGAAGCCTAAGCAATTTAACTTCACGCAGAATCCTAATAGCATCAGAGATATGCTCAAATATATCATGTATTTTCTTTATTGCAACTTTCTCCCCAGTATGTGTGTCAATAGCCGCGCAAACAACCCCATAGCTTCCCTTCCCAATGACTTCAAGAATCTTATATCTATTCGCATCCCCATATTCAGTGAAAAAGTCCATATCTTTCAGGTCCTGAAAAATACCAAAGAATACATAAGTTTAAAATGCGCTTGCAAATATTAATACACGCTAATTTTAAAAAGCAACAAATTGCAACTTCCTTTTTCGGCAATCAACAAATTTCAAAATTTTAAAGTAAGTTTTATAAAAGACAGTGTGTAAGCAACACAAATCCAGCAAATTCTAACGGACCACAAGAAAACAGCCCAAGATCGATCACAAAACATCAACTAATTTTATGACAAATCCTGCTTTCTCAGGTCATGGTCTTGTTCCCATATCTGAGTCCGTGAAAAGTAACCGCGACATCCATTTTGAAAACCATAAAATCAAATGACCCTTGAAAAAAGTAATGGAATAATATAATAGAATCAGGTGCTAGAAGAAAAGGGCACAGAGTAAAATAATATGCCACGGTAGAGTATCAAACAATTATATTAGAGACTAGATTCCTTGCTTTGAATGCAAAGCCAGCACAAAAGAAACAGAAAGCAAAAGAAAAACACAATCTGTACAAAACCACATCAAACAGAATATTCAAAACACATTCAGTAATAAAATTATTCTGCTTATTGAAGTTACTAAGAAACAAATCTGATGTTTATTAGTCACCTTACAAATATGAATAATAGGATGAAAATTCAGGTAAAAAAGATTAAAGAATAATATAAACCCATAAATTTTGTGTAATATCTTTCATTCTCCAGAAACACATTTTCTTAGCAACCAAAGGGTTGATGATTACCCCAACCCAGGTCTTGAAGAACCCCAAAAAAAATCCACATAGAGAGAGAGAGAGAGAGAAAGATACCTTCTTTGGGTGATCTGCATGCATGTCCTTCTTGCTCCTCTAGTAATTGAACAAAACTCTAACTCAAAAGAAAACGACGAATTATAAATATTAGAGCTTTGCACTAAGAAGAAGAAGAAAACTAAACTAGCCACATTTGCCCCAGCGAGACCCACTCCGAATGACAAGCCCAAAATCCCTTCTAACACATACGCCACCAACCTCCTCTCTCATCCAAATCCACACCCCTCCCTCAATTCCCAATTTCCCAGATCCAATTACCCCACGAGCAGCCCCAAATTCAAAAATTTCAACACAATTGAAACTTGAAACCCCAGAAACTTCGGAGAATCCAAACCCTAGGAGTCTTCAAATTTTGAAATTGGAAACCCTGGGCTCTCTTCGGGAACAAGAGATCCAGTAGGGTGGTGCAGGATCAGAGAGAAACGAAGGGAATTCAAAGAGAGAGGAAGAGAGAGAGAGAGAAGGAAAGAGATGGTCGTCGTCTTCTTTTGATTAATCTGATAATTGGTTTGGTTGTTTTATTTATCCACCATAATTGGAATTTTATACTTTTGTCCAATTACTCTTTTACACACTGTGCACGGAGACCCGGTGCGGTGGTACTGTTGGCGTGTACGTCAGTGGCCGTATTTGTAGTTCTTTTAAATACCATGCCTCTTTTGGTCTTTTAGTCGTAGAGAATATTGAAATTCCATCTTATCCACTGTGGATTCTAGGGAATATTGGTAGTGGCATTATTGACCGTAGATTGCATTGGAAAAACACTTAAATCTACGGTCAGCGATTGATCCCACGTCCAGCGTGGCAGCGTAGCACTCCTCATAATCCAAATAATTAAATCAAATACATAAGAAGGAAAGAACTAAATTTGTAATAACTAGATATAATATATTTGAAATGATGATGTCCGAGGAGTGATTTTTCTGTTCATGTACTTATTATTGTAATACTGTAGTCTTACAGTTTAACCTTATAAAAGAATTTGGGATTCTCGGGTATATATTTTAGTTTCTTTGTGTTGGAGTTATGATTTTGAAGATAGCGAAAAAGAAATGACAGAAAAAAAAACAATACAAAAAGAAGGAAAAGTTGGGCCTTTAATTGACTCTTGGAAGCTTTGATGGAGCATTGTGCATGTCAACAACAACAACTACACCTCGAAACCTCAAAACCACATATATATCTGCTGCCAAAACTTGCACATCTTCATGTCAACAGCTACAACACAGAGGAGAACATGCGTTGCCAAACTTGCACATCTTCATTCTTATGACCAGGAGGAGCAATCGCCTCCTCATAAGCATGAGTGTCCAAGTGTGCTCTTGAGATAGAACTTTGAAGGAAAGAATTGTGAATTGTATATGTGGTAGTGAGTGATTTTAAATTTTAAGGGTTCTCTTCTTTATTTATTTTTTACGCAGCTCAATTGTATTAATACTAAGAATAATGAGTGCCTGTAGAGCATAACTCAGTTGGTTGAGCTATTCCACCTCTACCCATGTGGGGAGAGGTTTGAAACCCCCAGACAAGAGCGGAGCTAGAATTGTAAAGTTTTGGGGACTAGAATAGAAAATACAATAGTATATAAAACACTTAAGTATGCAATAGTTACATGTCTAGAGCTAAATATTTCTAATTTAGTCATGTCTAGTTTGTTTTAGAGAGAATTTTAACCTAAATTATAAGTTGTTTAGTATTAGTTTTATATGTTATATATAACATAATAGTGGAGAGATAAAACATATGAGGGCCATGGCCACTCCGGGCCTTGGAGTGGATATCCACCATTTCCCCAGGCACCCAATTAATATTTGTGTAAACCCAGCTCCCCCAATTACTTATACTTAGAAACACACAATGGAGAATGACCATAGAATAAAAAAGATATAAAAGAAATTACATGAGCAATGACAAAGAAAATTCTACACATTCATTAAGATATATATGTAAGCAATGTCAATTATATCTTTGTACATATCATAATTCTGTCAATGTCTTTCGATCAATAATCCCAGATCCAAAGATAAGTATAGACTTTTCATTTTCAAAAGGGTGAAAAAAGAATTATTCATTTCAAATTTATTGTGAAACGCACAGAAAAGAAACGCAATAAAATCATATCAACACCGAAGCTAAGAAAAAAGACATTAAATAAAATCAACATGTGAACACTCCCAAATATCTGCATCACTCAAACTCAAAGGCTCCCTGTCATGGCATCGATAGATTACTTGTCGAATCAAAGGGTTTTCTTAGTCATAATGGAGGAGATCGAACCTTGATGTGGTCTAATTCTAATCCATTTCTCTCGTTATCCTTCTTTGGCTCTAATCAATTTCAAAACGCGGCAAAGTGTATTACAATTATTTCGTAATCAAATCCGGATATGAAGATATGTACTGTTATTTTTGTCCCACTCTAAGAAGTACCAATCAATTTGCCTTGGCTAACATGTCACTCTGCTTTGTGTGTTCCACAGTCCACTTCCACCACTCGTTGTTGTCAAACCCTAAATTTTGCTGGAATATTAAGGTCACCAAACCAACAGCACAGCACAATCTTTATCAAGTTGGCCGCTAAAATGATAGTAGCCACAATTTTGCAACCATGCATGCATGCATTGCTGTTGCGACAAGAGTTTCCTGGACCACGCGTTTGCTCATGCTTTGCTGTTTGTATTTTGAACCTTTACACACCCCAGAAATTAGTATTGTCATACTCTCTCTCTCTCTCTCTCTCTCTCTCTCTCTCTCTCTCTCTCTCTCTCATGGAATTATTTTGATACAAAGCTAGCTTTCTAAATTATCTGTGGGTTGTTTTGGTGGGTTCAGTTGGACATATAATCAACCCACTTCAAGGAACGTGGGCTAACTGTTGGAGGTCGATCCCCTGTATATACAGGGGTGGAACTAGCCCAAGGGCTGTCCTGGGATACTAGCATATATAGCTTAATATTTTAATTAAATAAATAATATACAATTGCACATTCTACCACACCAATAGGCATACTCAAAGGTCTTCCACATTTGTATTTAGTGTCAAAGTTTGTCCCAAACATCAATTTTAATCCTTTTCCATGAATGTATCTCCAAAAGAGAAACATTTTTCTAATAAAATTCACCATTTCGTGAATAATATGGCTCTAATTCCTTTTTCTTTTTTCTTGTGTTTACAACTAGTGTGATTTATATGATTTAATATATACTTTTATTTCTAGAAAAACTATAAAAATTGTTAATAAAAAAAAGCATTAGATTTTAAGATAATAACTATAGCTAGTCTATCAATCGAAAAATTTATATTCCGCCCTTGCATATATATATATTTACACATTGGGACATTTGTGCACAAAACACAACAACGTGGACAAATTATGCACACAGTAGCTGACAAAAGAAAAACAGTTTTAACATTCAAAGGAATTCGTTAAAAAAAAACATTCAAAGGAAAAACTTGCTTGCCAAAGGAATGGAGCCCAATAAGTTAGATGGCATCAAACATTCAAAGGATTCTGTTGAAGATATAACATCATATTTCTGGCCCATCCTTTTTTTTTCCACAATATGTTTGGGATTGGGGAATTGAAGACTTTGTTGCGCCAAATATCTCAATTTTTTGGGTCTACTGTTGTAGAAACAAGATAAACTTAGACTCTATATAAATCCTTGCTCAAAATGAACATTAAGTACAAGAAAATCAAATGTGTTCAAATAGGATTTTCAAGAAACGTATTAGTAGCCTAGACTTCAAGTTATTAATAGCGTTATAATCTTAATATTATAACTCTAGATACATTATTCACGACATATTAATAACATCACGTGACAGTATGACCGTTCTACGTACTCTCACTAATCGTAATGTAAGTGGTCTTGCCACGCTTTTTTTTTTCCCCTTAATCTCTTGTAGTAATTTTTGTATTAGGAATTTGTCCTTCCACAATACTATGAAGAGAGTATATAATTTTGAAAAATAAGTGTAAGAAATGTCTAGATGTCATGACCAGATAACCATAGCCTTGTTTGAGATATAGAAATTTGAAGTCGGGACTTGGTCAAACATTGCTCTGTGGACGCAGGTTTGATATCGTTTCTTCAAATCACCCTAAAACATTTTTTTCCAAAAGGGAACAGAAACAAACAGAATATTTTGCTTTTTTGATATAATTGTACAATCATGCTTTTCATATTCAACATTTTTCCACTTTTAAAAGATGATTAGACCAAGAAAATCTTTAGCAATTTCAACACTAATTTTCGAGAACCTCTGAAAAGATTTTGCCAATCAATCAATCAATTTTTACCTAATCTTCGTTTCCAAAAAGATTCCCAATAATTCACATACCTCCATACCATGAACATGATGAAGAGAAGGCATGAAAGGGACGTGGAGTTTAAGTCTTTCACTTCTCTTCTCTGGTGTCGACCTATTTATTTTTCGGCTCACATGATGAAGGGATTAGCTACTCTCACCACCAATGCTAGAGCAAACCACAACCTTGAGCTAGAAAGACTTATGCATGACACCCAACTACCACCGGTATGGTCTTTTACCTCCTTTTAACCCTCGACTATCTTAAAGAAAATAAATCAGGCCCTTTGGCTACTCTCACCACCAATGCCAAAGCAGACCACAATCTTGAGCTAGAAAGACTTATGCATGACACCCAACTACCAACTATCACCGGTATGGCCTTTTACCTCCTTTTAACCCTTGACTATCTTAATGAAAATAAATCAGGTCCTTTGGTCATCTAGTCACTACTCCATTAGTGCATTTTTCTTTTCATCGTACGGATAGAAACAGCTTTTTTTTTTCATTGTCTATCAATTTTTTTTAATTGTTAAAAAGTGACTGATACAGTGCCAAAAGTGTTGTGATTTGAACTCAGACCCTATTTTGGAAGATTTCAAGTCTAATCTTTTCTTTTCGTGCCTATTTTCTTATTAAATATAGACTACATTTTTTTGCTTTTGGTAGAAAAGCCTAAAGTAAAATGTTTGCTTTAATTTTTCCATATCCTCACTACTTTTTAGATTAATGCGTAGACAAATGTACGTACCTTGATATATAATCTGTTCTGCTGCACGTGGGAAGAGCTGTGTGTGAGGACATGTTATGTTATGTTATGTGACTGAATGGAAATCTTTATGATGAGTTGAATGAGTTTAACTACTTCAGTTTTGAGAAAAACAGTACATATATATATATTTTTTTTTATACAAGCGGTATCTACTTTAATCTAATATAAACTACGGAGAGAGAGATTCGAACTCGGGTGCAAAGTGAAAAGAATATCTATTCTAACCAACTTGGCTAAGCTCGTGTCTGTACAATACATATATATTTAATTATATCTGATAAGCCCATAAAAGAACAAACAATTTACTCAAAAGTCAAACATTTACTTTAACTTATTGTAAAGCCAGAACCAACAAAGCATGGAAAGAGGGTAATCAAATAATAAACCCAAATCAAAATCTGATGAGAATGATTGAACCAGAAGAATATATATTATTTAAGAAGATAATTAATCATTTTTTTATGTATTAATTGTACTAGCTAGCTAGCTATAAAAAAAAATTTAATCATGTTTATTAGCATATAATAGAAAATTTGCAAATATAGCTTAATTGCTCCTGTAATCATTGGAGAACATTGTATAGCAATGGAAAGAAGAGACTAGGGAGTTTTTCGTAATGATGTGTTGGGCTTCTGCTGAGGAATAGAATTACCGATGGGATTTGGTCCTGAATGTACTTCGTGCAACACTTTCCTTTGGACATGATCGGTGGCTTCTTCAAACAATGACTGCTGTTGAGGTTATGAAATCAAAAAGATCATCAGGAAATAAAATAAGAGAAACATATCGTAATTCATTGATTTGTAAAGCATACGGTATATATGATCACCTCACCTGGTCCTGGAAATCATCATTTGATGATGTTTTTCTCACTTTATTTGTCTCCTCCACATCTAAAGCACACGCATATAGACGCATATGTCAAGTAGAGATCATTAGAATTATTGTATATATTTTTTGTTTGTGTATGAGAGAGAGAGAGAGAGAGAGAGAGAGAGAGATGAGATACCTTGTAGTTTTCTTGTGGCCAAACTTGAATAAGGTAAGAGATCATGGCAGATTAGGATTAAAAGAAAAATTGAGTAAAAGTTCATAGTTTCTCATTAGTAGCAATCATGAGAGAGAGAGAGAGAGAGAGAGAGAGAGAGAGAGAGAGAGAGATAGAGAGAGAGAGAGAGAGAGAGAGAAGGCTTAATGCATTGAAGGGAAAAAGAAGATATCGGGCAGGTAGACATGTATTGGACTACTGTCTTTTTAGTGAGGGATCGGTGTACAGTTGGGAGATGATCAAGTGCATGCAGTCATAATATAATACATCATGAGTTTGAGTGAAATGCTGGACCAAATGAATGAATTAAGTGATGAGTAATTTTTCAGTGTTCCTGTCATTTTTCACTCATATTATAATATCTGAATTAATAAGATTTCGTGATAATATTGTCTTACACACGCTCATTGTGTAAGTGGAAAGATTTTTAAATTGAATAAGAACAGTGGACATATATACGACAAAACATGACGTATCATATACAATTTCTTTTTTTTTTTGGTGAATGAATTAGAAATTTGTCAAAACCTAATAGACTAGGCCCTTCGATCATTTCGGGTGAGTTGGATTGGATTGGATTGGATATATTCAATTAAAATGAACATGAGTCCAATTTGTTGTTTTGTGAACTTTAAGTGCACAACGAACTGAATATGGATCTTAGATATTAGTCCATAAAAACAGACTTCTTAAACCATCGTTAGACATGGGTTTAGAACGAAATCGTTGTGTCGTCTTCTCTTTCAACACGAAGTCATTGTCTCTGGTTTGCCTTCTTCGTCATCTTTGGATTGCCTTCGTCTCCTCTATCCTCTCTTCTATTCTCTCTCCTTACTCAAACAAGCTTCAGATTTCGCGAATCTTTGTTTTTGATTTTATTGATGATTGTTGTCTTGATTTTTTGGGTTAGATGTCGAATGATGTGTTTTTTTGAATAAATGTTCTGTTTTTTTTCATGACCTGAGATTGGAAACTAATCATTGGTTAGATCTTGATATGAGTTTGAGTTTTTGGTTTAATTCTTGCACAAAGTTGGGGTTTTCCTTCAATTTTTGTGGCAAAAAGTTAGGAATTTGCATCTTATTCTTGTTAAGAAAATAAAAAATAAAATAAAAATTTGAACTCAATTCCAGTCCGTTGTTTGATGCAAAATTAAATAGGTACTGTAACTTAAAATCCAAGTCAATCCAGTCCAATGCTTCAAAACTCATCCCAGCCAGTCCAAACCAACCCACCAAAAGGGGCTTAGTGTTTTATTTTTCTGATGGAAACTAACTGGGGCATTTGAACGATAAAGGGTAAGTGCCCAATAAACTAACAGGGACGAAATCAAAGCTGTAAAAGTAGTAAAGGGGAAGACAATTGCCACTGGGCATACTGTGGAACTCAGCAAAACCCTGGCCGAGCAACTACAATGCTAATTAAAAGTGAAATTCCAGATAATAAAGCGCAGAGCTGCTTCTTGAAGCAAAAAACAATTTCACAACAGCAATTCTTTTGTTCTATGTTCTTAGGAATAAATAATCAGCTGTAACCGTATAATACTTGGATAATGGCAAAATGGAGACACAGAATATATATATCCATATTATGGAGGACTAATTCAAAGATCTGCTCTTCCAGGATATCTGGGGAATGGAATAACATCTCTAATATTGTCAATCCCGGTCGCAAAGAGAACCATTCGTTCAAAGCCTAAACCAAAACCACAATGTTTTACAGTCCCATAGCGCCGCAAGTCAAGGTACCACTCATATGGCTCAAGGGGCAGACCCATCTCCTTTATCCTGCAATAATAGATTCATCAAACAATACATTTGTCAAGTCAATATACTACATCAAACTATCCGTTACTCGAATGATGCAGAGGGGCAAAACAACTGCTATCAAAAACCTTGTGCAGAAGAGTGCTCCAACGAAAATAATAATAATAATAGCAGATAAAAATCACTAAAACACACAAAAAAGTGCCATTGGGGTGATCAATCACACACTACAGTTCGCATACCTGCTCACTATAACATCATAACGTTCTTCCCTTTGGCTTCCCCCTATCAACTCTCCCACCTGAAATATAAGAATAGCATAAACGGCACACAAATTATACACACTGCTAAAGTATACAACAGAGCACTGAACTTGATGATATAAATGTTAAGAGTATAATGCCCACCTTTGGTACCAGGACATCCATGGCAGCCACTGTCTTTGAATCATCATTGAGCCTCATATAGAATGCTTTGATCCCTTTAGGGTAATTATAAACAATAACAGGCTTCTGAAATCTCACCTCTGTCAAGTATCTGCACAAAAGCAAAACAATAAATTGGTACGCTATATTTAATCAGAAACTGTGATAAGACAAATCAGCAGAATTAACGCTATGGGAATACCTTTCATGCTCAGATGCCAAATCAATCCCCCACTCTACATGGTTCTCAAACTTCTTACCATTTTTTACAGCCTCAGTTAGCAGCTCCACTGCTTCTGTATAAGTTATCCGAACAAAGGGTGTTTTAGCAACCATTGTTAGACGATCAATACAACTTTTATCAATTTTGTCAGCCATAAATTCCATATCTTCCCTGCAATTGTCAAGTAACGACTGACATAGATGTTTCACATACGCCTCTGCACAGTTCATATCATCCTGCATGAATACATAAACTGTAAGACTTCTGCATGGAAAATAAGATTCAGATGTGAAAATTCATGGACAACAAAAAGTTTAGGAAGGGGCAGCTTCTACATTTCCATGGACAATAAGATTAAAAATAAACACTAAAATCCAAAATGTATATTGAAGACTACACTAGATTTAAGCTTCACATACCTCGAGCTCTGCAAATGCTATTTCAGGCTCCACCATCCAGAATTCTGCCAAATGCCTCGAAGTATGTGAGTTCTCAGCTCGAAAAGTTGGCCCAAATGTATAGACAGTACTAAGAGAACATGCATAAGATTCGACTTGTAGTTGGCCAGAAACAGTCAAAAAGGCTTGACGGCCAAAGAAATCTTGGGTGTAATCAATCTTCCCATCCTTTTGAGGGATACCAGGTTGAAGCTTGGATCTCTCCTCCAGTTTCGCAAAATTATCCTTTGCCTTTTGAAGCTCAACCACAGCAGCACCAATTTCCTGCTTACTTGCTTTAGCAGACTTGAGCTGAGCAACATCACTTCCTCTCTCCTTGACAATAAGCTTGGCAGCTTCAATGTCTGCTTCTGATGGAGGAGGGTTCTCAATAAGATCCTTTTCCAACTTTTCAGCTTCATTAATCAAGGTAGTGACTTGAAACATCTCACCAGCACCCTCACAATCACTGGTGGTGATAATTGGAGTCTGCACGTAACGAAATCCATGATCGTGGAAAAATGTGTGGGTTGCATATGCCAGGGCATCTCTGATTCTAAGGACTGCAGAAATCTGAAAGTGGATACACAAGATACACAATAATCAAACACTAATTATTAAGAGTGTAAAAGGTCCTATAAAAAAGTGAAATTAGAAAAAGGCCTCGGAGGCAAAATATTATCATCAACAACTGCTCTTTAACATCTCTCAGTCAAAAACCAGTTTCATGTAACCATTAAATTTAAATTTCATTTATTTGTTCTGTAAGAAAACAGAGTTTTATTAATACCAAAACAAGAAAGTAGAACCAGGGCGGACAAGCTGTCCAATCAGCATCACATCAGTAAGGACTAAGCTACAATGGAAAAAAATGCACTTTCTAACATCTGTCCAAAACCAAAGCATTATTTATGCTCCTAAGAAACAGCTGCTTCCAATCAACCAAACAAGAACGTAATGTCCCCATAATGTGAATAAACTAAAGCACCACTGAATGTATAGCATATAGAGTTACCTTAATCACACAAATGTTGATCATGTTTCTAATCAATAAATGTACAGCATATAGAGTTTAATCACATTGATAACAACAAAATTCAAAAAAGTATATATATATATATATATATATATATATATATATATAGAGTCACATAGTATATCTGTGTGCATGGTTTATGAGCTTATGCACGTTTCGCATAAATGCAAACAGCTTACCGTGTTGGTTCTGGAACGTAAATGAACATAGTCCCTCAAAAACTCAAGGGGGAGCCTGGTCTTGGGCAAGGGGTACTTCGATGGGTCAACCAGACCCACATGGATCACCTTCTCTACCCGAAGCTCCACCTTCTGCCTTTTCCCATCTGGGGGAAGCTTAAGCACGCCATCCACGACCAAACTTGTACCAGTCAGCACAAGCTGCCCAAGGTCACCCTTGTCTGCTTCCACAATGACCTGAAGGTTGCCCGAGCATGACCCATCGTTCAGCTCCAGGAATGCAAATGCATCCTTGTCGGCCTTCCGACCAGTCTTCACCCAACCACCAACCCGAGCTAGCTTCCCGGCTAACCCGGACCCTCCATCAGGCCGCAAAATGATGGATTTAATGGGGACTCTATCAGAAAATTGCGCTCTTTGAACGGAGGCATTGTTGTCTAAGGTTGCTGTGGCCAGTTGCGCAGTCAAATCGTCAGCCATTAGGTGTTGTAACTTGTAACCTAAGGCAAAGAGTCGGAATTCAAAAACTTCTCTATGAAATAGCTGTCAATATTTAAACCAGATTAAAAATTCAGATTTAATTAAATTAAGCATTGCAGATTCAATTAAATACTTCGCTGGAAAAAGCAAAAAGAATAAAAATTTCAATAAACAGACGACAGATCAATGAGACCCACAACGACCCGCACACTCAACAACATATTCACACATATAAATAAACTCGAATTACATATGCATAAGCTATATATCAAAATTAATCAACATTAACAAGGTGAAAAATCCGGATGAAAAATTACCCGATTGCAGAGAACGGAGATGGGCAAGCGATGCCGAGACGAAGATAACTAACTAAGCTCACGGCGAGCCAGAGAACGGAATCTTTGACTTAAGGCGGTGTGACGCCGCACCAGTGGTGTACGCCTTGCGCCTGTGCGGTGGCGTATGTCTTCGACGCAAAGAGACAGAGAGAGACTGAGTGACAGAGCTGAGAGAGAGTGGGTGAAGGAGAGCTTAGAGGAGGCGGCGGCAAAAGATACGAGTTTTTCTGGTTGGATTCTCATCTGCGCTGAGTTTTCCTGTCTTATATAAGAAAAACCCTGCCACTTCACCTACGCTGAGTAGGATTATCATCCAATTAGAACTTGCCACGTGTCCTCAAAATTAAGAACATAAAATTTTGAAAAATAAGTAAATATCCCTGTAGTTTTCTTATTTACCACTTTGATCTACGTAGTTTCTATTTTGTTAATTTTAGGCTTAGTTTTATCATTTTAAATTAGAGGATTTTAAGAACACCTTATAGATTCAGTCAAATTTCTTATAATTCGGCTACAAATTGAAATTGCGGGGCCAAAGTAATAAAATCAGCAAATATAAGAAAGGAGGAAATTAGGTTATAAAACATAAAATATAATGTATTTTAAAAAGAATAATACTAGTCTTAACACATGTTTATACCACAATTTCATCACATGATGTGGCAGCTGACGTGTACATACCACATCATGTAAAATAATAGTTTCTGTTTTTCTAATTTTTTATTTATTAAAATACACTTCATTCATTTAATTGATATATCATATGATATGGACATGTCACATCATGTGATATAAAAATATGGGATAAAAATGTGGTAATTGTAACATTACTCTTTTAAAAAAAGTGTTTCATTATTTCATTGAAAAATTATATGAGTGTATTTGTAATGTTATTATTTTTTTGTCACACTGCAAAAAATGGAACCTTATGTCTATCATAATCCTACTCCCGCCCAAAAGCAAGAGTATTCTCTTATTTTTGGCTAATCTTGTGTTACCACACCTACTTTTCTGTCTATTTCTTAGGTGTAATGGATGAGCAAATTGTGACATTTATGGCTCCACTAGTTTTTTTTTTGGGTTCTTTTCAACCATATCTGGTTCTGGTTGCTCCGACTTTGTTCATATTCGGTGCTGATAGGACTTGTTTGTGGGAAGAACATATTCCTCCAGTGGGGCATGGCATAGAACGTGAGTATACATATTCCTCCAACGAATTCTCTAATGCGGGAAGTGAGTACGGACGCTCATGGTTCAGCGTTTGAACGTTCTCTCACATCCCACATTGCTGCCGCATCCTCCGACTAAAATCTTTGCCTTGAAATTAATGATTTTTGTAACCTCTGGACCTGTAGGAGTCACTTCAAAGTGTGCCATCTGCAAGCTTCTTTGTTTGGCAGTTTTGGGTCTGTTTATAAAGGCATACATTTTGAAAGGCAACATCCATCAAGCATGTTGAAAATTTATTGTACCTATCTTAGATACAAGCTATCTTTAATGAGACTGAAGAAGATTCAAAACTGATTTTCTCTCTGGCATGCTAGGAATGGCTCCTTTCACTTGAACACAAAGAGAAGCTGCCGCAGCTGGAAAAAATGAAAACAGAAAAAATCATGAGCAAAATTGTTTTAAGAAACATAATCAAAATAGAATAAGGGTTGATGCAGCCCATACCCGCAAATCTCAAGCACTCCCTTTTGGACTTGCCCTCCACAAGAGCCACCGCAAAAGAGGCAGTAAACGTATCACCAGCTCCAGTTGTATCGATTACTTTTGCAGCAGAGATGACAGATTGTTTAATTGGTTCTTCACCTTCTACAAATAGAGCAGACCCTTTGGACCCAAGCTTCACTAGGACTTGCTTAACACCCTGAAATTAGATATAGAATGAAACTATGGCTTAGTCAAGCTAGGATATACGAGCACCTTCCAATTGTGCTTAAATGACAGACTATCATCCAAATCAATACCAAATGACAACATAAGAGCCAACACAAGAAAGCTGATAGGAATTGTGTTAGAATGTCATACAAATACCAGATTCCAATATCTGCATGGTATTTCCCTTCCTGGTTCTTTTTATGCCAAATCTAGATGATATGCATAATAATGAATCTTCAGGTTTCAGACACCAAAAACAAAAATCTTCAAGTCATAGAAAATGGCAGTCTAGAAGCATGAATATCTGTTCAAAGCTTTGAAGACTTCTGGCAGCAAAACTTACCATTTTATGAAATTTCACCACAGCAAGACTAATCTGTTCAAAGCTTTCAGTCGGCATTCCTGTCAAACGACCAAGCTCAGTTTCATTTGGGCTCAAAATATCAACAAAGTTCAATAATTCCTGGGAGATTGGTCCATCAATTCCTCCAGCATCCAAAATGACTGGTACGCCTGCACTCTTGGCAGCCTAAATATAAAATGGTATATCAGACTATACATGAAATTAGTACAAACAACAACACAGACCAATAGAATCAGAATGTTTATTGTTTTATCCACTATTTAAAGGGACACAATGTTGAAATTCAAAATAAATAAACTTTATGTGATAAATAGGCAATGAAAATTAAGGGCCCATATGGTCACTTTTTGATGCCTAAGAACAGACCAACTGCGTCATGTACTTTAAGTGACTTGAGTGTGGTCTGCTATCGGATTCAACTTTTACACAAAATGGTTATCAGTGGAAGGTATGGTATAAAGCCAACAAGACAACTAAAGTCCCAATCAGAACTAAACCAAAAAAAAGATCCTATGATTAAACAGATTATCAAGCAAATGACTGATTATCCTTGAGCAAATTACCTTATGCCTGCAGAGATCCTATATGGTGTTATGTTGTTTACAAGGCACAGACCTCAATTCGAGACTCAAATATCCAAATCAATAGCACTTCACACCAATTTAATCGTTTACAGCTCTGTAGAAGTCATAATTGTCACGTACAGTTTAAGAAGTCACTATTAAATCATTCAATTTCACATGGCAAAAAACAACATAGAATATTTAATTAGATTCGCACACATGCGACAAGTAAAATATAAGTGTATACCTTCCTGAGCATTTATTCTATTCAATAAGTAAGTCTGAAAAAGCTATTCTGAGCAAGACATCACTTGTAATTTCAAACTCAAAGTTGGTTGAACTAATGCCTTCCAGAAGCTACATGGATCTTCCTTCTCCCACAAAACCAATCAAGCTATTATGTTGATTACTAAAGAACCAGTGTGTTGTTACGCTAATACTGTTTTTTGTTGTTCGCATCCAGTTTGGAAACCCCATAAAAATCCACAACTCAAAAATGTACTATTAAAACTCCTTCAGTTTAACTCACAATATCTCTACCTTTGATCTTCCTGCCACATTCTCATCAACAAACTGAAGGAAATGTCTTGCCGGAAAAACAGAACAAAAAGCCTAAAAGAAACATCAATACTGCACAGATTCACGCAAACAATAGCCAATCAGCCCTTTTACCTAGATCCAAGAAAGCTCAAAGCTTTCTAATACCCAACATACATAATCACAAATGCCAATAACATAAATTTCACAAATTTCAATTCCTCTATCATATGGTCAATCATCTTCCATTCTGTAACAAAGTAAATGAAACTTTCTTAGATTTCAAGTAGAAACACCTTCAACAAAACGAATCCTGTTGTAATTAAAATCAAAACTAAATCATCAAAGACTTCACAAAGTCATTGTAAGAGCATGTGATTCTAATCTAGCAGAAGACAACAATCTCCAAGAAGCTTACCATCTTTCATCATTACCCAAAGTGTAACATCCAATTTGATTACTATTAAATAAATAAACAGAAGTGAATTTAAAAATTAAAAAAATAGAAAAGCCCTGACCTTTGCAACCTGAGTGTTGACCGATTCTGGGATCTCCCTCTGAAGCAAAACAATCCCAGCATTCCTCACAACCTCCAAATCCTCATCAGAAAGCTTCTCAGGCCAGCAGTGCATGTTGGCACCACCAACAATGATGATGGAGTTTTGCCCATCAGATTGCAACATCACCACAGCGTGCCCAGTGGGTGCAGCAGAGACAGCACTCAAGTGATCAAGGTGTACCCCACCACTCTGCAGAGCCTCAGTGATCAGCTTCCCATGGCCATCCTCACCCACCTGACCCACAAAGTATGTTGGGTAAGAAAGCTTGCCTCCACAGGCAGCCTGGTTGGCGCCTTTGCCACCAGCCAGGGTCTGGCCATTCTTGGCTGAAATGGTCTCGCCTTCTTTGGGCAGCCTGTCTATCTCCACATAGATGTCTGCATTGGCTGAGCCCACTACAACAAGAGGTGAGCTTGTGATGGTTAGAGGGGTTGGTGGGTTCGGAGTTTTTGATGCATCTGTGGAGAAACAGGGAAATAGGTTTCTTCTATTGGATTGGTTTTGGGTGTTGTTGAATTGAAGATGTGGGTTTGTGTTGATTGCTCTGTTTGGGTGGTTTGAGAAATGGGTTTGGATTTTATCGTACCATTGATTTGATGGTGAAAATGCTACCACTCTCATGGCACCCATTGCTGTCTCTCTCTCTCTCTCGCAGAAATTAGCTTTCTGGACTAATCGAAAATTCTAATACTTTCTAGCTGATGGATTGGCGAGTTGGTAACAACAGTGATTACCTTTTTACACCCCAGTTTGTATCTCCCTTCCCGCAAATTAGATGAAAATTGGGACGAGTCAGGTAAAATCTAAAAAAAATAAAAACGTCCTAACGTGGTCACCAGAGAGCCTCTTTCTCCAAATTCATGTAAACGAAAGCCACGTGTCCGAAACACAAATCTGCTGCTCCAAGTCCATTGTTAGTTGCCTGATCTATCCAATCAAAATGCCGATCTCAAATCACACCGAAACAAAACACTAATCGAACGGCCAGCATTGTCCTACTAACATCCTTCGTTTCATATCGACAACAGAAGATCATTCTCGGCTAACGATCTTATGCCCATTTGCGATTGTTGTTGGAAAAAACGTTGAAGCTATATAAGAGAGTTGAGTTTCAAGGTCGTCAATGGCATCTTCTGGTTGCAGTTTGAGCTTACCAACAACAGCAGCTTACATTTCCTCGAAAACCCAGTTCGTCTTTGGCTTGAAATCCAAGAAATTTGTATTGAATTCCCGATCTTTGGCCAAACCCAAGAGGCTCTACTTCTCTGTTCGTGCAATGGGTTCATCTGCTTCTTCACCAGACAGAAGTTCTCAAGGTATTTTCTATTTAGGTGTATATATATGGTGACCCAATGAAGAAGTCAATCTGAATTTATTTTCCATTTTGAAAATTGATATTGGATTTTGTAGAAAGATATGTTATTTAATATCCTTGTGTTGTTGGGTGATGCCCAATTCTGTTACAAGTTCAAATATTTTCTCACATGAAATGGATTTTCAATTATGTATGTGCAGGATAAAGAATCTTTGATTATCATAATTTTTATGTTGTATTTCTGTTTGCTGGTCATGTGCAGAGACAGGTGTGGTTGACTATAAATCTGTAAGTGATCAAGAATGGAAGAAGCGGCTTACCCAGGAACAGTTTTACATCACTCGTAAAAAGGGAACAGAGAGGGCTTTCACTGGGTATATTATATGCTTCTTTAATCTGGAATTTGATGTTTGTTATTGCAGAAGATCCACTATCTTTCCAACTTTGTTAGCTGAAATTTTGAACCTGAGTTAGCTGAAATTTTGAACTTGATATTTTATTCATTTTTGGGAGCTTTTGAGGACCTACTAGGAAGTTTCTAAGTAAAATTTTGATCTTGCAAGTTATGTTAGGCTCTTCAGACCTAAAGAGGCCTTTGGTAATAGAGGGATACTGATTAGTTCTTTGTTGTCTCTGCGATCTTATACCCCTTGAATCTTGTATAATAGGAAAATATCTATATAGGATGTGGGAAAATTTTCTTGCAGTTCATGCATTCTAGTTATATGGCATGCACATTTTCCGCTAGCTCAGAAGTAGAATTACTAGCCATTTTTTTCGGTTTCTTGAATGGAGGAGGGCATAAGCCCGACCAAACAAAGACAATTACTAGCCTTTCTTTACAAACAATTGAAGAATGGCTAGTAATTGGCTTTGTTTGCATAATAATAAGTCAGAAGGACTTTCTGACCATGTCATGAGGCAAACACGAGCAAGTTTCTGTATGCATTTTATAGGGTTGGAATCTGGCTTCTGACTTAGGAAAAGGGTGAGGACAAGAGTACTTAGGATATTATCATAGTATACAGCATAAAGGATGGATTTTTCTCTTTTCAGCCTTGATCCTTGCTCGCCCGCAAATATCTTTTTACCAATTGCAAGCTTGAATACATGGTGGAATGAAAAATGTTGCTCATGCTTACTTCCCACACAAGCACAACCAAACAACTGATGTTGATGGAGACGGTTAGCTACTTGCGTTCCTCTTATCAAATTTCACCTGTTATTCATGTTGGCCTTTTTATCTTAATCTTCAGGGAATACTGGAATACCAAAACTCAAGGAACTTACCATTGCATATGTTGTGACACACCTCTATTTGAGTAAGTACTATTCTAGCTAATTTTGGGTTTTCGTTGAATATTATGCTCTTGCGCATTCTTTTAACATCGATCGATAAAAATATTTTCTCCTTCAGATCATCTACCAAATTTGATAGTGGAACCGGTTGGCCATCTTATTACCAGCCGATAGGAAACAATGTGAAGTCCAAGTTAGACTTGTCTATTATAATCATGCCTCGCACGGAAGTTCTTTGTGCCGCATGTGATGCTCATCTTGGCCATGTCTTTGATGATGGACCACCACCCACGGGAAAGCGTTACTGTATAAACAGGTAAGTAATCGGTTCCCATTTTTCTTTTCCATTTTTCTTGCCTTTTCTCCCCATATATTGAGCTTTTATAGTGGACTTGTTATGACAAGAAACTACCCCTGCAGTGCCTCTCTGAAACTAAAACCAGAGTAGGAAGCAAAATCTCGCAAGAGGGTGACTCTTTTGTGCCGGCTCACCGGAGGATTGCCAGTCAGTTACAGACGTGGACAGAACTGTTTCATGAACTCACAAATTCAAATTGTTAGCCATGTTTCTTCATGAAAAAAAAGATGTTAGCCATGTTTACGAGGACCTAAAGTGTATATGGGCAATTCCTAAGGCAAAATATACATCTTAATATTAATATCTCATGTATAGATTAGATTGCAGGATATTGGCGGAATATGCTTCTTTTACTATCAACATTTTGGGGCTTCCCCTTGCAAACTAGACTAACACCTCTACGAAACTGTTCAGTTTGCTCTCCATTTTTAAGAGGACACTACTTCCCTCCTTACCCATAAGGAGAAACTCCTCCATACCTTACCCATAGGAGGAACTCCTTACCTAGTGATGTGGCTCAACCACAAACTGACGTGTATACATTTTTTTTCCCTAAAAAATATTTTTGTTTCTTCCCTTTTATCATTCATAACTGATTTTTTTTTTCCTTTCATCTATCCCACAAATAACCTCTTTAGTTTTTTATAATTAGGCAATGAGACATTATAGATGTACTTTAATTTCTTATTCTACGGTCTCTACAACTCAAAGTTTGCGTGATTCAAAAATATCTATATCCTTTAAAAAGATAAAACTCCATGAAGAAACTATGCCTACCAACACTGTCAATGGCAATTTGGCTTAAGGTGAACTGTGGAGAGGAGTTAGAAAAGTCCACAAAAGACTTCAAATTTAACTGAGGTATGAAATAAAAAAAGAAATTAGTTTTACTAAGGAAATAAAAGGAAAAACACTTTTGAGACTTAAAAAAAAAGTATATATGTCAGTTTGTAGTTAAGCCACATTATTAGGTCAGGAGGAGTTTCTCCTTACCCATAAGGAGAGAAGTATTGTCTTTTTTTATATAACTACTCTGTCTATGAGGTAGCTCGATGATCAGGCACCTCTTTCTTGACATGGAAGTTCAATGCTGGTGCGAAGAAGGAAAGGCAAATAGGAAGAGGAATGCTTTCTACTTTGCTTTATTCTTTGTATCTTTCTTGTCATTTTCATTTCTTAATTGATTCATTGAAAAAACTCTATTTTTTTTTATAAATAAAATGATTAGATTAAGAAATAAAAGAAATTTTTAAAAAATGATATTTTTAATAAAATGATGGGATTAAGAAATACAATAAATAAGTTCGAGAAGACTTGCGTGTACTGTAATTAAAAAAAAAAAGTCTGGGTGCTTAACACATTTGTTTCATAACTTTAGTATTTGAAAACAAATTTTCCAGTAGCCTTTTTCTTGTTACATTGAAGGAATCAAATTCTCTGAGTAACCTAATCTTAAGCTAATTCTCCGCTTGGATGAGAGAAAATAACTCGTAATTTAGCTAAAAGTCAGGACTTTAAAGGGAGAAATTGACAATTCCCTTGTTTGGTAACTTAAGCGCAGAATTTATTAAATAATGCGCGAACAAAATTGTGGAAATTGCAACATCAAATTCTTAAGTTTAATTTCTACCAAAATAGGTGTCATTTCACAATTGTTATAGTGCCATTTACAAAATTATGTCATATACAAAATTCGAAATATATAAATTCAAACATTGAAATCTTAAATTGCTAGAATTGAAATGATGGAAATCTAAATTACGTCATTTTAAAATTCTATGTAATTTTCAATTTCGTCATCCAAACGGAGGGCCAAAATAATATTTTTCCATTAAATTTATTTAAACTTAGGAGGCCTTGATTCGTGGAAAGGAATCCATAAGGAGTATCAAGCAAAGCAAATTCACATGAATGAAGGATTCGAACTTGAGTATAATAACAAATTCACAACGCTAATAAACTGACTTAATCTGCGTATGAGAACTTAATTTTTTATACATTTTTAGTACAAGCTATAATCTAAACTATAGAGGAAAGAGGTTTTTCTCATACATTACCATGATGTCATGTAATTCAAACATAAGATCGCTAGTATGTAAACTAAAAATCCTTTTCAATTGAGTTAGGCCCGTTAACCAGCTTAACCTTTTATGAAAGGAAGAAATTATATGAATTTTGAGCTAACCCTTTCGAAAAGCTAGTCGTTACTCGTTACTGGAAGCGTGGAACCCAAATCGAAGAAACAACTGTACGCACAAAAGCCCCCCACCATAAAAAAGAAAAAGAAAAAGAAATCCAAACCCGTTAAACCCTCTCCCTCTCTCCCCCGCGCCCGCTCTCGCTCTCGCAGAGCCGAGACCCAGACCACCATCTTCTTCTTCCCTCACTCGTCTCTCCCTTAACTTCAATTATGTACGGAGGCGGTGAGTACATGAAAAACCTAACAACACTTGCATGCTATATTCGATTTCTCTGATTTGAATTTTTTGGGGCTTTCTTTTTCTCTGGTTTGCAGATGAAGTATCGGCTATTGTTCTTGACCTCGGCTCCCACACTTGCAAAGCTGGCTATGCCGGCGAAGATGCTCCCAAGGCAGTCTTCCCATCAGTATGTGCTTATTTATTTCTATTAAATAGTTCAGCTAAAATTTTCATAATGTCAATCACATTTACTTTGGGTTGTTCTTTTTCTTGTTCAATTACTAGTTACCGTTAAAAAGTTCACAAATTTGTTGCTGTGCCTAATCAAATGCAAACTTGTAGTTTAATACTAAGCATTTTTTGCTTTATAGATCCAGGAAATGTTACAATCTGGGTCAAGTTACGGACAATGCAGAATGTGTGCGGCTTTGCAGTTACCCGTTTGAAAATTTTTAAACTATAGCTAAAGAATTGTAGCCCTTTGTGTACATGTCTGGTGTTAGGACCGTCCCAAAGATTTTAAAATTATAGGTTGTTGTTTATCCAGAAGAATGATTAAGAGTTTTCCTTCCTACACCATGATGGATAAGGCGACAGTACTGGTGGAAAATCATCTTCAGTAGAGGGGGTGTTAAAGTTGATGGGATTTATGCAGTTAGGTGGGAAGTTCATGGTTGCTTTTAAATCAGTTTGGAATTTTTGCAGAACGGCTGGAACTTTTCTTATTTTTTGAATTTATTAGTTATGGAATTATAATATATGCATTGAATTTCTGAGCATTAGAGGATGGACCTTACTAATTAAATCTGTCGAATTAGGTGTAGAATTTGTTTACTACGTTTTAGTCCGTTAATTGGAGAGTTATTATTACTAGTTCATGTGTAAATTAAAATTTTAAAACTGATGTTGGTATCTGTTTTTGTTTGTTAAGGTTGTTGGATCAATTGATCAAATGGAAGTTGAAACTGAAACAGAAAATAATTCTGGACCTGCTGTAGATCCAAAAAGTAATTCCAAATCTCTTGATTCTGACAAAGCCAAGGGAAAACGCAAATTATATGTGGGATCTCAAGCCTTAGGGTACCGTCGGGATCATATGGAGGTCAGTCTCTAATTAAAAGCTTTTGTCATTCAAGCACTTTTTCTATAAGTCTTTGATTAACTACTGCTTTTCTATCAGGTGGTGTCACCCATAAAGGATGGAGTTATTGTTGACTGGGAAGCTGTGGAGGGTATATGGGACCATGCTTTTAGGTAACTACAAATGGATTAATCAGTATTCTACTATGCTTTAAGTTTATTTACTCTTTCAAATTATTCTGGGAGTATCTTCATGTGTTTAGAAGCTTCTCATATTCAACTGTATTCTGTTATTCAAGTAATTTTAATTTGGACTTAACAGATGTATGTAATGCTGTAGCTTCACTTTACCACCCAAAGGCTTGGATTTTACATTTTCCCAGTTATTTGTCCATCTAGCAATTTCGGTTTCCCAATTATTTAATTCTGTTTCTGTATATTACCATGTCACTAAGTGCTTGCTATTTGTTTCAGGGAATGCCTATTGGTTGATCCTAAAGAGCATCCAATGCTACTTGCAGAGCCATCTTCTAACACTCAACAACAGAGAGAAAGGTAACATAGCAATTATTATATTTTCTCATTAGCTCACAATTGTGACTATCTAGTTAAACCAAAATGCTTATGTAATTGTTAATGTATTCTTTTGTGACAAACTTGGACTTCACGGTCAAGGATAAAAACATCCGCTGTACAGATAGCTTAAATAAGGGGGTTTTTTGGTTATTAGGGTTGGGTGTGCCATCCTTAATTTTTCGTCCTCTTCTTTCTTTCTGTTTGGATCTTGTCAGTGGAATCAAGCATTTTTGTTCTGTTGAAGGCCGATATCAGGGAAATCTTGGGAATATAGGGGAACCTTTGCTATATCAGGCAAATTTCTGGGATAGAGGGGAAGAACTTGTTCAACCCCACCATCAGTATCAGTGTCTTGATTATGTTGCATACTGATGTATTCATTATGTTCCTGTACTATTGTTGCATACTTTGATTTTGTTGTTTTAAAGTTTTTAACTTGTAATAATTATGCCCAACCCACTTGATAAAAGGTTTTGATCTAAATGGTATTATCTGCTTCATCATTATTTATGGTTTAATTGGTGTGTCTTTATATTTTTGGTTTTTATGTTAAGGGATTGAGGTTTGTCTTGTACCTGACAGGACAGCAGAGCTTATGTTTGAAAAGTACAAAGTTCCTGCCTTATTTTTGGCCAAGAATGCTGTATGTCCCCTCTTCATCTCATCTCCTTGATTCCAACTTGTAGAACATGGATTAGTATTACAGAATCTGCTCTTTTCTTCCTTTTAAAAATCAGTCTGCAATTGGTGAGTAACTGGAATACTTTTGATGCCAGGTTCTCACATCTTTTGCATCAGGCCGTGCTACCTCGTTAGTTGTTGATAGGTAGGAGATTCCATAATTTTTACTATGATTGCATATAATTTTAGTACTTCCACATCTTCTTTCATTTTAAGCCGATCTTATATAATTTGGTATATCATTTCTATTGTTGTACCCTTTCTTTTTCACACATGTACATAATCTTGTTTTAAGTCACATGGGGCTCAACTTGGGGTTTGGTGCAGACCATGGACCTACACCTATTTGCTTTATGTTAATCGTAAGTGGGAATAGGAGGACAGATTAAGATGTATGTCTCGCCAAGGAAGTGAATGTTTATACCAATTCAAAATCAGTAGTTCAGTTTCAAAAAATGTCAAGCAAAGTATCTATCTCAGTGCAAATGTCAGTAAAAGTGGACGAAAATGCAGAAATTTTCTTAAATCTGAAGAAAAATAAGAACATTTTGAATGTAGCTGTAGGAAATCATAAACCTAGACAGTGTATCAATTGAATTTTTGGGAATACATCTATGAATTTGAAATTGTTTACTATGCAATGTACTTGTTGAAGTTTTTAATACTGCTTATAGTAAGATTTAATGTATTTATTGTCCCTTTATGCTTTTTCTGGATTTATGGCGTGCAAAACTAACATATGGTATTGCGCATAATTGCAAAATTCATCCAGTGGTGGAGGATCAACTACAGTTGCTCCAGTTCATGATGGCTATGTTCTTCAAAAGGTACTTTTCACTTTCCAATCAAATTAGATGATTGACCTCCAGAACAAGTTAATTTGTAGGTCATTTTTATATAGTTATATTTCATGTTGAGCTAAATTTTACTTGATTTTCTTTGTGAGCTACTTGTATAGTGGGCTCTTGCACTCTATAAATGCCTTTACCAACCTTCTGTCAGAAGTGAATTAAATGGGAAATTTAAGAAGAGTTTTTGCTTTAAAAGTTTAATACTATCATATTTTGCTTGTTCAACTTTTTACAGGCTGTGGCATCTTCTCCTATTGGAGGAGAATTTCTTACTGATTGTTTGACAAAAAGTTTGGAAAGTAAAGGAATGATGGTGAGTGACTACGTAAATTTCATTTGGAGGGTAATCATTTGCCTGAAGTTGCTCTCCTTTTTTTATTTAATTATTTTCGTATTTATTTGTAGATTAAACCCAGATATTCTTTCAAAAGAAAGGAAACACGACCTGGAGAGTTTCAGGTACTTTTTGATTTTATTGTTGGATGTATTCACGAATAGTTGAGGATTAAGAGTTGCAATATGCTTCCAGTCTGAAAATTGTATTGATGGCTTGGTGCATATCAGCTGCCTGATTATTATGTTCCTCTGGAATTTGCACTTGTTTATTTTTTAATCAATCTTGAGACTTAGCCAATATTCAACTTAGATGCACATATATAGCTTTAGACTTATTTATTTATAGCTTTATATCATTATTACCATATCTCAATGTTGTAGGTGGTAGATGTTGATTTTCCAAATACCACAGAAAGCTACAAACTCTATTCCCAGGTCTGTGATTTACCAGAATATTTCTTATTAAAAAGTCATATTCTTTTTCCTTTTCTACTGAATTTTGCTTCGTGGCAGAGGGTGGTTGCCAGTGATATCAAAGAATGTGTGTGTAGAGCCCCTGACACTCCATATGATGGTTTGCTATTCTTCCTTTCTCTTATGCGCTTGAGTGATTTAAGAAGGCTTGTTGCTATGTCCATAGTTGTATTAAATGCTTTAATCTTCAAGGAAAACAAAAATGTTCATTTAGAATTCTAATAGGATTTTCATTTTTTTCCTTTCCAGAAAGCGCATATTCAAACATTCCAACAACCTCATATGAGCTTCCTGATGGCCAGTGAGTCTTATTCTACTTTATGATTTTCCATTGTTAAGCGGGTTCTTGTTTCCCTTATTCTTTTGCATCTTTGAATTCCTTGGGTCTGTTATCGTTCTTGCTAATTCATGTGCACCTCATTAAATGATGACTGCCTAATCTTGTGCAAATTGAATACTGTTTATTTTGCTTTAATTTTTATTTGTTTTATAAATAATTAGTGACTTTGTGATCATGATACAGGACAATTGAAATTGGAGCGGATAGATTCAAGATTCCTGATATTCTATTTAACCCATCCTTGGCTCAGGTGGATGTCTTCTGAACTACATGATGCCTGCTTTTAACTTTTTCTTGAATGCTTGGAAATCTCATGGGACATATTTGCATTTAACCATGCTCTTATTATTGTCTGTTACATAATTTCATGTAATTGACGCTTTCAAGTTTCCGATTTTGTCTTAATATGTGAACCTTGTGTAAAGTGAGATATGGCTGTTTCATCTTGAGCATTTTTCTTTTGACAAGAAACAATAACTTTACTGAAAAAGAGAAGAAAATGCACAAAATAGCGCGGACAAGAGGTCCATCATATGCGAACCTTGTCCATTTTCAGCAGTTCTTTGCACTTAGATAATTGATGGCTCAAAGAATATCTCTTTAAGTTTGTTTCTGTGGGCTGTTTTAACTTTTTAATCAGTAAATTGGCTTTAGGAAGAGTAGTAACTTCTTTTCATGTCTACTAAAGTTGGTGATATTTTGATACATAAATTTTTTTAATGAAATTTTTAGGAAATTGGCCAGTTTTGTATGTGGTTACACAATTTGGAATTTTAAAGGATTTGATGTTACAATATAAATAAAAAGGGTTGGACCACATTTTAAAAGTTAACTGTAAATTGCACTTGATAAAAAAAGTTTGATCTCGGATTTTATTGTGATATCAGTGTTACCAAATGCTATTCTGTTGAAGCGATTTCTCGATGGATTGGTTGCGTAAATATATGTTTTAGTTGGTACTTTTCCTGCATGTTCTATCTATCTTATTTTGTTTCTATGAAATGTCAGACAATTCCTGGTGTTGAGAATTTTGCAGAGATTGTTCCTCTTCGTGGTTTGCCTCAAATGGTAATTCGTGCTTTATTTTCCAATGAGTGGTTGCTTCCATGGAGTTGTTTATCTGTTTTTCTTTTTGTTCCCCCTCATTTTTTTAACTGATGGTTTACTCTTATTGTTTGTTCTCTCCAGGTTATCGAGAGCATTAACAAGTGTGACGTGGACATTCGTCGTGAATTATTTAGTAGTATACTGGTAAAATGCATGAAATCACTTGTTTTTTCCCCCAACTAATTCATAAAACCTAATAGCATAAAGGAGTTTAGTAGAGACATCTGGATGCAAAAAAAATATGTTTGGGTGGGACTTAATAAGTGTTGCAAATCTCTGTGGTAAATATGAAGACTTCCTGAAAATTGCTTAATTTGTTACATTCTTGGAATTCCTTGATGTACAACTTAGTGGAACACGCTTCAGAAATATGATATGGTTGCTCTTTTTTTTTAATCAGCTTGCTGGTGGCACAGCATCAATGCAACAGTTAAAGGAACGCCTTGAGAAAGACTTGCTGGAGGTATTGCTTTTCAATGAAGCACTAACATGATCGTATTTCTTTTTTCTCAGCCAATGTTTGGTTATTGAATTTGGATTCTATTTGTTATATCGTTTCAATGGGTTGGTGTTAATAATTTCTCTCTCTCTCTCTCTCTCTCTGTGCGGTGTGTGTGTTCAGGAGTCTCCTCAAGCTGCTAGAGTTAAAGTATTGGCGAGTGGGAATTCAACTGAAAGGCGATTCAGGTAAAGCCAATACATAAGCATATTTAATTTGAACCTTTTTACTTCTTTCGTATAGAATACACTTAGAGCATATTTAACCAGATAAAGCTTTCACTCATTAAAATCCTTTCAAGTTTCACCTTTATGTAGTTATAGTTTTACCTCTTATTCTTGCTTGTGTTATTAAATGTAATGTTGGTAATATGACATTCATGCAATTTCTCTTCCCCTGACTTCATTATGCCTTTTTTTTTTATGCAGTGTTTGGATAGGTGGGAGTATACTGGCGTCTCTTGGTTCATTCCAGCAAATGTGGTTCTCCAAGGCTGAGTAAGTTTCATGATTTCACCTGTGCTTGCACTTAGACTAGCTTGTTTAGCGGTATCAAACGATATACGTCTTCAAGTGATGATTAAGAAATCATACAGAGTGTTTAGTGGTTCCCTATTGATATTTTGCTTCATGTGATTGCAATCAACAGGTATGAGGAGCATGGGGCTTCTTATGTACAAAGAAAATGCCCTTGAAATTGTCTTCCAGACTGCAAGTAGGAAAGGTTTGTGCTTGATTTTCTCTTAATTATTACATCCATATTTTTTTTTAAAGAAGAAAATTATAAACATGAAATTACTCTCGTGTTTTCAGGTCTCTAATATGCTCCCTCCATCATGCTAACCTTTTCCAGAATTGTCAAAGCTTCAAACTTGTGTCGCTGATACGGATGATAGAATGCTTTGATTTGTATCAACCGACACTGATGATCCCTTATATTGTTCTGTGGCATACTTTTCATTACTTCAGCAGATTTTCACATGTTAAATTAATGTCCAATTGATTAGGGGGTTTATTGTGGTGGTGCTTATCGTTTCAAAGCATATTGTTGGACGTGTTTTAAATGACTAACGCTTATTGTAGACCAACCTCTCTCTCTCTCTCTCTCTCTCTCTCTCTCTCTCTCATAAACACAAAATATCTTCTTCAACTAAAATAACGGAAAATGCTACGTGGTGAATGCTATTGGACCTCATACCATCTAATCAAATTAATATTATTTAGTATTTTATGTCATGGGGAAAAAATTTAAAAGATATGGGTCCAAAGAGAAAAGTTAATTATATTTTCATTTCATATTAATTTTACCGGTGCATTCCCAACCCTAAGGAAAAAAAAATATCAAACCTCAACTTGGCCTTGTGTAATTGGGTAAAGGAGTGAATTTAGCTTTTCATTCATCTTGATATTCTTTTACTTTATCCTATTAAAAAAATAAATAAATCTTGTCTGTACATGTATTATTTTTGTTGGGCCTTAGGGCCCTATTGTTAGGCCCAGGCCCTACTAGATTTCATGACCCTTTAGGTGGAAGGCGAAGAAGGCCCCCTTCCGGGGGGGGCCCGAGCCATCAGTGATATACCACTCTGGAAGAGCTAGAATTCTAACCTTGTGTCAGGACCTACGGGCCAAGGGACAGTCTCAGGTAGACAGTTTCTATGGGGCGTAGGCCTCCCAAAAGGTAACATATGGCGCGAGTTGATTGTAGTCAAATTCCTTCTACTCCGCGGAGCACCAGAATACTACCCCATCTCAAGCACAACCGGAACAGAGCACCAACAGTACCAACCGTTAGTTGACAGCGGTCGCTAAAAAGAACCGCTGTTTTGTTCCCGAAGACAGACAGCGACAGAGTTAAGGTTTTTGAGAAACAAAAGCAACGAAGAAACCCAGTTGAGGTTGTTGAGCAAAGGCTGAGAAGAAGAAGAACAATGGCTAATGAGGAAAAAGATAGCGTGGAAGACTACTTGCCGCTAAAGGATTTCAAAGCGGAAATTGAAGTACAGGAAGGAGCTTTCTCTCTTTGCTTTTGGCTTTACCTCATGAGCTCCACTGCCTTCCCTGCCAGGCTCATTCAGGTTTGTCTTAAACTACCCATTTCCTCATTTCTTTTGTATTTCCTTTTACTTCTTTTGGGTATTAGGATGAATGCCCATTTCTCACTTTTGTGTTTTTGATGGTTGCTGATGGTTTCTTGGACTTTTATGATGATTGATTTTTGTTTGTTCATGTTTTCTTGTTGAGTTCTGTTTTGTTTTTGTTTTTCTATGGATATGGAAAATTTAACCCAAGTGCTTTGTTTTGAATGTTTGTTGAATCTTATGTGTTCTGTTATGTTTTTTTGGATCATTTTGTGAAATGATTGTTCATTGAGTGTCCGATATGCAGGTGCAATCAGGTGCCATGGAAGGTGCTCCTTTTCTTGTTCTGAGTGAGAAGAAGAAAATGGTGCTCTTGCCATTGAGTATCTTACACAAGGAAGCTCCTGAAACTTGTGACTTGACTTCACTGTCAGAAGTTCCACATGTAGCTATGGAGACTGAGTTTCCTATGGAGAAATGGATTCATATTGGGTGTGAGGTATGACGTATTAGTTATTGAAAGATTTACTCATTTCAAACATTTTGTTTGGGGAGGGAGAGCATGGATTTTATTACATTGGTAAATACAAGAGCATAATGTGACTAAGAAGCTATCTATGTTAAGGAAAAGATAAAAAAATAACTCAGATTCTATTTAATGATAAAAGTATACTAAGGAAGAAGAAAAAAATATTTTTGTTTTGGTTTTTTGTTTCTTACATATGAAAAGCAGTTTTGGTACCCCTTGTCATAGGTGAAATTAGTGTTTACCTTCTGTGTTTAATATATGAGATGCTCAGAGTTTATGGGTTCACTTTAGGTTTCGTCTGATTTTGTGCTGCTACACATTGATGGTGAAATTGCGGGAAAGAAAGCTATGTCATCTTTGTTCAACAAAGATTCCATTTCAAGTGGTTTGACGAAGATCACTTTGGTTTGTGGTGGTGGAGATGACAACAGTTTGCAGGGTTATGTCCACAATCATAAAGTTTTGCCTTTGACTTCATCTATTATGGAATACTATGCTAAGGTGTGTAGTAGTTGCAAACCTTGTGATTCCTTAAGGGATTCTTTTAATTCACATCTCAATTTACTCACTTTCCTATCCCATCCAGTCCCCTCTCCACCAAAGTAAATGTTTATTACAGAGAAATATATTTGTATTCCAGGACCCACCTCTACAATTATCCATTGATAATTCATCTGCTTCGGAGATTGAAGAGGGCAGTGATGGTGTTTGGAGTATTGTTGGTGGCAAGGTCAGTTTGGGTGTCTATAATATCTCTTTCGTGGTCCTCATTACTACCACTCTATGCATGTGGGAAATCAAAACGGACTAACATGCAGAGTTGCATTTCACTGTTCTCCAGCAGTATCATTTAAAGAATGCATATATATGATGGACATGAAGTCCCAAAAACGAGTTTAATAATTCTTATGACATAAACTGCTATATCTATTGCTCTCAAGATTCCCATCAAAGTCGCCTTGTATTATTTCTGTAACATCATTGACTTTCCAAGTGCTGTAGCAGTAAAATCTCAGGGTTTTTAAAGATGCAACCTTATAATTCTTTGTTTGTCACTCATTTTAAAGGAATCATGCTCAGAGAAACCACTCAACTTCCAAAAGGAGTAAACTCACTTTTTTCCTTAACAAACTTTTTGACAGAATTACATTGTGCTGTTTCATGTGAAGCCCTGGGAGTAACTAAGATTTTGTGGACAAGCTTTTAGAAACATCTGCAATATTTCCTATAAGAGAAACAATTTTTATTGTTATGCCAAGGCTAAACTTTCACATTTTGGGTGCACAATTGGAGATATTATTCCTTATATGAATTGAATTCATTGATACAAAGTTTGTCTACTATTACAATATACCAGCAGTGATGATGCTTTTTATAAAATTGATTTTGTTTTCTAGAAGTCTCAATATGTAGAATGTCAAGGATCCAAGTAGTTAGAATTACAACTTTGTTGATTCAAATTGTTATCGCTTCAATTGGATATGTTGATTATTTTTTTCAAAAGTTTTCTGACTGGCATAAACATTCTATAACAGTAATGGATGCTGTCTGCCTTATTAATATGTCTCAAGTTATAATCCATGGCTACTGCAATGAGATATCACCTAATTGATATTGCCACTTTTATTTACCGTATCACAGGCCTCTTGTCGCAGGATTTTTTCACTGGATGTTGTACTGTTAGATGCCTTTTCCCATCCTATAAACAAGGAGTTGGAGGTTTGTATTTGGATTTTGTGCACTACATGCATTGTTAAATTTCGTGTGCAACAGTGACTAAATATTAGCATGCACCGTTGACACATTGTTTCTATTACAGGTTATTGCTTCCCTCGTGTATGCTGACAATGGGGCACCTGTGGAGAAGACAAGTGACGGAGAAGCTCCTCTTTTGGCAAGCCAAGATGGGGTTGAATTTGCTTCGTGTGATAGACCAAGTAAAATGCTGCATGGGCATGCGTCTTTTAAGCTGAAGATATCTCAGGTTCTAAGTTAGAAAGAACATATCTTTTTGGCACCTTTTGTGAAGATATATGAGATACTTCCCTACACATTGGTACTTACAAGCATGATATTAAATAGGTTTATTTGATAAATCTCTTATGCTGACGAAATTGTGAAAATTGTTCCTCATCATCATGACGAACTCTAGTGCTTCAGGTTAGGGCCCATACACTAAGGGATCCCTTGATTTCGCTAAATTAAGGGATTGTTAGGCCCGCCATGCAATGTGGTCTAATGATCCGATCTGTCCATCTTTTAGGTTCCCCTTAGAAATCATCCCTGCAAAATTATCGATGTACTGTTCAATTAGCCATCATTCCAAGCTATTGTGTGCTCTCAATGTCACAGGTGTAAATTCTATTGTAGTGGGAGGAAGTCACTTGTTTGCATATGATATGGGTGTACACGTGTGCTCCTGCATCTGTGAGAACAATGGACACTGATGTCCCTCTCATTTAGCATCTTGTGATTGGTTTACTGTTGAAAATGTTCCATTTCTGAGGTGAATACACATAGATGTATTATTTTGATGAGTTTTAGTGCAAGATCTACTTATTTGCCAAATGTTTCTGTGTTCTGCTAGAAATTTTCAATGACTATCCTCTTTCTCATTTCAGCTTTCATCTAAGTGTGATAATCGGATGTTCCGCATAATGTTTCACATGCCAAAACTGGAAACGTATCCTTTCCTCAAGGCATTCTCCCCTCCAATTCGTTGTATCTCAAGGAATCCTAGTACTCGGATATCCTCTAGATTGTGGAAAAGGCCAGCATCTGCCAATGATCAACTTAATTTATCTCAGTTATCAGGATTGGATGATGAAACGTTAGAACTTCATCACAGTTCTATTCATGAAGAAAAACTGAGTCCATCATCAAAGCGGTGTAGATTGGGACAAGATGACGAATGCAACTCTCATTTAAGAACTGCTAATCAGGTATTCATTCATTTTCTCTTATAATGATAAGTGAGTTTCACGATACAAAAATATTCCATGGGGTGCTTTTGTTTGAAATTCTTATTCTGTTGGAAGTCATATAATGAACAATTAGATAATCGAGATACGCTAATGATCATAACCGAATTTGTCTTCTCCAGCATTTTCTGTCAAAAGTCTTCCTATATAAGGGACCCCATATGAGTAACTTCAAAATAAAAGGAGAGTTGAAAAACAGTGTAAACTCTTCTCAAAGTGTGATTCTTTTCAACCTCTGCTGGGAAGAAAGGGATATTTTTTAAAATTATTTCTGTTCAGTGAAAAAAAATAATTCTGATAATTTCCGAAGAATGTAACTTTTGAAATTTTATTAATATTCCTGATAAGGCTGAATGGTGAAAAAGAATGATTTACATTTTTGCTAATGTTTCCATTTGAGCACAAGGAAAGGTAAAAATATATTTATTTAATACATTATTTGTATAGAAGCATACATTGTCTTTCAAGATACGTAATTACTACCTTTGTGCATAGAATTTGAAGATTATCATAGTAAGTAGGTTCATGGTATTTGTTTAATTTATTGTGCTGGAATGATCCTATTTTGAACAGATATGCAACCTTTAGAATAAATTTTGTAACATCGATATATTGAAATGTGTACTTTTTTGTGAATATTGACAAGAGTCTAATTGAAATAAATTGAAAATTAGGTTAAAAATGTGGTGAGGAGATCCGACAGTCTTGAAGAATTAGATGTCTCCCAAACTGATTCAGAGAGCCCCGAAGCGAGAAACTCAGCTCTCAAGAGTACGTCAAGTAGTAGAAATCCAATGTCAGATGCAACCATTTTTAAATACTGCCTAGCAGGTTTAACTGAAAAGACTCTTCTGCTCAAGGAGATTTCCAGCACTGGTTCTAATGAAGAACTTTTGAGTTTTTCCCATCAGGTTTCCTTATATTCAGGATGTTCACACCACAGGTAATCACTAGTGTTTTTCTTAATATAAATATTAGAGACTCTATTGGTCGAGTTAACAAATATATGATGATATTCTTTCTTGCATGATATTTGTCATTTCTGTTCATTATGACAGAAAAAAAAAGAATCCTCCTTCAACCCTTCTATTCCATTGGTTGCCAAACTTAGTTTTCTTTTCAGTTTCAGATTCCAACTAGACATTCCTGTAAAAACTGACTCATATCAAATCCAAAAGAATTGTAGGGAACAGCTATATTTTTCTATTCTTTTCATCCTTCCTTTGCTATGATTCTAATTTTGAGTAAGAATACAACAGATCCGTTGTTTTCATTTCAGGCTCAATATATTACTGATCATGTAATCACTAAACCCCGTTTCATGTGTAAACTTATGTCAATTCACCCAAGAGAAGAAAAAATTTCTCAGTTTAAAAGGAAAAAAATAGGATTAGAGTTTGATTATGCTACTACCTAGTGATCCTTGATTTGTGCTTTAGATACCATATATTTCCTTATCCTCGTATGGTCAGAATCGTTTTTCTTTCTTATTTATTCCCTCAGGCACCAAATAGCAATGGCAAAGCGATTGATAGAGGAAGGAAATAAGGCTTGGAATTTGATCTCACAAAATAAACACCAGGTTCCATGGGAAAGTGTGGTTTTTGAAATTGAAGAGCAATTCATGAAGATTGCTTGTTGTAATTCTCGGGCTCTCACGCAACAGGTTCCCCTCTCTCTCTCTCAAGTATACTCTTGGTTGAGATATTTAAGATGTAGACATTTTGAATCTCCTATGAGATCAAGTTGCATCTTATGCTCATGATGATGCTCCTAGAGCAGAATCAACCATTTATCAAGGATTGTTGCATGACAAGACAATTGAAGTTGGTTGAGCAATCAACACTACACACTGTCAAGCTTTCAGATGAGTTGTATTTTTTTTAATAAATTTTACCTTTGTGTTCAATCCATTAAGTTTGTGAAATTTTTCTTTAGAGAAGATTTTTAACAAATATCATAAATAGCTATGTGGTTGCTTTAGTTTAGATTTGGAGAATCCACGGGTGTAACTTATGAGATTTAATTTCTTCTTGTTGTGAAGTTGATTACCTTGTACCTTTATTTTCATCATATGTAGCCAAATCATTTTTTCATATCAAGCTTGTTGCTTTTACACTCTGGATAATATGTCATAATGAAAACTCTCTGGGAACTAGTTTTGAGGATGAAGTTGTCATGTTTGATTTAGCTTGCAAAAAGTGTTTATTCTTTTCTTTGGGAAATGTTTTCAGGACTTTGAGCTACTGAGGAGAATTGCTGGTTGCCAAGAATATCTGGCCCAAGAAAACTTTGAAAAGATGTGGTGTTGGTTATATCCTGTAGCTTTAACGTTATCAAAAGATTGGATAAATACAATGTGGAGTTCAACATCTCCCAAGTGGATAGAAGGATTCATTACGAAGGAAGAAGCTGAAACTTCACTTCAAGGTTCAAGGGGTTTACAGGAATCTGGTACATTTGTACTCCGGTTTCCTACTTCAAGGAGCTGGCCCCACCCAGATGCTGGTAGCTTAGTTGTGACTTATGTTAGCAGCAAGCACTCTATTCACAACAAGCTTATCTCCCTTGATCAAATGTTTAGGTGGGCACTACTTTTGCCTTGCCTGAGAAACGGCAGTTTTAAATTTCATTTCTGTTGCGCTTTTCTCATATAGGGATTAATCAAATTATTGGTCAAGACATCTTAACTGTAACTCAAACTTGTAGGGGTGTACTATGTATGGCCTATAAAACAGTAGGGAAATTGCAAAGATTAATAGAAAAATGTAGTCCCTGAGTTTTATGTTGATTGTGTTTTTCTTTCTATTAGAGAAGTAATTGTTGAAATATTGAGTTCTCAGTCACACTGCATTAAATTTACCATATTAAGGGGAAAAAGGTCTCATGCATACGAAGATAAATTTGATTTACCACGGAGATAAGGTATGAAGGAACTGTGAAACTTTATTTAGGGAAGCAGTCAAAACTTGGGTGATGGGTATAATAAAATGGTTTCAGAGAGCAATTATTAGAGCCTTGATGTTTTGTTTACCATCTAGTTATCTGGGAAAATGAGTTAGCAATCCTGGTTTGAAATTACTGAAACTTTAGTTGCCTCCCTTGTCTTGCAGTTCTGCTGAGAGGGAAAAGAATGCAAAACCACTGCAAGATATGCTTCTTGCGGAACCCGAACTCTCTCGATTGGGAAGGCAAGAAATTTATTAACACATTTTTATTAAACTTCCATATAGTGCATTGACTGGATATGAGTGATTTATAAATTTTTTGCTTAAAATTTTGCAGGATAATAAGAAGTCGCTGAGTGGGCTAGAGATGCATAACATACTATTCTGTTTTTGCAAGATCAATTTTTGCGGCTATCTATGTATTGTCTTTTAGCCTTTGATGTATAGATTAGTCTGTTATTATATCAATATCTTATAAGTGGAAGTGCCCATTGTGTAAAAACATCAGCACATTTCAATTTCAACATTGAATTTTATTGCCAACATATGGCTGATAATGAGCTTGTGATACAAATTTTGCACGCAATTGTGAAATGTATGTCTTGGCTTCTATGTAGCAACCAACCCCCTCATTTTCATTAGAACACGAATTTCTCATAACCTCTTCTTCTTCTTTTTTCCCTCCACTCTGCAACATCAGGGGGTCTCATTTTCTCCATTATGATATGTTTAGGGCGTTTTCTAGCATTACGAGACCCGTCATCTATCATGTAAGTAATGCAATAAGCAATCTTAGCCGAAGGTGCGATTGATCAACTGTGGATCCTCAAGCTGAAACTCACCTCTATTAACAATCAAGCAGAATCACAACTCGGATGGAGTTGTCAACTGAAGATCTTAGAAGTCTGTAGGAATCTTTGACCTCGGCCTGCTGCAAAATAATGGTACCAGAAAACAATATTGGCATTGACGAGGGATCTTGCATCCAAAGAATAATTCTTAAGACATCATGTCTGGACATATAAGAAACATCCTTCATAAGAAGTCAATCAATAGTCAAATATTCAAGTGCAGAACAGTTTGTAAAAAGCTTTTCCATTAAGCTCTTACCAGGACACAATGAACTCCAACATCGAGGGACTTGAGATTTGGGAAACACCCTGAAGCAGGAGGAGCATAATTTCTATGGTTGACTAATTCATGAAGAGGAAAATACTCGCGTAAAGCCGTCCGGCTATACTATTTTGGGAAGAAAAAAAAAGGTGTATAGCCACAGGTATAGCCGCGCGGCTATAATATTTTGTTTTTTTTTATAAAAAGGCCCGATGCTAGACTATTTTGCAAAATGCGTGAGGAGAGTATAGCCACGCGGCTATACTATTTGCTATTAAAGAAATGTCTCTTCCTTCAAAATTATAACTGGCCATATGAGTCCACGAACATGGCAAATCACAAAATTGCACTCTCACCACACACACGTAGGAAACACATGGCTGCACATACGAGAGAGAGAGAGAGAGAGAGAGAGAGAGAGAGAGAGAGAGAGAGAGGAGTTTTATGCAAAGTGTGAGAGAGTGGGGGTGATGCGATGGGTTTTGGGTGGGCGGAGGAGGCTGCTGCGCAGTAAGGGTTTAAAGTTGTTAGAAGGGGCGGCAAGAAATGAGAAGAAAATCTGTCAACATACATTAATTCTCTCTCTCTCTCTCTCTCTCTCATTGCAGGTGTATATACTCGTAGCAGATGAAAAGCAGAGGCTTGTACAGGAACATACATAAGCGACCAAGATTCTGTAGGACAAATCGGCCTAGGCGGGCTGGGCGGCGCTAGGCGGGTCTGGGCTGCTCTAGGCATGTGTAGGCGGCGCTAGGCGTCGGTAGGCGGGTCTAGGCTGGTCTGGGCAGCGTTAGGAGGGTCTAGGCGGGTCTAGGCGGCGCTAGGCGGCGCTAGGCGGGTCAAGGCGGTGCTAGGCGGGTCCAGGCGGATCTAGGCGGCCCTAGGCGGATCTGGGTGCCAGGGTGGGTCTGGTTCTTTTATTTTGTCGTTCTCTTCAGAGAGGAGGTTGCTCAGATTATGTTGCTGCGTAGGAAAGCCCCTATGCATCTGGCAAGACACTTGAGGTCACAGCCCGACATATGTCCCTTAATTGTGTGCTGTGTGCTGTGGCTGTAATTTGCTACTTTCGGAAGTTAAAAGCTTTTGCAGATTCTGAGATGCTTATAAACTCATTTGCAGGTTAAAAGTGTTGTGCCATTTAGTGAGCCATTTACAGTGGACCCTCAAAATCCAACCCCCCGAGAAGGACTACAATGTTTACTTTAAACTTTGAAAGATATGGAATTACAGGAAAGGAAATCCCCGAACAAGATCCTGTACTAGTGTAATGTTTTGCATACATAGAGCTCTAATTTCAACCTTAACTCTGTAAGTATAATGGAGCTTAATATACTTCCATTTTCATATGAGATAATTCTCTCAGCAATGAGCCAATGACTATGAGAAGAAAATCTGTCAACATATATTAATTCTCTCTCTCTCTCTCTCTCATTGCAGGTGTATATACTCGTAGCAGATGAAAAGCAAAGGCTTCTACAGGAACATACATAAGCGACCAAGATTATAAAGTTCAGTAGGACAAATCTACATGACTTAAAATGTTTCACCTGAAATGGTAAGTTCTCACTTTCAAAAGGCTATAGCCTTGATCCGATGAGGTCCAAATCTCCTGATTATGTATAGAGGTTTGAATTTTTTTTCCAATTCAGCTGTATAATATTATTTTCTTTTCTACATATGAGTAGCTTGTATAGTGTTTTCTAATGATTTTAAAAATATAAATACATAAATTATTGTACATGTGTTTGGCCTTGAATGTTAAGTTAAAGATATTGGCAGAATCATGGCTTGTAACCATTTCTATGGCAGCGCAGCGCACACAGTTTGCAGCCTCGGCATAAAAGTGAAGATGGAGATCAATGTCACAGTTTTATATCAAATCAAGAAGGAAATTCCAATGCTGCGGCTTATAAAACTAGTAAGGGTTCACAGAGAGCAAGCACTTTCTGTACACTACAGGCAGATTGTAGAAGCTTACAGGAAATTGGACTATGACTAGCTATGAGGGTTATTGCAAGTCAATTTTTCGTTAAGACATTAGCCATAGCAATCAAGGCTCACGAGGAGTAGAGCATGTATTCCGGCATTAAGCATACAAGTTCAATGTAAACCAAGAGTAATTTGACCCAATTAGTGTGCGAGATTCGTTTTGGATTGAAAAGTGGAAAATCAAAGTGGCTGACAATAAAGAAACAGTTAAAAGTAGTGTTCTTAAAGTAAATTATTAATCAAAGTTAAAACTGGAGGTTTAAACATATAAAACCACAACCGATCACCACCAAAACCTTCACAAAATTAAGGTATCACCCTCAACACTATGCTTGGCCTTGTTATGTGACTCAAGTTCAGACCTGGAAACATCAACATAACACAAACATTAAAAAAAAATTGAAAAAATTGAAAAAATATTTTTAGAACTTTAACTTGCTCACCACCATCACCAGCCTTTTGTGCTCATTGCTTGGGCTAATCACCTATAGTAGCAGTCTTACCACCATCATCATCGTCTCCACCATCACATTTCTACAATCACATAGGCAATTTATAAATGTGTTACAACATAGAACTCGGAAAAGCACAATTTGGTATTTACCTCTGCCTTTATTGTAGGTGGCAGCGGAAGAGAAATTTTGTCATATGTATTTATTGTCCTTTTACAGTTCTGAAACATGTCCTGGGGCCTCATGTTATAGTCCAGGAACATTCCATCTTTTTTGAAGCAAAATCGGACTTCCCAAACAAACATTCCATTATAACACACACTATATTTGCGAAGCTGTCAGTCTTTTTCCTTATCACTTGAACAATCAAGTTAGGATCAAAATCAATCCCAACTGAAATTCCAGCACCCTCAAGCATATTTGTCACATTAACGTCTTCATAAAACTTGAATGCTAAATTGAAGTAGTCTTCAGCAAGCAGATCACAGAATTTACCATGGTCTTTCCACTGATTTTTCCAAATTTTTCTAGTCTCAATCAAATCCTTCGTTGTTGGATCTAACCAGTACTCTTTCAGCTTGACAAAACAAGCTATCAGAATTCTAAAGGAAACTAAATAAAACCTGTCCCAAGATACCAGAACTTAATGCACAGGTAAAGAACCCTGAAGCAGTTAGTTAAAGAGTAGAAAGAGTCAATTACCAATTTAGTCACTGAGAACATCTAAAAAGAAAATAAACAAAAAAATTGCTAATTTTGATTATGAAAGAAGAAAACTCGATAAGTCACTAAATCTAAGGTATATTGAAGGAGAAGATGAAGGTAGGGGTGAATGACTTTCCAAGTTGGGAGGGATTAGTTATAAGGTGTTATTATCCCATTTTGTGGGGATTAGATGGGATAAGTTTTCTTCAGGAGTAATCCATCTTCTACCCTCAATGATGAAAAATATTTTCATTTCTTCCTGGTATTCCAATCTTCTTATTTAATTTCACATCCTTCCTTTCATGGAAATAAATCAATTAAATGGCAATCCACCGTCAATGCCCAATTTTCAGTCTTTCCGATATTGTTCCAAATCTTTGACGTACATTTCAAGGATCCTTCCTTTCTTGTTGGACTCGGTTTTCACCTGATCATGTAATAATATATCAGATGGCCAGATTATGAGGCGTTTGTTCATGTATATATCTATATGATCCTAATAGTTGAATTTTCAAATTATCTAAAATCATATCTTCATCTAAGAAATTTTTTCAAATTATCTAAAATTTTATCTTTATCTAAGAGAAATATATAACATATCAATGATTTAGTTTATTCTCCTTGGCATAATTATCTGCAACAAAATACACCCGGGATATATGCTCATTTATCTCAATCTGCCTTACATGTCAAGCCCTGATTAGTCCATAAAAATAATTACCCAAATAATTCGGAACCTGAACTTGGGTTACAAGAACTTCAACCACTATAAATACACCCCAAATAATTAGTTGCTCCCTCACTTGCAGCCTTTGGTTTTTCTCTTACTGCGCATCATTAATTAGAAACCCTAGTTAAGAAATAAGTATGGGTGGCTATCAAGTTCCAGTTGGGTACAGGTTCACGCCTTCAGAAGAAGAACTACTTCTTCACTACCTTCTCCCCAGAGTGAATGGAAACGACTATCCTAAAGGTGTTGTTCCTGACTGTGATCTCTACGGTACAAAGGAACCGTGGGAGATATGGAGAGATTTCCACCACTCATCACCAGATGATCAAGAAGACATCTACGTCTTCACCACACTCAAGAAGAAGACTCCAAATGGCTCGCGGTTTTGCAGAACAGTTGGCGCCGCCGGTACCGGAGTTTGGAAAGGAGAAGACTCCGGCAAGAAAATACGTGCTTGTGGGAATGATATTGGCATCAGAAAGCGATTTCGGTACATGAACCCTGGCTCGCCCCACGATGACCGTTGGATCATGCTTGAGTTCCAGCTTGATGAATCTCTCGTGCAAGTGCGAAACAAAGAGACAATTGTTCTTTGTCTTGTTAGAAAGAAAGAAACATCGGGCAAAAGCAAATTAGAAGAACGACAAAATCATGAAGTTGACATGCCTTCCCGTGGAGAAATCCAGGCCCAGCATGTGCATGATGATCAGCAGCAACATATTGACGCAAGTACTTATGATCAACTTAGGTTTCTGGATGATTACCTTATGAACGATGTCGGGGGTGAACAAAACACCATGGTTAATCCAACTTTGCTTGCACAGTACGATCAGCAGGACATGATTGGCACAAGTACTGAAGATCAACTTAGGGTTTTCGAGGATTTCCTTATGAACGATGTCGAGGGTGAAGAGGACACCGTGGTTAATCCAGCTTTGCTTGCACAGTACGGTCAGCAGGGCACAAGTATTGAAGATCAACTTAGGCTTTTCGAGGATTACCTTATGAGCGATATTGAGGGTTAATCCAATTTTGCTTGCAAAATTAATTCCTCTTTTTGTAATTTCTCTGTTCTTAATACAACACTATAAGTATATATAGATATGTAGCTTGCTTAGTGCATTTGTTTATCTGCAGGCTTAGTAAAAAAGGTTCCAAATTTAATACACAAAAGGATTTATTGGAGTCCTTTCGTGTAATAACTATTTATATGGCGAAGAATTTCACAAGTTGTATATGCGAACAAAATAATAAATATATACACTACTTAAAGACATGGATATTCAATACTGCTTTATTTAAGACAAAGTTGCGCAAGGAATTGAAAATATTGTGAAGTTAATAGTAGGAGAAAACCACAAGAGCGTTTCAAACAAGAGTTAGCTAGCGCTGTCAGGTCTTTTACGATTTCAACCCTGTGAAGTATAAGATTTGAGCTACCAAAATAAAGTAAAACGTAACATGGAATATCATGGAAGTGGTACAGATGATTATGTCATCTCTCAATTGAAGCCACCTTTTTACCAGTTTCTCTGCTTGTAATGAACCTAGGTTAAATGAGCCAAACCCTATAAAAATATAAAAATATAAAAATATAAATTTGTGTTGGTCATACATATGTGCCACGTATATATTTATTGTTTACTAATCCACATGTATTATAATGTCGGATGGATCAGATTTACGCTTTTAAGGTATGGAATTAATAATGATGTTTTAAGCTGAAAAATGGAGTAATCAGTAATAGATAAATAATAGGTAAAATTATTAGTCGAAGGTAAATAAGTAGGTACATTATCAAATAACTGTAGGTGCGCTATCAAAGGGATAGGTATGTATTCTCTACATTGATAATAATTCTCCTATAAATGCATTAATGTGTATGAATTGAGATTGTGTGTGTGGTAATAGAAAACTGGAACCGTATTAAGTGCTAGTTTGGCATTGCTTATTTGGGGTAATAAGTGATTTTTTAAAAATTTTGAGAAGCTCAACCCGTTTGGTAAACTGTAAGAAAATCACTTATTGTTAAAATTGGCTGTGAGAGAAAGCTATAAGGGAAAGCAGCTAATGAGGTGCTTTCATTTTCTGATTATGCAGGAATCAGTTTCGAAGAGGCGCTGGGTTTAATGATTATGCGGCAATTATTTTTTGATTATACGTAAAATCAATACCAACAACACTTTTAACAAAAATTTTACCAAACACCAAAATACTTTATCTCACAGTTGATTTCTCTCACAGCAAATCTGACAGCAATTATTTTCACAGCACAGCAATGCCAAACTGGCCCTAAATGTCTAGAAAACATGGGTTTGATGGCATGGTTTGTAAATTAATCGTAATAGATGGCTAACTGTTGGCATGATTTTTGTTTATTTATAGTTTAGAGCATTATCCATTACTATTAGGCCATTATCTAAATATCTATTGTCCCTTTTTGAGTTTTTACTTTTCCAGAATTATTACCCGTATAAAGAATTTAACATTTTTCACATTTAATACTTGTATTGTACATATACGTATGTATTTTTCATGTTTAATACACTTGATTTTTTTTACAAAATTTTCAATAATACATACAAAATTCACATATTATACACATAATTTTTGCATAGTATTCAATAAAAATAACATATATATTAAAAAATTTATATCTATAAAGTATATATATCAAAACTAGCAAATTAATATCTATAAATTATAAACTAATGCAAATAGAAGGGTCCTTTTTTATTTTTAATTTTAATAAATATTATAGCCGTGCAGCTATACTCCTTTTAAATATAATATACTTAAAGAGCCTTTGACACGTAGCGACACATCGCTAGTTGGGCGCTAGGTGCGTCATGTTTTGTTATATAAATGGTATAGCCGATCGGCTATACCAGGGAAATTTTTTTTTTATAAAAAAAAGCCGCCTGGCATTACTGGGGTTTTTTAATAAATTTTTTATAAATAGTATAGCCGGGCGGCTATACAATGTACATAGATACAATGAATTTTTTTTTAAAAAAAAATTTGTTTTTCCCCGATTTTTTGTTTATTTATAGTTTAGAGCATCATCAATTTCTATTAGGCCATTACCCGAGTCTTTATTGTTCCTTTTTGAGTTTTTACTTTTCCAGAGTTATTACTCATATAAAGAATTTAGCATTTTCACTTTTAATACTCGTATTGTACAAATACGTGCATATTTTTCATGTTTAATACACTTGGGTTTTTACAAAATTTCCAATAATACACACAATATTCACGTATTATACAAATAATTTTCGCATAATATTGAATAAAAATAATATATATTAAAAAATTTAAATCTATAAAGTATATATATTGAAACTAGCAAATTAATATATAAAGTATAAACTAATGCAATATATATTTTTTAATAAATAGTATAGCTGCGCGGCTATACGCTTTTTAAATATAATATACAAATAATGCTACTCTTACCACATTTGTATACCACATCCTTATACCATCTTATGTGACAGCTGAGGTGGACAGCCACGTCAATTAAAAATGTGGTAAGTGTAGCATTACTCATAATATACTTAAAGGGTATCGCCGGCTGGCTATACTATGGTTTGCTGCAAAATAATGGTACCAGAAAACAATATTAGCATTGACGAGGGATCTTGCATCCAAAGAATAATTCGAGAGACATCATTTGTCTGGACATATAACAATCATCCTTCATAAGAAGTCCATCAATAGTCAAATATTCAAGTGCAGGACAGTTTGTAAAAAGCTCTTCCATTAAGTTCTTACCAGGACAATGGACTCTAACATCGAGGGATTTGAGATTTGGGAAACACCCTGAAGCAGGAGAAGCATAAGTTTCAAAACTCCGAGTGTTTTGCACCTAAAAACGCTTCTATGAAACAAAAAAAAAAAGTAGTCTCCTTCACCATTGAAGGCTAAAGGTTAAGCTTTCCCGGCATAACAAAAATCTCCTTGTTCGTCAAAGGATCTAGATTGGGGACACAGAAGTCCATACGTTGTTCCACCATGTAGACAAAAAGGTGGTACTCACAGAGCACATGTTATTGGAAGGAAGGAAAGTATGCGGCAAAGAAGTGCATCCGGTTTTAACTGATCATATCTTTATCTCCCACTCGACGCTTTGACATCGAACCCATTTGAACCCTGATCTGAACTGGAAGACAATCTTTGTATACGGAGGTTTGATCGGTTTTTGGGAAACTTCTCTGCTAATTAGGCTTTGTATAGTTTTACTTTGTTTCTTCGTAAGTAGTTTATGTTGGCTAGTTTAGGTTATTATTTTGGGCCTGATGGGGTTGGTAATTCAAGCCACCTTCTCTTTAGTTTCTGCTTTCAAGTTTTAACGAACCTGGCTAGGTTAAATTAGCCCAACCCAATTAAAAAAAATAAAAAACAATTTGTGTTGAATAGCCGCGACGCGTTATGAGTTATGTTATGACATGGGAAATCAAGCTATCAGTAATATAATATCAGCATAAATATGTAATGGAATGCTATCATTATTCATTAATAAAACGACAAAACTTGACAACTAACAAGAAATATAAAGAATAAATATGCTTAATTAATCATACTAAGTTATAGCTCTAAGATCTCATGATCATGTATGAATTTGCAGCTGCTAGCTGCTTCTTTCATTTGATAAGTCATGCGGTTGGATAAAAAGCACCCATAGCAATGCCACATAGTCCTTCCCTGGCATCAATGTCTCTTTGAATCCTCATGTATCCACTCTCCCCCCATTCTTCTCCCCAAGAATTTTTGATAAGCCAATACTTCTCATCATCCTCGGTAGTATCATATCCAACAATAGTAACAGCATGGGTTAAGTTTGTACCACATGGTCCAGTGTACACACCACCCGAATAATGTTTGAACTCTTCTGCTTCTGCATCAATATAAACTGAAACTGGCTGGTTGGCAACAGCCAGCAACAAAGCAATTTCGTCGTTTTGAGGCACTTGCTTGTACCCGGTTATAGTTATGGCACCGGAGGCAACATTATTGAAGTCATCCAAGCAAACGCCACCATCTACAGCCTTGTAAGGGTAGCCATCTTCAGTTGACAGGCTCATGTTGCGTTGGATCATGTATTCGAAGGCTTTCTCCACAAAACCACCATGGCAGCCATCATCTTCGAAACTAGTTGTACAATCGATAATCTCTTGTTCTGATAGCGAAATTAAGTTTCCTGTTACAATAGAGTTAAGCCCTTCTACGACTGCCACTGTTGCAAAAGCCCAACAACTCCCTATAACATCATGATATTGAGACAACAAACGTTCATAATTAAGCCATGATTGGATAGAGAAATAAGTAATGTATTTATATAAATAAATAAAAAAACTTAACATTAACAATTGCTTAAATGCATGATTCAACGTAATAGTTAAATGACATAATGATTTTATATTGTCAGATGTCCGAAAAGAAAGTATTAGACTATATAGATTAATCTTGCATGCTTACCACAATCATATCCTTGGTCCTTGACCGGGGTTACAGCACTTGTAGTCCAATCCCAGGAAAGTGGCACCACGGTTACATTTGCATATTTGAAAAATGTATTTGGACTTACTTTCATGGAGTTGGAGGTGATCACTTCTTTGGAGAGATGCTGCCTCACATTGTATCCATTACGCATTGCTCGAAGTTCCTCATTCTTGCGATCCGCAAACTTATTGATGCTTAGTGTGTACTTCCTTCCGTCGTTGTTCTGGTTAAAAGCTTCTATAAATTCCACATTGGACTTGAAAATGTCGTAGCGCAGCTCCTTCTCCTTTGCATCCTTATACACTCGTCCATGTTTAGCCATCCACTCCTCAAATCTCTGGAGCATGATTTTGTCTTCGCCATAAAGCTGGCGACTACAAGATGCTTGAGAGGAGCAGAAGGCCAAAATGAGCACAAGAAAAAAGGCCAAACAGATGGATTGGCCTTGGTTTGTGATGAGCAGAGCCATGATTAAGTGGTAAACACCAACTTAGAGTCGAGAGGTATCTAAGTGTGTATACTGATAACATGCAAAATGGTCATGGGATTTTATACACACAGACTTGTACGCGTGTAATAACTCCCAATATTAATCTATTTAATATAAAAAACACGGGTTCAGTAAAAGATAAAATTTCAAAACCTGGTATTGCAATCTTCTTATTTAATTTCAAATCCTTTTAAGGATATAAACAAATTAAATGGTAATCCTTCGTCAAGGCCCAAAGCTAGTCTTTCCGATTTTGGTCTAACACTTTCTAAAACGTATATTTCATAGGTCAATGCTGGGCTTAATTATACAAAAACGTGTGTTTTTAATTCAAAGAAATGCTTGAACAGAACACGATATTTCTTCATCATCTAGTTCCTTCCTCCTCTCTCCCTCCCTTGTTGGGACACGTTTGCATTACTTGTAGGAAGAACGTTTTTGTTTTTGTTTTGAGGAAGAACATTGAAGAGCCAATCAGGCTCCAAAAACCCACAGGTTCCTCTAATCGTTGCAACCGTCCCGCCCCATGATCTTCCATTTTTATATTTCAGCCATCAAAATATGAACAAGTGATGTAAAAATCATATATTGCAAATGCAGTTTAGACGCAGTGAGCTCACCCCTTTGTACCCAAGTTCGAGTCTTCCTTTCTGTATATCATAGTATATCATATTAATTTATAATAGTTTAGACCATCACTTGTATCAAGATAAAAACTATTAGGGTTTTACAAGTTAATTTCAAATTGAAAAGATTAAACTTTGTTTAGTGAGGTTCTCAGTAAATCGAATTTCCATTTTTTATACACATAATTACAACCATCAATATTTCAATTAAAGAGAAATTTGAACAAACCCTCAAAATGTCAAACCCAAAATCTTCCACTTGTGCCCTGCCTGGCATGTCCATATCCAAACCCGGCCCAACCGCTGCCCATGATGCCGCAATCCTGGTTTGAAATTACTGAAACTTTAGTTGCCTCCCTTGTCTTGCAGTTCTGCTGAGAGGGAAAAGAATGCAAAACCACGGCAAGATATGCTTCTTGCGGAACCCGAACTCTCTCGATTGGGAAGGCAAGAAATTTATATAACACTTATTTTTATTAAACTTCCATATAGTGCATTGACTGGATATGAGTGATTTATAAATTTTTTGCTTAAAATTTTGCAGGATAATAAGAAGTCGCTGAGTGGGCTAGAGATGCATAACATACTATTCTTAGCCGAGGGTGCGATTGATCAACTGTGGATCCTCAAGCTGAAACTCACCTCTATTAACAATCAAGCAGAATCACAACTTGGATAGAGTTGTCAACTGAAGATCTTAGAAATCTGTAGGAATCTTCGACCTCAGCCTGCTGCAAAATAATGGTACCAGAAAACAATATTGGCATTGACGAGGGATCTTGCATCCAAAGAATAATTCGAGAGACATCATTTGTCTGGACTGGACATATAAGAAACATCCTTCATAAGAAGTCCATCAATAGTCAAATATTCAAGTGCAGCCTGTGCAGGACAGTTTGTATAAAGCTTTTCCGTTCAGCTCTTACCAGGACAATGAACTCCAACATCGAGGGATTTGAGATTTGGGAAACACCCTGAAGCAGGAGGAGCATAAGTTTCAAAACCCCGAGTGTTTTGCACCTAAAACGCTTCTATGAAACAAAAAAAGTAGTCTCCTTCATCGTTGAAGTCCATACGTTGTTCCCGGCATAGTATTGAATAAAAATAAAATATATTAATAAATTTAAATCTATAAAGTATATATATCTATAGAAGGATCCTTTTTTTATTAAAAAAAAAAAAAAAAAAAAAAAAAAAAAATAGATGCTATACTCCTTTTAAATGTAATATATTTAAAGCGTATAGCCGGTCGGCTATACTACGGCTATACTACGGTTTTTAGTATATATACTCTTTACATCGAGATTGTGATCTTTAAAAAAAAAATTTATTTTTCCCCGATTTTGCATCCAAAGAATAATTCGAGAAACATCCTTCAGTAAGCGCCCTTGCAGCTGCAGCCCCTTCCAAGAATTGTTCAACATAAGCAACTTCTGAATTTTCATCTTCTCTTAACTGTAAGTCAGGCTCAAATGGTGGAGTCACCCTATTCTTATCATGTGCTTCATTCAATTGGGAGGCTCAAATGGTGGGACATCACAAAGTCAACCTGGACCCTATTTTCCCCGAGTGTTTTGCACCTAAAAATGCTTCTATGAAACAAAAAAAGTAGTCCCCTACACCATTGAAGTCCATACGTTGTTCCCGGCAGAGTATTGAATAAAAACAAAATATATTAAAAATTTAAATCTATAAAGTATATATATCTAAACTAGCAAATTAATAGTATATTCTAATACAAATAGAAGGATCCTTTTTAAAAAAAATTATTTTTTAATAAATGGTATAGCCGCGCGGCTACAACCCTCATAACAATGGTATAGCCCGTGCGGCTATACTTTGTTGACACGTGGCGCAGAATCGCTAATCGGACGACAGGTGCTAGGCGGGTCTATATGGGGGTCCTTTATTATTATTTTTTTTTCCTTTTTTGGTAAATAGTATAGCCGCCTGGGTATACGCTTGACATAGATACTGTGATCTTTTTAAAAAAAAATTTGTTTTTCCCCGATTTTGCATCCAAAGAATAATTCGAGAGACATCATGTCTGAACATATAAGAAACATCCTTCATAAGAAGTCCATCCAGAGTCAAATATTCAAGTGCAGGACAGTTTTTTTTCATGTAAAAAACACAGTCCAGCAAAAGATAAAATTTGGAAGCCTGGTATTCCAATCTTCTTATTTAATTTCACATCCTTCCTTTTATGGAAATAAATAAATTGAATGGCAATCCACCGTCAATGCCCAATTTTTGGTCTTTCCGATATTGGTCCAAATCTTTGACGTATATTTCAAGGATCCTTCCCTTCTTGTTGGACTCGGTTTTCACCTGATCATGTAATATATCAGATGGCCAGTCTATCAAGCTCAATTTGATCCTTATGGTTGAATTTTCAAATTATATCTAAAATCATATCTTCATCTAAGAGAAATATATAACAAATCAATGATTTAGTTTATTCTCCTTGGCATAATTATCTGCAACAAAATACACCCGGGATATATGCTCATTTATCTCAATCTGCCTTACATGTCAAGCCCTGATTAGTCCATAAAATAATTACCCAAATAATTCGGAACCTGAACTTGGGTTACAAGAACTTCAACCACTATAAATACACCCCAAATAATTAGTTGCTCCCTCACTTGCAGCCTTTGGTTTTTCTCTTACTGCGCATCATTAATTAGAAACCCTAGTTAAGAAATAAGTATGGGTGGCTATCAAGTTCCAGTTGGGTACAGGTTCACGCCTTCAGAAGAAGAACTACTTCTTCACTACCTTCTCCCCAGAGTGAATGGAAACGACTATCCTAAAGGTGTTGTTCCTGACTGTGATCTCTACGGTACAAAGGAACCGTGGGAGATATGGAGAGATTTCCACCACTCATCACCAGATGATCAAGAAGACATCTACGTCTTCACCACACTCAAGAAGAAGATTCCAAATGGCTCGCGGTTTTGCAGAACAGTTGGCGCCGCCGGTACCGGAGTTTGGAAAGGAGAAGACTCCGGCAAGAAAATACGTGCTTGTGGGAATGATATTGGCATCAGAAAGCGATTTCGGTACATGAACCCTGGCTCGCCCCACGATGACCGTTGGATCATGCTTGAGTTCCAGCTTGATAAATCTCTCGTGCAAGTGCCAAACAAAGAGACAATTGTTCTTTGTCTTGTTAGAAAGAAAGAAACATCGGGCAAAAGCAAATTAGAAGAACGACAAAATCATGAAGTTGACATGGCTTCCTGTGGAGAAATCCAGGCCCAGCATGTGCATGATGATCAGCAGCAACATATTGACGCAAGTACTTATGATCAACTTAAGTTTCTGGATGATTACCTTATGAACGATGTCGGGGGTGAACAAAACACCATGGTTAATCCAACTTTGCTTGCACAGTACGATCAGCAGGACATGATTGGCACAAGTACTGAAGATCAACTTAGGGTTTTCGAGGATTTCCTTATGAACGATGTCGAGGGTGAAGAGGACACCGTGGTTAATCCAGCTTTGCTTGCACAGTACGGTCAGCAGGGCACAAGTATTGAAGATCAACTTAGGCTTTTCGAGGATTACCTTATGAGCGATATCGAGGGTTAATCCAATTTTGCTTGCACAGTATGAGCAAAATTAATTCCTCTTTTTGTAATTTCTCTGTTCTTAATACAACACTATAAGTATATACATGCAGCTTGCTTAGTACTTTCGTGTAATAACTATTTATATGGCGAAGAATTTCATAAGTACTTAAAGACATGGATATTCAATGCTGCTTTATTTAAGACAAAGTTGCGCAAGGAAGTGAAAATATTGTGAAGTTAATAGAGAAAACCACCAGCGTTTCAAACAACAGTTAGCTAGCGTTGTCAGTTCTTTTACGATTTCAACCCTGTGAAGTATAAGATTGGAGCTACCAAAAATAAAGTGCAGAAATCTAGACGTGTGTTTTTACTTTAAAGAAATGCTTGAGCAGAACATGATATTTCTTCATCATCTCTAGTTCCTTCCTCCTCTCCCTCCCTTGTTGGGACACGTTTGCATTACATGTAACAAGAACTTTTTTGTTTTTGTTTTGAGGAAGAACATTGAAGAGCCAATCAGGCTCCAAAAACCCACAGGTTCCTCTAATCGTTGCAACCGTCCCGGCCCATGATCTTCCATTTTTATGCACATCATTTCAGCCATCAAAATATGAACAAGTGATATAAAAATTATATATTGCAAACCCGGTTTAGATGCAGTGAGCTCACATCTCCCTCCCCGTATATTATATTAATTTATAGTAGTTTAGACCATCACTTGTATCAAGATAAAAACTATATATACTGTGGTTTTACAAGTTCATTTCAAATTGAAAAGATTAAACTTTGTTTAGTGATAAAGCAATCATTATTCATTGATAAAATCAACACTTTACAACCAACATGAAATAAAAAAGAATAAAAATAAGCTTAATCATACTAAGCTATAGCTCCAAGATCTAATGGTCATGAATTAATTAGCAGCTGCTAGCTACTTTTATTTGATATGTCATGCGGTTGGATAATAAGCTCCCATAGCAATGCCACATAGTCCTTCTCGAGCGTCAATGTCTCTTTGAATCCTCATGTATCCACTCTCTCCCCATTGTTCTCCCCAAGAATTTTTAACCAACCAATACTTAGTCCCATCATCCTGAGTAGTATCATATCCAACTATAGTAACAGCATGGGTTAAGTTTGTACCACATGGTCCAGTGTACACACCACTCGAATAATGTTTGAATTCTTCTGCTTCTGCATCAATATAAACTGAAATTGGCTGGTTTGCAACAGCTTGCAATAGAGCACTTTCGTTGTTTTGAGGCACTTGCTCATACCCAGTTATGGTTATAGCACCGGAGGAAGCATTCAAGTCAACCATACAAACGCCACCATCTACAGCCTTGTAAGGGTAGCCATATTCAGTTGATAGGCTTCTGTTGTTTTGGATAATGAATTCTAGGGCTTTGTCCACATAACCACCACGGCAGCCATCAACTTCAGTACTAGTTCCACAATCGATAACCTCTTGTTCTGATAGCGAAATTAAGTTTCCTGTTTTGAGATAGTTAAGTCCTTCTACGGTTGCCACTGCTGCAAACGCCCAACAACTCCCTATAACATCATGATATTTAGACAAAATCATCATTGAATAGAGAAATAAGTAATGTAATGCTAAGCAAAATATTCATTGTATTGAAAGTTGCCCAAACATAGCATCCAACTTCACAATTTGAAGAAGACATAATGATCTTATATTGTTAGATTGTCTGTCAAAAAAGTATTACAATGCATAGATTAAATTATAAACATGCATGCTTACCACAATCATATCCTTGCTCCTTGACTGGGGTTACGGCACTTGTTGTCCAATCACAGGAGGGTGGCACCTCGGTTACATTTTCATATCTGAAAAAAGTGTTTGGACTTACTTTCACGGAGTTGGAGGTGGTTTTGGAGAGATGTTGCCTCACATTGTAGCCATTACGCATTGCTCGAAGTTCCTCATTGGTGCGATCCGCAAGCTTATTGATGCTTAGGGTGTACTTTCTTTGGTCCTTGTTCTTGTTAAAAGCTTCAATGAATTCCACATTGGACTTGAATATGTTGTAGCGCAGCTCCTTCTCTTGTGCATCCTTATAAACTCGTCCATTTTGAG